ACAAAAGTGCCCACCTCAGCCTTTTGCCACAGACTTGTTCTTTCCTCCACTACGTCCCAACACGATGATGACACCTGTATGTTAAGGTTTTAACGTGAACACACAACCATGTCCTAATTACCAACTGTCAGGTGGGAGGCAGTCTGATTAGGCAATTGGCTGCTTCTGAAGACGAATCTTCCATTCAATTTGTTAAGCTTTTATCTTTCTGAGGAGGGTCTAATTATTCTGCTCAAGAACTATATTTCCATTAATGAAAATGATTTAATGTCTCAAATGAAACAATGAATGGAAAGCAAATCTGTGCAGATTTGCAAAATCAAACTGAAAAGGGAGATACAAATGGCACTGAAAAGCAAACTGTATGATATACAATATTAGCCTTTTTGAGGCAAGTGTATTTCCCTGTTTCATTATATCATTGTCAAGAAAAACATTTATGTTCGTCATCGAACTATATTTATATGCTGGGGAGCAATTCATAGGAGCTTCCTATTTGCAAGCCAGATTTCCAAATTCTAGGGCGGCAATGACCAATTTATGTACTTTGGGAAATGTAAGGGATACTCTGAACAGTATTTGGCGGAAAGCATGTAGGATATTGCCATACAATAGACTACAATGCTGTTTTTTCTGGGTTAACAGGAATTCCAACTTGTTACTATGTTTTTTAAAATGTAAAACTCTTTTTTATTGATTTACACTGCAGTTTTCATTTATTTCCCACCTAAAATGATGAGAAATTTAAGTTTTTGCAAATTTAATATTTTACTTATTTAGCATATACAGTACAGCTACCACTCGCCAAGAGATCTGGGTTGCTAACAGAGGGCAAAAGAAAGTGCTCATAGACCATGTGGCAGAGACTCCAACCCCAAAATGAGGTGAAGAGAGGATGATATATTCTAATGTTTCTTGTTTATACTGTCATTCAAAATTGACAGTTATTTACCATCTGCTAATAGACTATCTACCAATGAATATTGACCACTGTAGACTGTGGAATCCTTGGTGCTCTCTGAGCTTGATTGTTTGCTTGCAGATATTTCATAACCTGACTGGGTAACACATCAAGCTAGTGAGTGCGGGATTTGCTCCCTTTTTATGTACAGTATCATGCTTTTCCATGTTGCTGGGGGGTATGGTTTTCTTGGTCCAAGAAAAATGAAGGAACCACTTTTCTTCTTGATCAAGGAGAATCCATACTCCCCAATGCAAGTGCTTTCTATATTATTTATTTATTATTTATTAAATTACTAGGCTGCCCATCTCACTAATACAGTGACTCTGTATAAGGAGAGAGAAAATATTACACTCACCAGCATTGATGATATTACTTCATCAGATGATGAAATATCTGCAAGCAAACAACTAGCTCAGAGAACACCAAGGACTCTGTAGGATTGCCAAAACCTGAGGGTAGAGTTAAAGGAAGTATCAGCCTAGAATCTCTACGTAGCCATAAGTGGGCTAAGACCAACTCCCTTGAATTCTATAGACCCCTATTTAACTCCAAGCAGTTACTAACTGTTGGTTGAGAAATTCCTGTGCATAAGGTGTTTAGCAATAAATCAGGTTAATTGGACCTTCACGGATGGACCTGGTCTTTTGTACCTGACAGACTACACAGTTCAACTCTGAGCTACCTGGATTTCTTCTATTGAATATCTGTACAGAAGGGCATTTACTAAATATGCTGCTTCTGGCTGCTTGCTGTAGTAGCAAGCAGGGAGAAATATATGAATCTAATCTAGGAGTTGAATATGATAAACCACTTCAAATGAACAGGTCTTAAGGAAAATGAATCGACAAGTCTGTTGGATTAAGAACCTTTGATTCATAGACTGAATGTTGTTTGCAAAGTATTTTTATCTACCTCACATAAACTATTTCTGTTCCCAAAACTTTACCCAATGCTCACAAGGATGTTGTATGGAAATCATGCTTTCCATGTAAAAGAAATAATTTTCCTGATGAATACGTAGCAGCACCTAACACTGCTCTGATCATTATACCTCAAACTAAATCAAAATTACTAAGAGAGCCTACCAATTATTATTTTAATGAGTAGGACAACTGTTTCCTGAAGAGGCATCAAATATTGTTATTAATAACTGGTTTTACTACTTCAGCATACGTTTTATGGAGGGTAGTCTTAGAATCAATATTTACTTAACCTATCTAGAAATAAATTTTCCTGAGAATAGCAATAAACTACACTTACAATAGTCATGTTATAATGATGTAGGTGTCTTGGAACTATGTGGAAATGGTGTTCTAAAGTCTTCTTTCAAGATGATTCCTCAACTTCCTGATCAAGCCTACTGATCTCATGTTCCTGATGGTTTTACCATCCAAATACTAATCAGTTGTAATCCTGCTAAGCTTCTTGAAATCAGCAAGGTTGACAAGATGCTACCACTGGTTGGACTCTGGAACACCTGTCATTATTAATGGGATGTCTTAAATTAGGCTTATCAGTATGATACCTAATAGCATTTAATTTCTAGAGCTCAGTGGATCAAGTATTCCTTAACAACAGGATGAATCAAAAGTATTTGGCAAGACTCAAACTTTCCAGACTTTATGCAAATAAATGGATTGATGGTTCAACCAGACTGTCAGCTTCTCTGAAATTTGTGAAAATAGAATTTTCTATATGCTGTTAACATTTACCTATACATTATTGCTGTACATAAGCCCTGCTGTCTGTGAATCTCGGCCACCAGCAGAAGTTAATTGGTCCTTTTTCTGAATATGTCTGCTAAAGTAATGAAAAGACTAATCTTTTCTAAATCACTTCAAGTCCAATAATTACTGATGGTGTCAAACCTTGATTAAAGAACACCAGAAAACCTGCTGTCTTTTTGTCCTCTGTAATTATGACTCGGCATTGGATGTCATGGCTAGATAGATATTTAGTTTCCTAGCTTCTGGAACTGAATGTTCAGGGAAGAGAATCCATTCAAATGGGACAGGAGATGGAAAGAATGAGTTAGCTTCTCATGGATTTCATTTGACCAAGAATTTTCTATTGTATTATTATAGTTGGTAGAAAAGTCTGTAAGGTACAGCTATTAAATATCAGTTAAAGAGGAAACATATCGTTTAAATTTTTTCCCCCTGCTATATGTAAGCAGCTGTTAGCTTCAAAGAGTTTCAGATTGATTTGTTAATTATTTCTTGGTTCTGCTGAAGCAAGCAAAACGCATTTCCGAAATGTTTCTCTTCCTCAATCTACTTATAAAACTCCATATATCAAGTTTGTGCTCTAACTATATGAATAACAAATAGTTGAACAAATCTAATAGGGGAAAATCCTCTGCAAATTAGATCTCTGCTTAGATCTTATTAGACACCTAATTTGGATGACTAACATAGGATGTATCCTAGGTACACACTTGTTGTATTCTCATCCTATTATAATAAGTTACAAAGCATTGGTGCAACCAGATAGGTAAGCAGGGTAAACTTTGTTAGCACTTGGCAAAACAGCAGAGAAAATCAATGGTCCAGTACTAGAATATTGAAAAGCATCCCAGAATCAGGCAGTGGCAAATCACTTCTGTATGGTTGGCAAAAATAAATTACATGGCCAATGCCATGTGTATAAAAGTGCCAGAGGTTGGGTTTGATTTTCCAGCATTTCACATACACCTCACTCACTTTTGCCTAGGATGAACTGAACATCAAGATGGAATTCTTGTATTCAAAGTGTAAACTATTAAGAGACCTATTTGTTCAGAACATGTTCATTTTTTTTTCACCCTTTCGATTGTCTCCAATTCTCAGAGTCTGCCTAGAAAAATCTCTCCAATTTTTTGGCAAGGTTTTTTAGGAGTGGTTTACCATTGCCTCCTTCCTAGGACTGATAGAAAGTGACTAGCCCAAGGTCACTCAGTTGGTTTCATGTCGAAGGCAGGACTAGAACTCATAGTCTTCCAGTTTCTACTCTGATGTCTTAACCGTTATACCAAATTGGCTCTCACATGGAGCAGCAATTATGTAGAAACAGAACTGAGCTTCGGGTTAAATATTTCAGAAATTTTTTTAAAACCACATTTTAAATATAGGTTTTTAAAAATTGTTACTGGTAGTTAACACATATCTGCATTAAGTTAACTAAGTATTATGTAGAAATTAAATTACTTTCACAGAAACATTAGTCTTTACCTTCAAATTTGCACTATAACCAATTGTCCAATTATTTTCAGTTTAATTTTATATAGCAACAACTTAGATTTCAGTTTAATTCACCATTTAATTCCTTCATCTATACCTCTTTTATACTGTATGTGATAAAAATTAGTAAAGTTGATTTGAAATATTGTTAAACTATGAAGTTTGTTTTGAAAAGGTTTTATCTAAAGCTTTAACACTATATCAAAATCTATGATACTTGTATATCATTTTTAAAAATACAGTCAAAATTCAGACAGCTTTAATGGATCTATTTTCTCACCTAATCCTTTTTATGAACTAGGAATTTCAACTATTCATATTCCAACTCTTAAACATGAAAGCCAACACGAGGCTGAAGCTGATCTGGTAAACACATGTAATCAGTATTTTTGGTAAGTTTCTCTTTTCTCTAGAGACAAAATAAGAATTTTCATAAACTATATCCCTATTTCCAAGAGACTCTAAAACATTTGTTTACCTCAATTTTCACAATAACAAGATTGTATGCTATATTAAATAAAACACCAAAATGTACAGTGATGCCAGTAATTTTGTTCTTTTTTACAATCTGTTCTACTATTTAGTTTTTTTCCCTTGCTTCTAGATTCTACATTTCATTTCTTAGCTTCAAATTCAAGAGAGAAATTCAAAGCTTCAGCTTCAAAATAGATGTTGAATTCGAAGAATGTTTATAATCTCTATTACAGTATATTGACAAGAGCAATGTGTTCTCAGAAGACATGGCTTCAGTAGCAAGTTTCACAACTCTAAACATTTCAACAAAGTTGACTTTAGGAAAAACACAATATAGACATACATTGTGGAAACACTTTTATTAAAGGAGATATAGTACTGAAAAAGAGTTCCTTTCAAAAGATATTTTCTTTTAAGGCAAACAAAATTTCCAGCACAGAGAAAAGGTTACAAAAGCCAGTGTACAAAAATGGAATGTTTTTTCAAACAAAAAAAAATCAATAGCTTATTACAAGGGTTGTGCAAAACATTCAACAGAGTTGTGTTTTTTCTGCTGTTACACAAAGAACCGGTCTTTGGCTTATTAAAGTAGCTGTATCTTTAATAAGCCTTGTATGACTGCTTCAAGCCAAATAGGGTTTTAAGCTTTGCACAAATCGGTTTAACAGTTTGAAGAGGGGTGATTCATTTGCACTCTGTGCACTCTTCAAAAGTAACTCTTTTGAACACTTTGCACAACTCTATTATGGAAATCCCTGCTAACATGACTGGGTCAAACTATAGAGGTAGGCACTTCATTTCCCATGCCCCCTCAAATAAATATATAACTCAAACAGTTCACATTATTTATATTTAGCAGTGGAAATACTTTAGAAAATGCAATAGCAATTCTCTGCAATTAAGGAAGAGTTTATCATAAGAGTACAGAAATAATGCACAAAGATAAGTGATTTAACAAACTGACAATATGAGGGGGTGGGAAAAATCACATATTTATACATATCTATATTTGCTAGAACATAAAGGCTGAACATTGGCTCAGAGAGAAAGTTATTGAAAGGCCATATAACCATATCAAGACAGCTTCCTTGATACATATTTTTAGCAGGGAAAAGCAATAACTCAGGGATGATTTCTTACAAGACATTCAATACCTTTAATAATATTATATTAAAACACATGTAAAAATATCCCTAACAAGAATTCAGCAAGGTCAAAAATTGGAGATTACTCAAATTGAATTTACAGATTCAATTAGTGTTGGATATGTACTGTAATAGTTTTAAGAGTCAGACAAGACAGAACATTTGTTTGTCTTAAAAGGCAAGATGTTACTGTTGACCTAGCAGGTTCACATTCTGTAAGCAAGGACATAATTGCAACTGGAATTTGTGAGAATTATTTTAGTTTCTCCTACTTCAGACAGACATATTGTACAAAAGGTTATTTCTTCAAAGATTTAAAAAGCTGGGTTTCTCATTTGCTACCATTCTTAAGCACTGTTTCCCAATTTGACGATTCCATGAGGACTTCATGCTAATTAGGAAGTTAGGGGATTTCATTTCAACTTGGAGACCATCAAGTTGGAGAAGGCTAACACGAAGCAGCAAGATATAAAGGCAGGAACTAATAGCTGTATGACACAGTGGGATTCAATCCAGTAGTTGGCATAAAGTTATAAATTTCTTAATGTGGATGTCTGCATCTTCCAGCATTTCTATTACTACCCTTCTGTTATTCTACAAGAAATAGATGTAAGATGCATTGCACATCAGTAGCAACAATGCATGTTATGTTAACTCAATTCTCTGAAGAAGTTAACAAGGAAAATGGGTAAGATGATTCCAGCTGGTATCCAAAAGAAAGAAGTCACATAATTAAGAAATCCCAGGAGGGCGGGGCGCAAGGGGGGGAATCAAGGAAGCTTCACCAAATCCTTTTAAGTTTATACAATAATTTCTCAGCACTTCATATTCAAATGATCTTAAAACCAAGGCAGAATGTATGAAGTTTATAGTTAAATCATTCATCACAATTTACCCCTGAAACAAGTAAGAGATTTGTATCTTTTAGACTGTTGTCCCCAATCTTTTTCAATGCTTCAGAAATGCATTAGGAAGAGACACCATCAAGTTAAATTCTGACTTTTGTATTTCAGGAGCCTTCTTGTGCCACAACAATCTACTATGAGAGAGAGTCTGCAATTACCACTATCACTAAGAACTACACATTGCTTCACTATAAAAACCTATAAAATATATATAGTTAAATATCTATAGAATATATTCAAAATTTATAATGTACAGTTCTGGGCAGTTTTATATTGTAAGCAGTAATAATTTTAAATGCTCCTTCAAAAAGTAGATGTAGGGAAGAATCATATCTGTTCATTTCTTAAAACCGAGGTCTTGCAGACCTAATTTTAATACATTACTTAGAGTTGTCTGACCTGTATTCATTTACAATCAGTGTATACAATTTTGTGCTTCATTCATAATGAGAGTTATAATAAAAGTGAATTATTTCACAAATATCAAGCTTACAAATCTATAAATATGTTTGCTTGGTAAGCAGTGCAATACAATTAACTTTCCAAGATCTCTGGAGTAAAACAACCAACAATATTTATCAAAGAAGCTATGCTAAACTAGTCAGATACAAACATTGGTTCCATTGTGTACAAAATCAGAGTTAAATGTGGCTACTTCTCACTGGTAAATTTCTGTGCTCTGATATCCTGTATTAGTCTCTTTCAAAAGACGAAAGAGAGCAGAACAGGCAGTATAATGAACATAGATAGTAAATCATTTTTCTTTTGGCAATAAATGCTTACAGTTCATGAATTCCACCAAAGACAAAATTATTGGATTTTTTTTTTTTTTGAATAAGCATAACACAGCAGCAAGATAACCAACTGCAAAAACTCTCAAATAATTCTTAACATGTACACACACTAATTTTACTTCTTATGAAAAATAACCAAGGAATATGCCAATGCAAAAAGGAGAAAAAAAGATGCAGCAAAAAGTGCAGCAAAAATTGCCAATATGCTAGCATCCATCAATTTAAATAATCCCAGGATACTATCATCTTGGGAAATCAAAGCATGAAACATAATATGATTAAACACCCAAACATAAAATATTGAAAGAAAATATAGGATGAGAAAAAAAAGGCACTCAAAAGCTGAGATGTTTGTCTCCCCCGTTAGATTATGGTACACTTTTGAATTATACAAATCATATCTGACCAACATGAAAATAAAAATGAGAGAGGCACTGCAGTGGCATCATGGAGATTTTTTTCAGAATATAAGTTACCAATAAAGGCAGAAGTCTAGATTTTATTTCATTTCAAGGCCACATGTGTAAAAGTCCATAAATAGAAATGCTTAGAGAATCATCTTATCTATTTTTATGACTCCTACTTTTCTCCAGTTACTGATTCTCTTGCTTATCAGACACTAATTCATGTAATTTAAAGAAAGGAATTATATTTACTATCCTGTTAGACAACAAATTAATTCCAGAAACTTCTCTCGTACAATTTGAAATCATGATTTTTAGAACATAAAGAGACATTTAGAAATGATCTTTTGATAGTAAGTAGAATATTATGGAAAAAAATTCACTATACACTGTCCTATAGACTTTTTGATAGAAACCTGTTGATAGAAAGAAGTAAAATGACATCCCACCCCTTCCACAATTACTAGAATATTCATTTTACTTCCAAAATAAAATCATCTGAAAAAAATATTTTTTGTGGCATACATTATTAGTTTTGCAACTGAACACAAGACATAATTTATGCTGAAATTTTCATAAAATGTGTTATTTTCAGGAGAATATATGGTAGCTTTGTCTTCTGAGTCACATGTTAACTTAACACCTTAATGCTTTGTTCTTAGGCAGGTGTGTGCTGTTTCAAGAATCATTTGGTTGTGCAGGTGTTGTGGTCGTCAGTGTAAGAAGATAGCCAACTTAGCCTGCAAAAAGTAGCCAAACCAAAAGTTTTATAAGTAATTTCTCCATTAATTATCTGATTTATTTTATGCAAGGCAAAAAAACTGTTTTTCTAAAAAGTATATTGTAGTTTCAAACCGGAATACACTGTTGGTAATAGAATATATTAACTGCAGTAACAGAAGGCATTCTTTTGGGGAATAAACAGAAATGCATATTCCTTTTTTAAAAAATTGCATCCCTCCAACAATCAGTTCTTTAGTTTATAATTCAGCTGCTGATACATGTCCTCAGACTGGAACCCACATGTAGAAAAGCTTTTGAAAATAAAAAAGTTTACTAACTAGAAAGATCATAGCTTTTATTGCCCATCTATATCACATCTGCAATTGCTTATTCCATAGCATTAAATGAAGAAAATGGGAACATTTAGATAGATATTAAACTCCCTTGTTTTATGTAGAGGTTAATTAAAGGGATCTACACCTTATTAAACCTGTTTTACTTCAGGATTCATTTTAATTCTTACAGTGAATTGGGGACTATTTTCCAAATAATAATTTTTTTTCCTCCATTTTTTTAAACATAAACCTAAATTCCACTTCTCTGGAGTGGAGAAAATATAACTAGCAAACAAAATGGAGGATGCACCCTTTTAATTCCTGTGTTTTGAACATTACCAGAGTCAAATCCAGCTCCTCTCTTTGCCTAATTCCATCAGACCCAAATTGACCCTCCCTGGCCCCAAAGTTCCCACCTAAAGCAGAGGGCAGAAGCCTCCTTGCCAGCTAACAGAACAGCCCAAGGGCAGTCCTAATAAAGGAACTATAATATAGTAAAAAACTGAAACACCACAACCTTCCATCTGCTTATTAGCTGATGACCTCAACATTGCATCTCCTTTACAATGGACTTCCCCAACTCTGCTGCTCTTCTGAAAGGGCCACTTTGCCTAACAGAATGTATCCAAAGAACACTGAGGAGGACTTGCCTATCTTCCCCAACCTGGACAGCAAATCAGATTCCTAGAATACGGCAATGCACATGGTTTCTTCTCCTCAGGGTTGTATTCTGTACTTCTGAATTTTCCCTAACATTTTCAGACTACCTCAAAAATGCTGCATGGAATGTCAAAACATCTCTCCAAGGCCCTTCCAAATGTTTGTAGAGTCCTTTTCTTTGCTATAAATTAAGATGAACGTGTCTAAAAATAAGGATATAACCATTTTACTCTAACGTACCAGTTGCTGTATTTTCTGGAAGTCGTTAGGTTGTTTGTTTACCTGTTATGTGAGGCATGCAGCAAAACATTTTTTCACAGCATCCCTGTGGAAAGAAATCCTGATGAAGCTAAGGGTGACTAGATTTAGACAACACCAGTATATTTAGGTACAGTTCATTAGCAAAGTTACAATTGAGGGAGTTTTGCTAAGCCCAATGATCCATATTATGACTTAAGGCAGTATATGAACCCAGGAGCTGCCTTAATTAAACCAATGACACTAAACAAACTCTCTCTATATTTCCTTTAATCCTATCTCAAAACTCGTATCTCCCATGAAATCCTGACAAGGAGTAATCTTGATATTTATTACACAGAAAATCCTCAGTATCATAACTTTATATTTGTCAATCCTTTTCTTCTTCAAACTAATTAGAGTTGTCCAATGCTACTCTCTGAATTAATCACATACCTATGTCTCCATATTCTCTCCTTTCTTCATCTTCCTTCGTCATAATATAGATTTAAACTTTTCATCATTCACATTAAAACTTTTCAGCATTCACTTGTAAAGCAACTCTCTATACTGATGGCAGTATTTCACTAAAACAATCATGTACCTGTCATTCCTGCCAGGAAGTATATAGTTTTTATAAGTAATTCTTGGATTTCTGGCACACAGAACAGCTTTTCATTAAGGTTAGTTTGACTTTCCAACCCATATGAACCACGGAAGAAATATGTTTGTCCCATGAACAAAATGCGGGCAATCAAGATTACCTTGCAAATGGTATGTAAGAAATGCTGTACCTAGAAAAAGAATAGCACAAATTACTTTATTAGTAAGAACACAGAAAATCACCTTCCTCTCAAAATTCAACATTGTTAAAACACTACATTATACATGGCTGAAAGCAGATGCTGGGCAGCAGTGTGCCAAGTTAGGCCATCCTGAACTACACTAAGACTAAGGCTTTAATTTTAAAATCAATTTATATATGGCTGACTTTTAGGGTAGCGATGACTGATCTCAGGAACAGGGGAATGAAGTTCTAGAAAACAAGGGCAACAGAACTTTCTCTGTACCACTTTGGTCATGGCTGATCAAGAAGATAAATGAATTCAAGAAATGAACTTTGTCAGTACATTTGTAATATCATATTTCACTGCAAGTGGAAGGATATGTAATCAGAAATGTAAGTATTAGATGCCCCCAACCCCAACTATGTTTTCCATAGATTTTCATTCTATAGAGATGAAGTGAATTTTTCATTATATTGGATGAAGAGAGTAAGTGGGAATGAGAAACTATGTCAAGAAAGTAATTCATCTCCATTCATATAAAATTTGATAGTGGAAGTATGGCCTATTTTATTAGATAGTCAAAGAAGATCTGGAATTAAACACTGGAATTAAACACAGATTGCTATTATATATTTGGTTCAACATTGCTAAATTAGTAGGTTATTCAACCAAATAAATAATACGTTTTCATTCATATCCAAATTGTTTTAGAAAATCTACAAGAATGGATTTATTATTCATATGTTCTTAAATATCTTCAAATATTAATTCTAATAAAAACTGCTTTGGTGAGCTGAACATTATTAAATGTTTGAGTCATCATATTTGTATGGATGGCTGCATATCCTAATGAGTTTCCAGAAAAGAAAAATGTTAAAATGAATGCAGCCCCTAAGCTGATTTTCATACATGCATATGCAGGTGTATGAAATCCAATGTTAATTCATATTCAGTATTTTAAGAAGCTTGATAAACAATTGAGGAAGTTTTATGAGATTGGTAGACTCACTGTTTTCTTTAACTAAATTACCATCTTCATATGAAAAAGGAAATTTTAATCTTCTGGATTTTCAGTGATATCACTGGAAATCTTTTGGGTATTCAAGTGATTTTTTTTTAAAAAAAATGTTTGAGTATAATTGAAAAATTATTTGATCCTCATAATATCTTGGTTGGAATCTGATTTCTCTTTTAGCTAGGATTGAGTTGTTTTTATCCTATTAGTCTAGTAAACATATTTGGAGGATTTAGGGTAGAAGTTTAATTCTGAGACCTGTTTATAAGAAAAACACACACTTTGGATAAGAGTAACATAAAGATTACAATAGATTTTTTTAAAGAACCTGGGCACAGACTGATTTAGTACCTTAAACTAGGTTATTGTTCTTTTAACTACTAAGTATTTGGAAATGGCTAATATATTTGCTTGAAATCTGTTTTACTATTCAGTTTGGCCCCTTCTGAATCCCACAAACTATTTGTTTTACTGGAAAACACTGAAGATTTTAAATTAATAAACTATGGACTAATCCATGATCCCCCCCCCCTCCAAGATTCTGGAAGTGTCTTTTTTATAGGGTTGTGGAGAGTGACAGAGAATGACTTGCCCAAAGTCACCCAGCTGGCTTTATACCTAAGTTTGAGTAGTCTGGTTTCTAACCTGTTGTCTTTAAATATTACCTCAAACTGACTCTTAATAAAACTTTAGAACTAAGATTCATATGCCGGGAATAACCAGGAGTTCAGATGCGGAATGAATCAGATCTCATCAAGAAATCAAATGTTCATGCAATCCTGCAAATCACTGCCTTTGCATTATATGCAAATGTGGGCCTGGTTTCTCATATGAAATACAATGAAGAGAGATACTTAGGACAATGCCTTCAAAATTCCTAGGAGATTAAGAGAAAATATCTTGATGATAGTATGCTTTATGTGAGAAGGATTCAAGGTCTATGAAGATATAAGAAAGGCTTTTCTTCCTAGATGCACAAGAACTTCCAATTATTGCCAAAGATCTATGTACACAGGAAAACAAGCCAAGAAAAATGAGGTGATACATACCATGCCAAGGCAAAGAATTGTAAAATGCAAAAGAGGAGAGTAAGCCCCTTATTATGCCACTGAAAAGAAAAAGATAGTTACAACTTAGACAACAATTATTTACAAATTATTTTATTAAGACATATCAGTCACACTGTAAATTTGTTTACTTACCCAGAAAGCTGCACACAGAGTTAATATGAGGCATAACTAAAAAAAAATATACAGAGAAAAAGACTTTGAATAAGAAATGCTATCTAACCTAATAGCTAGAGATAAATAAATAAATAAACGGGCTAAATAAATTTAATTTATTTAAGGAAGCGTATAAGCATTGCTTTAATAGTAATAGTTAATCTTGAAGTAAACAATTAAAAAGCAGGTGCGTTTGTAATTGTTCTTTATCCCCATACAACATAAAAGTTTCTGGTTCTGGTAAAATCTAAGTTTTCTTTTTTGCAAGTATGTTCTTTCTAAGTTCTAAATTAATTAGGAATTATACTTATTCAATATATGGATAGAAAATATCATAGAAATAAGGTTTTTATTGGGTAAAATATCATAGAAATAAGGTTCTTATTGGGTAAAATATTTCAGCACCTTTTCCTGAAAGATTAAAACCCATGTCCAAATACTATAGCAGCAATAGAGATCTACTTACAATAACATTAAAAAGTAAGCAACAACCTAAAACCTCCCATTTGCCTCCATAGCAAAGTAAAACAATTCCTACATCCCAATTTTCTATTATGGTTTATGTTTATGGTATGTATATTTTAAAGATAACAATGATGAAGCAAAGAGCCTTGGTGGCGCAGCAGACTAATGCACTGTTAAAGCAACACCAGCTGCCTGCAATTACTGCAAGTTCAAATCTCACCAGGTTCAAGGTTGACTCAGCCTTCCATCCTTTCGAGGTAGGTAAAATGAGGACCCGGTTTGTGGGGGCAATAAGCTGACTTTGTATAAAAAAGAACACCGCTTTGGGGGGGGGGCGCGAAAGCCTTACTAAGCAGGTGTATACAAAAGTATGAAGGCTATTGCTTAACGCATTGTAAGCCGCCCTGAGTCTCCGGAAAAGGGCAGCATATAAATCAAACCAATAAATAAATAATAAATAAACAGGGAAACTGCAAATAAGACATGTACTGTATCAAAACATAACAGAAGAACACAGTTTGAAGGGACATTGGAGGTCTTCTAGTCCAACCCTCTGCTCAGGCAGGAAACCCTGTAGTATTTCAGACAAATGGCTGTCCAATCTCTTTAAAACTTCCAGTGTTAAAACATACATAACTTCTGGAAGCAATTTGTTCAACTGCCAGGAAATTTCTCCTTAGTTCTAGCTTGCTTCTATCCTTGATTATTTTCCATCCATTGCTTCTCGTCCTGTCTTCGGGTGCTTTGGAAAATAGGTTGACTCCCTTTTCTTGTGGTAACCCGAGATATTGGAATACTGCTATCATGTCACCCGTAGTCCTTCTTTGCATTAAACTAGATCAGGGTGTCAAACTCAAGGCCCATGGAGTGCTTAGTTCTGGCCTGCAAGGCTGCCCTGGAAACAGCTGAAGACCGACCTGTGGCACCTCTGCCAGTGAAAACAGAGCTTGGGAGGGCTCTGTTTTCCCTGGCAGAAAGTTGCAGGAGGCCATCACAGCTGGAAATGGAGATCAGGAGCCTGTTTTTGCTGGCAGAGTGCTCGAGCTATCAAAGATGCCACCGACACTAGTGACGTCGAACTGGCCATGCCTACCCTGGATACACACACACCCTGGCCCCTGGGGCCAAACACAACCCTGATGCGGTCCTCAATGAAATTCAGTTTGACACCCCTGAACTAGACATCCCCAATTCCAGCAACCATTCTTCATATATTTTAGCCTCCAGTCCCCTAATCATCTTTGTTGCTCTTCTCTGCACTCTTTCTAGGATCTCTACATCTTTTTTACATTGTGGCGACCAAAGTTGGGTGTAGTATTGGCGTGGTCTTACCAAGTCATTATAAAGTGGTATTAATACTTCACATGATCTTGATTCTATTGCTCTGTTAGTCAAGATGGGAAGGCCTGGAAAAAAACCCAGAAAAATTGGGGGAAAATAGATTTGTTTCTGGGTTTTTGGTTTTTTTTTTTAATTTCCCCTCCCCAAATGGTTTTGGAAAACCCCTGTTTTTTCCCCAATTTCCCCATGTGGCCTAGGACTACATTGGCTTTTTTGGCAGCTGCTGCACACTAAAACATAGGTGGTAAAATTAAATCTCTTTAATTCTTTACAGCAGGGGTCAGCAACCCATGGCTCCGGAGCTGCAAGCAGCTCTTTGGGCCCTCTGCCATGTCTCCCTGTCCCATCATTGGTTGGCCCTCCCCCTCATTTCTTTTTTGGACTCCAACCCGAAGTGGCAGGAAGCGAAGGCTGCCTTAACGCGCAAATGTGGCATGAAGGCAGGTACAGGGCAGCTTCTCTCCTGCACTCTCGTCCCCCCCCTCCTCTCATAACCCTCTGGCCAGCTGTGGCTGACCTGGGAGCGTGCACACGCGCGAGGAGACCCTCCTTAAGTGAGCCACTGCCCACCCCGCATGCGCCTTTCCTGAGCTTTGGCACTCGCTTGAAGAGGGTCTCCCCGCACGTGCGCACTCTCTCTGAGAGGAGGAGGGGTAGAAGGGTTGCTGGAGAGTGCAGGAGCGAAGCTGCCCTGTACCTGCCTTTGCGCCACATTTGGACCTAAGGCAGCCTTTGCTTCCTGCTGCTTCGGGCTGGAGTCCAAAAAAGAAATGAGAGGGGTGAGGCCAACCAGTGATGGGACAGGAATGGAAATTCCTCATTTTGAAATGGTAATACAAATCCCCAAGGTAATTACTATTTATGTTGTATAAGAGAGAGTAGCATATTGCTTTGCCAATTCACATGACTTCCTAATATGCAACTATTACACATCCACATGAACTTTTCAATTGCCTCAACAGAATTAAAATTACTCTCTCAGGAAAGACACATGTGTGTTTTCTCTCTCTCCCTCCATGCTCAGCCGAAGAGCTGCCGGTGTGGGCGAGGACACAGCAAGGCGATGGCCGGAACATTAGTGCAGGAGAGAAGCCGTGTCCTGTTAAGACCCTCTTAAGCGAGCGGCCTCCCACCCCACGCACGCCTTTACTGCGCTTTGCTCCAGGCCAGGGAGTTACAAGAGGAGAGGGGAGGAGGAGGACTGTCGCCCAAAGGGAAGGCGGGAGACACACACACAAACACACACACACACACATACACACATAGACATAGAGAGAGACACATACAGAGTGATTCACAGAGAGACAGAGAGAGACACATACAAAGTGATACATAAAGAGGAGAGAGAGAGAGATACAGAGGGAGAGAGACACGGGGAGAGAGGGCAAGATAGGGAGAGGGACAGACACATAGATACAGAGAGTGGGGGAGAGGGGGAGAGACAGGGAATGGTTTTGTGGCTAGGGGATCATATGACTGGATGGGAGTGAGTGACATCGAGTTAGCTACCCAGGTTTTGTGGCTCCTGGTGTGTTTTTTTTTCTGTAGGCAATGGGTCCAAGTGGCTCTTTAAGGGTTTAAGGTTGCCGGCCCCTGCTTTAGAGGTTGTGTATTGTTAGCTATATCATATGTGGGTTATTTTTTTTTTTTAATGATGTACGGTTTTCATTCCTTTTTTTCTTATAAGTTGTCTAATTTTGATGTATGTTACTCAGAGTCACATTGTTTGAATTGAGTGGTCATATAAATCTTTGTAATAAAATATATATTCCTCCTCTTTCCAGAGTTCTAAAGTGTATTGATATAAGTTGTTCCCCAGGTAAAAGATTTGATACTGCCACCACCTGTTCTTGGAATAACTTTTCATCTGAAATCTAGGTGGAACTAAAACGAGATTGCTTTCCCCAAATTCAGCTTCCAAATAAAAGATCCCAATTATTCTTAATAATTGGATTCCTGTGGTTTGGTATATAACTTGTATTTAAATATTGTATATTTCTTTCCAACTGGTTCCTATATTAAGTCTCACTTATTATAAAACCCTTAAGAACCATAGACAATTACAGTAATCTATATCCATTTATAGTTATGAGCAAAAGCAATTTTTTTAAAAAGCAAAATGGTATTTATCTAAACTTCTTTAAAAGAATGTGGGACAACTTTTTGGGCAAAGAGATGAACTTTAAAAAACCCAGTCTCTGAGGGTATTTTTTCAGCATCATAGGGTGATGGGACTAACTTTCTGTCATTTTAAAGAGATGATATGCCAGATATATAAATCTCTTAAAGACTGAATACTACAATTCTGCTTTTTTCTGCAAAAGCTCTTTTTTAAAATTTCTAATTTTTGCAGTGCAATTAGAAATTGAGGTTTTTAAAGACCAGAAAAAATTAGCTTTGAAATCATGTATACCCCTCTGTACAAACAACATTGAATTGAACATTCTCATTAGTCATTAAGAAACGAACAAGAGAAATGACTTACAAGCATAAGAATTGTAGCTATCAAACGAGTGGGTTCAAACATTCTTTTTAATTGTTTCACTGGTCCCATAAGAAAGACAGTACTACAAAAGAAAATGATTAACATAACCTTCAACAAATATATAGAATAAAAATATTTTGACTTAATCACATAGCAGCAGAAATTAACAGAGTTATGAATTTCAAATATTACTAATGCTAATCTCATTAACACATTTGAAAGTCTTTTATCATCTACAAGTTCAAAATAAGGATCATTTACCTTCCAAGGGAGGAGATATTCCCCAGGGTGTAAAATACTCCAAACAAGATAACTCCTTTCTTAGGAACCCATAGTAGACATGAACCCTAAAAAAGAGAAAATGAATATTTTTGTCAGCCTGAAAACCTGACAGAAATAAGGAGCCTGTAAAAATGTATATATTGTACTGTAGATAAAAGTATAAGGGACTATTACATTCAGATTCTTTTATTAATTCTGAGTCTGTTTTTTAAAGCATTAAATATGCCAATAAAGCAACTTAAGACAACATTACTATGTATAATTCACAGTCCTGTTTTCAGAGGGAGCAATTATCATATAATAACAAACTCAGACTTCTTGAATGTTAATCCTTACTTAGCCAAAATAGCATAATCCATGTATAAATGGGTGGAGAAGGAATTCGGCTTTGAGTACACCCCATGGACATAGGAAATGCCCTGATCAGCAATCACAAATAGGAAGGAAATGGAAAAGTGTCTCTAAGAGGCTGAAGAGAAGTATTCTGCAGGCAGCCTTTGATTTTATTTATTTATTTATTTATTTTATTAGATTTTTATACCGCCCTTCTCCCACTGGACTCAGGGCGGTGAACATTTTTTATAAAAAGAATTAAACAAATTTTGGCCCAATAAATTTAAAACACCCCAACTAAATCAATTAACAATTAAAAATATCTAAGGGGGGGGGGTTTAAGCCAGCCCGGCTTGATGAAATAAAAAAGTTTTAAGGGCATGGCGAAAAGCACGGAGATCTGGGATCCTACGTATCTCCGGAGACAGGTCGTTCCAGAGGGCAGGTGCTGCCACAGAGAAGGCCCTCCCCCTGGGGGTCGCCAGCCGACATTGTCTGGCCAACGGCACCCTGAGCAGTCCTGCTCTGTGGGAGCATACTGGCCGGTCGGAGGCTATCGGTGGCAGAAGGCGGTCCCGTAAGTACCCAGGCCTAAGCCATGGAGCGCTTTAAAGGTGGTAACGAACACCTTGAAGCGCACCCGGAAGACCACCGGGAGCCAATGCAGCTCGCGCAGGAGGGTATCACATGGGAGCGCCCCGTCAGTCCCATAATCCCCCGCGCGGCCGCATTCTGCACTAGTTGGAGTCTCCGGCTGCTCCTCAAGGGGAGCCCCATGTAGAGAGCATTACAGTAGTCCAGGTGGGAGGTGACGAGTGCCTGAGTGACCGTGCGTAAGGAGTCCCGATCCAGAAAGGGACGCAACTGGCGAATCAGGCGAACCTGATAAAAAGCTCCCCGTGGCCACGGCTGTCATATGCTCTTCTAAAGACAGCCATGCATCCAGGAGGACGCCCAAGTTGCGAGCCCTCTCCGTGGGAGCCAGTGACTCACCCCCAATAGCCAGCGATGGCACCAGCTGGCTATATCAGGGCGCCGGCAGCCACAGCCACTCGGTCTTGGAAGGGTTGAGTCGGAGCCTGTTTCTCCCATCCAGACCCGCACGGCCTCTAGGCACCAGGACATCACTTCAAGGGCATCATTGGGATGGCCTGGGGTGGAGATGTACAGCTGAGTATTATCAGCGTACTGATGAAACTCCACCCCAAAACCACGGATGATCTCACCCAGAGGCTTCACATAAATGTTGAACAGAAGGGGTGAGAGGACCGACCCCTGCGGCACCCCACAAACAAGGCGCCTCGGGGTCAACCTCTGCCCTCCTGCCAACACCGACTGCGACCGGTCAGAGAGATAGGAGAACCATCATAAAACGGTGCCTCCCACCCCCAACCCCTCCAACCGGCGCAGCATGATACCATGGTCGATGGTATCAAAAACCGCTGAGAGATCTAACAGGACTAGGATAGAGGAAAAACCCCTATCCCGAGCCCTCCAGAGATCATCCACCAATGCGACCAATTCCGTTTCCGTGCTGTGCCCAGGCTTGAAGCCGGACTGGAGCGGATCCAGATAGACATGCCTTCAGTTAATTATTTGGCAATTAATGTAGTTTTCTTCAAGAAACAAAGAGGTATGGTTCGACTAGGAAAAAATATGCTAAAATGATATACTGCACAATATACTTACTTGGGAGTACACTCACTGAACTACAATTTATTTTTTGTTTGCTTATAATTTTTTGGTTTGTTGCCCCTTCAGTACACAAGTAGTAAGCATAGCATGTGCTTTGTTGCCCCTTGAGTATAGAGAATCCTAATTCCAGGGCATTAAATATTAAAGTGTTTTAATGTTCAATCAGCAAGTTTTATTTTGACTATTTTATATGGCAATTGCACTTTAAGAGATTGCAGCAGAGGTGGGTTTCAGCAGGTTCTGATCAGTTCTGGAGAACTGGTAGCGGAAAGTACTTTTGAGTAGTTCGGAGAATAAATCAAAACCCATTCGCCAAAACACATGTGTTACTTCAGTTAGGATATATCCATGATGTACAATAAGAAGCAGTTGAGAATAAGTGTCAGCATCAATACTATTTTGTACTGCAGGTGATAAGTGTCTCATAAGAGCAGAATTTTGTGATAAGAATAGAAGAAATTAAAAACTTACCAGAAAAGAACACAGAAATCCTATTATAAAACAAGCTATGAAAGCTTTCAGTCTGGTACTCCAGCTTAAGGTAGTTGCATCAGCTATCTGGAAATATTAAAAGGTAAAATAAGGATGCTAACAAATCAATTCAGTTCTTGATGAATGCATCTATGAAGCTTTCTTGGCAGCATTATGCAGTGTTTTCCCACTGTCTTCTTCCAGGATTGTTTTTCAATTTCCCAGTATAGCCAACAGTGCCCAGTCTTCCCATGCATTAACAAGAAGATTCTCTTTAGGTTTGTAAATAAGCAAAGATCAGTGTCAAACAACGTAGTAGCTGTTGCTTTCTATTTTTTTTCCTAGCAGCTTAGTAACAGCAGGAAGTATCAAACATCTTCTTTAAAAATGTTTTAAAATAAAATGGTTCCATTTTAAGTTTCATCCATGCCAAGGAGTGGTAACACTGGACTGCGTTTTTTTACTAGAAACTTTCTTAGTTCTAAAATACTCTCCATTGTTGCCTGGGTTTCCTCTCCCGCTTTCTCATGCGCTATCAGATTAACATTTTAACATTTATACACTACCAAAATTCATTAAATTTACTCTCTTTCTGCTGTTTTACTGCTTATATGTTATGCCCAACCGCTGCTGGTTTTAGCTTTTAGCTTAAATTTAAAATCATGCTTTTATAATGCTAAAAGCTACCTGCTAAATAAGCTTTTGGAGTTTCTAATTTTTAATTAAAAAATAAAATATCTTCCAGATAAAGCAGTGGGGAAACAGGAGGCAGCAGTGTACACCACTTTGGTACAAATATATGTAGGATATAAATCTAATAATATAGTAAATAAATGTACAGTATTTTGAAATAGTCCAAAGGAAGGCTGTTGTGCTTCTTTTTTAAGAAAATACTAATCATTTCTAATTCCTGGCATGAAAAGATCCGTGGCCCTTCATATAAGACTGCCCAAAGCCATTTACGCTGCTTCCAAAGCTGAAGGCTGACTCAAATCTGGGTTTTCCAGCTGCCCGTCAAACTGGTTAATCAGTGCTCTACATTGGCTTTAATTTTTAAATAACTCCCCTGAGTAATTAAACCACAAATTTAGCCATAACTTTCATAACCATTTTAATCTGCAAAGCCTTTCATTGTTTGTTTGTTCCTATATGCTTGTGCTTTGCAAATACTGCTCAGAGTGATTTGCTTGTTACTGATACAACCTTTTCATAATTTCTTCCCATGAGACCCTATCCTGTTTTCAGTGTTTCAGATACCTCTTCAGTATACTAGAGACATATTTTAAATTTGGTAAAAATTAAAAACTCGTTTTTAATTCTCTAGCCATGATATCTATCAAAATGGGACTCTGCACTTTTTCAGTGTCTGTGAAACTATAAAGACATTCATTTCATCAAAACAAAGTACCAAAGGAGAAATGGCAAATTTTCTAAGACTAAGAAGCAATAATTCGTGTCTTCCTTTTTTAAAAAAAATATATATACTGTAATGTCAAAGGCTAAAAATGTTGGAAGTGTAATAAAGAAACAAGTAAATTACGCAAGTACTGACAGAAAGGTGTGCATATACGACTCATCCATGTTTACCCTAATCATGATTCCTTCACATAACCCAAATTTCTGGATTTACACAACACAGTAGCATAAACTAACCGGAGGAACTGTTTACTCAGCATGCTAGGCTAAAAGGTGACTATTAATGGCTCAAATACATCCTGCTAATACAGCCATGATGTGTGGGACCACAGTGCCTTTATTCAAAATTAGGATTATTACCCTACAGCAGTGTTTCTCAATCTTGGAAGCTTGAAGATGGGTGGACTTCAACTCCCATAATCCCCCAGCCAGTGCTGCTGGCTGGGGGATTTTGGGAGTTGAAATCCACCCATCTTCAAGCTACTATTGGAAGAAATATCCTTCTGGGTTCTGCTCCAAGTGAGGAAAAAGACACTGGAAACATGGAGACTGCTTGGAAAGATAGTTTAATGGTGGACAGGATCACATGGCTTGAGTTCCTGAACAGAAAAGAGCAGATACAGCAAGTCTCCGGGTTTTATGCTTTTTCTGGCTTTGAACATCCTGGGCCCCAGAAAGAGTATCCTGATTGGTTATCAGACTCCCAGGGAGTGGGGGTCTTCCCAGGTGCCATGTGGTGAGTTTCTGTCCTAGATGGGTCCTATTGTGTTGCAGTTGAAGGTCCATTGACAAGGATTGAGTTTCTGCCTCTGGCCCATTAACAAAGGTGGGTTGGGGGGCAGGAAGGTGGGAGTTGCTTTGTCTTTAAATCACGTTTCTCCATTTCTCAACCAGGGAAACATAATATTCTGCCTTTTTAATATTTGCTAAAATATTTCATTTTTCCAGGAAAGGGGTGGGTGCTAACTTCCTACACTACCAAGGTTGAGAAACACTGCCCTAGAGTTAAAAGCACCAGAACTTTGCAGAATGAAGAAAATGATACACTGGCGGTGGACAGAAGCAGCAAAACATGATGAAACAAGACAAAGGAGAAAGTCCAAAAGAAAACACAACCTAAACGGAAGAAGACGACGCAGGTGGTAACTTAGCATCGCCTTAACCTGTTGAAATAAAGAGAAGCTTACCTCTGCCAGAGGTCCCGGGTCCTCCGCGTCCTGCCCACTGAGAACTCGCTTTAATTTATCCATCCCTCCTGGTCCAGGCACTCCCGAGTTTCGCCAGTTCCAATATCGGTTCCAAACAACCTCCTCTAGCTTCGCAAGACTACAGCTCCCAGCAGACAGAACATTCAGATATTCCTTAAGCTTCCGTCTTCCGCCCGGTGCCTTTCAGAGCTACTTATCCCGTCCCACCGCTGCGCTGCAGGTCGGGAAATGTAGTTGGGGTGTTTCCCACTTACGCGCGTAGAAGGAGTTTTTAGTCCTGAGGACAAGGCTCTTTTCTTCACGCGCTTAGCTCGGTGTTCCTCAACGTCAGCCACTGTAAGATGTGTGGACTTCAAATCCCAGCATGCTAGCAAGGGAATTCTAAATATCGGACTCTGTACATCTTAAAGTTGCTGAGGTTGAGAAACACTGGTTTGTCTCATGCGGTTTTGCTCGTAAAAGGAAATGGCTACACACACTCTGTACTGTAGATATATTCTGGACTGTAATTGAGCGCTGGACTGTCTTGACTGCTTTGGTTAGACAAAGCTTATAATATAAACCCCTTAATTCAAGATGACTATGCATTGTTCAAAACCATCTGGTGTCCTAGTGTTATCTATTTTTTTCTTTCTTATTACATTGTGGAAGGACAGTGTGACATGAGATTTTTCTGTGCAAAAGTCAAGGGTGCTTTTCTCCTTGATGGTCTGACTACGTGTTCAGTTTAGGCATATAGGCAATTACAGCAAAAAAAAAAAAAAAGGTCTGAACTCCTTAGAGAATAATAAGCAAGCTTTACATAGATTTGGTGGCATTAAAGTACAGTATTAAAAATATGTTAGAGCAAGTATATATAAAAGGGCTTTTATTCTAGGTTTGGCAGGAGATATTGCTGGAAAGGCAATGGGACAGGACATTAGGGGACAGGACTACAGAAAGCAATTGCTATTGTTTTTTTCCTGTGTTTTGCTTAACATTAACCCCGAAGGGGAATAATGTGATGGGCATATCTATATTATTGACTACCAGCATCAAAAATTTACACCATTACTGCTGCAATATAAAACTTTTCTGCATTGGTGACGATCACAATAATGTTTGGATTATCCTATAAACTATCAATAAGGTTAAGCTCTAAGGCAAAATTATTGTTCGTTTTACATATTCAGGATTTAATTATGTCCTATTGAAGGAAAGTAAGAACACATGGTCGCTAAGCCATGCTTAGCTTTAATATACTTTAATATTCTACTCACATACAGAATGAATTTTTCCTACGGAGTCCCTTCATGTTTTTATCTGATTTTATCTGAAAATTGAAGCAGAGTCCAAGGAAAATAGATAAAATGTGTGCAGTACTTTCAATGTTGAATTTATGTTTACTGACAAAGAAGGGAGACTAGTATAGAACTATTTCAGGCTATTTAGCTCTCATCAGCTAGCCATACCCTTCTGGGATGCAAACCCAAATGTTTCTGTCGGTAAACAAATTCAACACAAAAACAGTTTATCGCAAAAGCGACTGCCTACGAAGGCCCCTGGATTGGGCCTGAAAGGAAAAGCGGAAGCAGTATGCTCCATCCCATAATTGGGTAGACACAGTTGTCCTGATAGACCGGTACGACCGGAAAAACAGTACTTTCAATGTTCAAATGCAACTGTGTAGCTAAAATCCCATTGATTCCCTTCAACACCCATGTTTTTGAATCAATGATACTGGTGTGTTTTCCTTAATGTAAACAAGCATAATTATATATTCATGACTTGTGTATGGGAGAAACAAGTATGGTGGTTTTCCATACCTAGTGTAACCTACATTCACATATTGTATAAATTCTTATCAATAACTATTTGAATATTGTAGAACTAGGTTATCTACAATTAAGCAAGAGTTCTTCAGAGGATAGTAAACTCCATTCTACTATAGCCAGCAGGGTGAAATGATGGACAAACCAGGGAATAGAATACCATTCGGGAATTGGCACGGGTTGGCAGTAATATATGGCCTTCCTCATCACTGACTTTTCACCAAGTTGTCTAGGCTTGTTGATAATATCCAGTGAGCAAAATAATATTGATCATCACCCTTAGAAGTTTGTGAGTTAAAGAGTTTCTTCTCCATAGACAGCCAAGGAAGCAAGTCAACTAAAGCTTAAAGATCAACTCCACTATTACAATAATTTTTTTCTTCCATTCCATTGTATATAATTCTCAGAGACTGCCTGGACATGTCCGTGCAGCTTTCTTGGCAGTTTTTCAAAAGTGCTTTACCATTGCTTCCTTCGTAGCATGGACAGAAAGTGACCAGCTCAAGGACACCCAGCTGGGACTAGAATTCATGTCTCCCAACTTCTAGCCTGATGCTTTAACCACTACACCAAACTGGTTCTCTATTACAGGAATTACATGCAACAAATCTGAAGAAAATCAAATTGAAGGGAAAAAAAATTTTCACTTAAAAAAAGGCCTTTCTTATTGCAATATCTAAAATGAAAGTGATATGCTAAATGCAACTTTTTTATTTTGTGACCGAACACAAACCATTACATGTTTCTTACTAAACAACATAAGCCTTTTTCATGCTGACAAGAGTACAACTTTAGTAAATAGTTCTGCACAAGTGCTACTGAAATGAAGGGATATACAATGTAACTTCCATTAACTTCAAAGTTGTAAATATTGATGGTATAATATACCTTTTGAAGGTATGAATTTGGTTAATTTCACAAAGAAATGTTTACAAGAACAAATCCCACACAGGAGATTTCACTACTGTTAAATGTCAAGTAGAATATGCATAATACAGGGATAAGGATCCAGTTTTCTGTCCCTCTCTGGTCTGAATTTGACAGTTATATGCAACTATTTGTTGTAGGACAAATAACTAAAATAAATTTAGCTTCTTGAAAGAAATTTTAAAATATGACTAATTTTATATTTGTAAGTGTTGTTTGCCCTTGCTTTTGAAATCTTTTTGCTTCTTGTTTCTTCTTCTATTTTATCCCAATCACTTTTGCAGTCTAATTATCAATTCTATTTTGTTATATGACCAGTAATCATGACTAGCTATGCAGTATATACAGTTAAAGTTCTCTCAAGATGTAGGATCAATGTATTTTTCTTAATAAATTCTTGAGTCAACATGTGTATTGGAAAAGCATACTCTTTTTTTCAAAGCAAACCAAATCCCTGCCTGGCTGAATGTTTACCTTTGTACTATGTCAAAGTAGTAAATATCCAATGTTGTTTCAGGCAAGGCTTAATATGGTTTAAAAATCTAGAAGTTAACCTACATCTTTACTCTTAACACACTGCATAAGACCCAATGCAATTTGTTGCTAATACAATGGACACTGAATTAGACTGCCTCATCTCTGTACTTCTGAAAGGGTTATTTGGCTTTTTCAAGTAAGAAAATTGAAACACAGAATAAGGACAAAACAAGCAGTCTTATTGATTTTCACTCTTCTCCCTTGAGGCAATAGATAAGAAAAATCATATCAGAGAACTGTATATATTTATACTGTACCAGACTGAGTTTTTATGAGTCTACTATCTTCTATAAGAAATATATGAATGATGCAGTTTGGTAACTATTTTATAAATATATGTGCAATCATTTTTATCAAAAATACTGATATGCGTGTCTGTCATAGTTGCAATAGGCCAATACTAATACTTTATATTCTGTTACAAATATTATAAGAATTTAATTTGTATTAACAATCTAATCAATATAAACTTGCAATATATTTAAAAGGAGGTAACTTCAGGTTGACAAGGAGGAGCATTAACAATTTCAATCTGTGATACCATATTAACATCTAATTTATGACAGAATGGTAGGAATCAGGCAAAAATGGATCCTATTGTTATCTGTAAACTTATTATGTAGCTTGCTTGTTTTACAATTAGTGAAAGATTTTGCTTTATTTAGAAGGTAACAAAGCTGATATCTGATAAGACAGGCAGCAAGCAAATGAGGATTAAGAATATCATTCAATATACATTAAATTTCATGAACTGATCAAGCATCAATGATCCCTCAACAAAGTAATCAAATTTAACCTAGAGAAGAAACATAATTAATTATTCTCTTTCACACTATATGAAACACAAGTCCTTTTATAACAAAAGACTATGTTAAAACAACATCCTTAAAAGTTACTGCACTTATGAAGGACTCTTGTTCTGTTTTGATTTTTGAACATCTGTGCAGTCTTTCTTGAAATGTTGCATACTTTAATATAACTGATCCTGATTTGGGGAATTACTCTCCAATATCAGTAACAGCAATTTCCTATTAGATGAGAGCATATTCAAAACAGAGACACAATGAAGGTACAGGAAAAACTTCCAAGTTAGCTTCACCCACCCAAGGCTACAGAAATTTTAGCCAGGCCTCAAGACAGATCTTCATCCAGCATCTTCAGTGCTAAGGGCCAAGAAGATAAGAACAGGATCTATATCAAGTTCAACAGATTATGCTGATCTCATTAAGTGCCTTCTGGTGCAGCTGCAGATTCATGACATGAGTTCTCAGGAAATTCCAGCTTCTCGCAAATATTTTCTTTGACAGGCAAATACTGGGCAATCTCATTAGGATCCGTGAAAAGTGTTGGGGGAATGTGCTTGAAATAGGAGAGAGATCATTATTTAGAGAACAACAAAAGAGAAAGTATATCTAAATATAAATGTAAGTTAACATTACATTAACATGTTTGGGAAATATTCTTTTAACTACAGATTTTTGTTTTCCAATGTTTCCTCTTCTTTTACTCTGAAAACTAGACAGCTAGAGAAAGTGAAATGAAATTGCTTACTTCTTCATATGGTCTCCCAACTTGCATTTACAACTCTGAATGCAACAGTACTATATAACAAATTATTACACTAGGGAGAGTGGCGTGCTAGAACTGGCTTGCATTTTTCTGGAATTTTATGAGGTGATTCAGCAGAAGTGAGTCTCAATACTTAGTATGCACTGTTCCACAGCCAGTAGACCGAAGCAACAGTGATGGCAATAGACATTTAGCATTAATGGCATAATAGCAATATACACCACTGACTAGAAACAGAATCATATGAATTTTAAGAACTTGTTTACCAAATCTTTTCCCATGTTATATAATTTTAGAAGCTCAGATGCGAGTCTGAGATTAAATAATGGAATAAATAATTACAACAGGAAATGAAGTTTAATCTTTTGAATAAGTAGAAATTTTTGTTATTAAAAATGTTTTATGGTTATATGGTTTAAAATATAAAATATGGTTAACAGGAATATCTGAATTTAATGTGATAAGGTTTTTACTTACTAGTCCTGCATACACAAATACTCTTGAGTGATCACAAGAATGAGAAGCTACAATTGTTTCCCCGAAAATAATACACGGTCTTATATTTTTTTTGGACTCCAAAATAAGCACTAAGGCTTATTTTCGGGGGATGTCTTTTTTTTCCCCATATACAGGAGGCCCACTTCTGCTTGCTCGCAGCCACAATGGGGCAGAAGGCCACACAGCATGCCAGTTACTACATAAAAGTGAACAAACTGGAAGAGGAAATTGTCAAATTGTTCAAGTCATACGAATGGACCCACTGAGTAATCTTGATAGAATATAAATATCAGGTAGAATATATATTTGTATTTTTTCAAAATATTGATACCTTTAGATTTGATACTTTGCTTTCCCTAGAGGTATATTCCCGCAATATGTATGATTTGTTAGCCTATTAAAAAGAAAGCAGATAAAATGTATTTTCATAACATTAAAACAGATTTAATATGTACATATAGTTTCAAATAAAATGAAACTTCTGTAGTACAAAAGTTATCTATTGCAACACTAAACACAAAATCCTGTTATGATATCCAATACAGATGCTGTAAATATAGTATTATTTACAGATAGTAATAAACCAACTACATTCATACTGGAAATGCTGAAAATAACATATGTAGATCCACATGCCATTTTAAATTTGATAAGATCCATACAGGATGTACTTAGGTAGTATATATCTATATATTGAATATTTGTATTTTAAAATATACTGTTCTACACAGTACAGATGGAATGTACACAGTATTACAATAATTGTATTACAGACAGTATATAAATTAAAAAACTAATAGCTGCATATCTCATTCCTAATATTTTTAGGTCTACTTAACAAAAGCCATGTACAGCGAACAAAGCAGAGAGATCTTTGGGATTTTTAGAAGTCTATTCAACTACCCTGTTTCCTTCAAAATAAGACATCCCCTGATAATAAACCCAATCGGGCTTTTGAGCGCATGGCAATAAGGCCGAGCGCTTATTACAGGGTTCAAAAAAATATAAGACAGGATCTTATTTTCGGGGAAACACGATAGTTGAACAAAGAAACAGCTAACAAAGCTGCATATCATATTTCTAAAATTAGAGACAATGGCATACGTGCATTAGCAAATAAAATGTCACTTCTAAGCATCAAAGTATATCCTGTTTTTTATGACTTTTTCAACCAAATGTTCACATTAAGATTTTCTTACCTCATGATAAACTCTTGTATCATTCATCCTAATAAGAACTCCATCAACTCGCAAGAAAAACCTCAACAGCACAAAAAAAACTGGAAGGCATTACTCTCTGTCAAACATATCAAAAATAATTTACACTTGCACACATTTAAAACAGATTACTTTAACAGGTAATTAAAAACATGGTAAATGTCTTCAAAGCCTTCATTAAAGAATAATATTACCTTTCCAATAACTTTTAAGACGATAATCTTAATAGATCTTAATTTCCTGCAGGCACAAATATGTGATCAGGAAAATCTGTAAGCTAATCAGTTTTGTATTTTTACAAGTCTGGGAAAATGTCAGCAATGTAGACATTATTTTTAGCATACACTATACAGGTAGTCTTCAACTTATAACAATTTGTTTATTGACCGCTTAGTTACAATGGCACTGAAGAAAGTGACTTATGACCATTTTTCACACTTATGACTGTTGCAGCATCCCCGTGATCATGAGATTTACATCTGGATGCTTGACACCTGGTTCATGTTTATGACATTTGCAGTGTCCCAGGGTCATTTGATCCCCTTTTGCAAACTTCTGACAGATTCACTTAACAATCATGTTAGTAACTTAACAACTGCAGTAAATTCACTTAAGAGTGGCAAGAAAAGTCATAAAATGGGGCAAAACTCACTTAACAAATTTCTCACTTACCAACATAAATTTTGGGCTCAATTGTGCTTGTTAATTCAGGGGTGTCAAACTCGAAGCCCAGATGCATCATGCGCTGGCCACATCCACCCATTTTAGCAAATGGGAGGAGTTGTGATACGTCACGTAACAATTTGTCTTCGCTAGTTTGACACCCCTTTGTAAATCAAGGACTACCTGTAGTGTATAAAGCACATAAAATCTTGCTCTCTTGTACAAGGAAAGATTTTTCCTACAAAAGAAATGTTCACAAAATTAAAAACTGTCCTATGCTCACTCTGAATAAAAAGCCTTACAAAATAAAATGTAATCTTATCACCATGTGTGTGTACGATATACATTTTTGTATAATGTTTCCTGCATCATTTTAAAATCAATCTATTGCATTTTTGCAATGACTTGTTTATATCCGCATTATATAATTTAATTAATTATTTTATTATATAATTCCAACTAAATAAAAGGTTATTTGAAATTTAAATAGGAAAACGCCCAAAAGAAACAAATTTAAGGAATATTACTAATAGGTTTGTGATTCTCTCAGTTCTGTATTTTTCTGCATTTTATACAATTATGGAAGAAGCATGTAAAAGATTACTGGACTCACAATTTTGACACTCAGACTTGAAACCCCATGATCATGAAGTTCATCTTCAAACAAGAGCACTTCTTCAAAAAACATTATCTGTTCCCTGGCTTTTAATTTCTCTGTATCTATATGTTCTGTTGTGGAAGAAACCTAGAACAACACAGTAGAAATTAAATGTTCTTTCTCATATAATTGATTCCCCAACTGTTCAACAAATTCATTCTTGCAAATAGTTGACCATCACAATCATACTTTTAACTTTAGTGTTTCACCAAGCAGAGTTCCTTTATAGTCTGTTGTGTAAGTCCAATCATATGGTTTAACAACTTCCTTTGTGTGTTCGGGCTCAGACCTACAGGAAAAGACAAATATAGCATTATCAAGTACAGGACCAGGCAAAAAAGTATTTCTACACATCTATTTTACAAAATACATCAATGATGATTCTATAAATCAATATGCATCTGTAAACTGATAGATTTAATGTGCTAAGAAAAAATGTGATAAGGCATTACAGTATTTTTTTACTACTATAAAAAAAATTCTTATTTTTTCCCTCAAAAATGTTAGCTACAGAAGCAATGTAGCCCTGTTCACTTCTTCCTGCTTTTATGCTTATACTTATAATCATGTACATTGTGACCTTGAAGTAAATTCAGTTTCAATCACCTAGAAGTAACATGTATATAGTAGGATTAGATGGTAGCTGTTCAAAGATGAAGCAAAATATTGGATATTTCATCAGGATTCTTCCTCAGACAATCTGATATATTTGAACAATTATTTTTGTACAAGACCACATGTGTATCAAGTGAACAACATAAATACAGATTATATGTATTAAGGAACTGCAACCCTTCAGAACTGATTCCCAAAAGATGCTTCAGAATACACTAGTGCACATGTAGCACCTGCCTACCACTCTTTAACCCAATAGTGTTATAAGGATTACATGGTTTATCTGCTTCAATGAGATGGGACCAAATAAACAAAATAAGAAATTGCTTTAAAAGAATTTCAGACAAGTATAAGATCTGAAGCAGTTTGGGGGAATCAGATCTGAAGCATTACATAGCTTCCAAAATCATTCCTTAGGGCCCATCAAGCTATACTATTTAAAAAACTCACAAATAAATATGCTATTACCTGCTTTCTTGCCACTCTTCTGCACAAGCAACTTTAACCATTCCTTGGGCGTTATTTACGCATTTTAAAGCATCAGTTGCATTGAACTCTATGCCAAAAAGCAGTTCATGCTGAATTCTTAGGATATTGTCACCAAACATCATTTCCGGAACACATGGCATGTGCAGTTCTTCAGCTAACCTACACAGACACAAGATTAGATTATTTAGGAGCTGATTTTATAATTTAATTTTATAATTTAAAATAAATATGTATATTTTACCATATAATATTTTAGTATACATTTATTACATATTTGAAATTAGCAATTGGACAGCTTCCCTCTTTCTCCCCGAACACTAGACAGTTGTGATTCACTTTTAGGGATGACGGAAGGTAAGAATGCTGTGTAGAGCCTTGGTGGTGCAGCAGACTAAAGTGCTGTTAAATAGCACCAGCTGCCTGCAATTACTGCAAGTTCAAATCTCACCAGGCTCAAGGTTGACTCAGCCTTCTATCCTTTCAAGGTAAGTAAAATGAGGACCCGGATTGTGGGGGCAATAAGCTGACTTAAAAAAACAACACCGCTTAGGGGGGGCCAAAAGCCCTACTAAGCAGGTATATACAAAAGTATGAAGGCTATTGCTTAATGCAGTGTTTTCCAAACTTGACTCTTTGAAGATGTATGGACTTCAACTCCCAGAATTCCTCAACCAGGCATACTGGTTGGGGAATTCTGGGAATTGAAGTCCATGCATCTTAAAATAGCCAAGTTTGGGAAACACTGGCTTAATGCATTATAAGCCTCCCTGAGTCTCTGGAGACGGGTGGCATATAAATTGAACCAATAGATAAATAAATAAATAAATAAATATACAGAAGGTAATTCTAATAACAAATATGAAATCAGAACAGCAATCTAATACGGTTTGTCAAATACAAGCCAATCACAGCTTAACAGGAAAAAGACACAAAAACATATATGCAAAGTTATTCATATATTTGGAGCACTCCTTAGAAAGCATTGTTAAATAGAGAGAAAGGTACGGTATATTGAAAATAGATTGATATGGGAATATCAGTAAGAGAAGCTCTGATTTTATAGAGTTCTCTAACAAAGCAGCTTAATTTTAAAAGTCTGAAAAGTATTCTGCAAAGGGACCACTAATCATACTAAATACTCCACTGCTAACTTCGTAGATGAGAAGCCAGGGGGGGGGAAAAATCAGTATCTTGGTAGTAGACTGCACTCTGCAATCGCAACCTTCCCCCCCCCCCTCCCCAACAATCACGCTCAATCGCACCTCTCGGCATCGGCCGACTTGATGATGTGGGTCCGAGCGGCCGTTAGCTTCCACGGCCCGAAGGCAAAGTCGCGGCGGCTGCTTCTGAAGACAGGCATCATAATGGCGGCGTCAATCCCAAGGCGGCCAGCATAGAGACGGGAAACCTTCCTTCGGCCGGTGACAAGGATAAACCCCCAAGATAGGAAAACCTTGCAAACCAACGACCCCGAGCTCCTCTTCCACACGCAGCCGCAGCAGCACCGCCGCCGTCAAACATGCCACTTCCGCTTCCGAGTTTCCATGCCTCGGTATGAAATGAAAAGGCTTCGGGAACTCGCCTTCCGGTTCCTGGTCTCCGTAGGGCAGGGGGGGGGGTCTTCAACCTTGGCAATCTTAAAGCTGGCGGACTTCAACTCCCAGAATTCAGCTTTGTTGCTGGAGAATTCTGGGAGTTGAAGTCCACCAGGCTTAGAGTTGCCAAGGTTGAAGATCCCTGCCGTAGGGGGTGCTTTTCATGAGCGGAGCACGTGTTTAAAAGTTAGCTCAAAAGAATTCGTCAGGGTTTTTTTTCCCTATTGAACTTGTTGCAGGGCATTGAAATAATTAAGGTCCCTCCGCAGGAAGAACTGCAAGAAAATACTTGTAAGCATCTAATGCAGCGAAAGGGCAATTATACACTGCTTACAAAAATAAAGGGAACACAAGCAGAAGACATCCGAGATCTGAATGAATGAAATAACCTTATTAAATACTTTGTTCGTTACATACAGTAGTTTTGTGTTCCCTTTAGTTGTTTGAGCAGTGTATAAACTACTGTATGTAAAGAACAAAGTATTTAATAAGGCTATTTCATTCATTCAGATCTCTATTGTCTTCTGCTTGTGTTCCCTTTATTTTTTTGAGCAGTATATTATTTCTCCAGCAAGGCGTACACGTTTTCTTTCAGATATTGTAACGGGAAAGTCGTGCAAGTCTGTGGTCATCAAAACCCAGAAAGAAAGAAAAAATAAACTTCAAAAATTCAGAAATGATAGGGAATCAAACCCTGCGTTATCTAGTGTTGAAATCAGAATGCAATCTATATGCATCCCTACCGTTAAAATGGGCTTTAATGATAACCTCTTAGATAATAAATCATATAAGGGTTTGAAAAGGTTTGGGGGTTTTTGTTTGTTTGTTTGTTTTCTTGGAGAATGGAAAAAATGGTTTCTGTGTCTTTAAAAAAAGTGGACAAACAGAATCTTCTCAACTTTCTTGCAAGGTTGCGCTGGCCATTCATGACTTAGAAACAATACTATACAATAGCAGGAATTCAATCGAGATAGTCCTGTTCCATGTAAATAATTGGAAAAGTTGCACATATTTTATTTTTGCCCTTTATGAAGGGTGGACTAGTATCTTTTTTATCTTTCATTTTAGTTAAAAATGAGCATTAACTAAATTGAACATTAATATTAACTAAATTGATTACTAAATTATAATTTAAAGTGGGGAACAATAAAGAATATGTAATCAATTGATTGCTTAAGAAGTAAAATTTCTGTTTAAGACGAGAAAAAACACTGAGAATACAGTAGATAACAGCAATTGATGCTTTTCCTTTTTTCATTGTAATTTGTAGACTAAGCAGACTATCTTACTTTTCTCAGCCAGTAAGAGGCAGCTTCTAAGACTACACAGTCATGCAAACCTTGAATTTAGTTTGCTAAATTTGTCTTTGTGCTCAATTCCACCCTTCAACTATGTTTGTTCAATACATTAAAAAAGCTCATTAAAAAGCATGTTAACATATCTGGCCTGCGGGCTGGGAGTTTGACAGCCCTGCTGTAGCTCAACCACATTCTGCAATAATTACACGTGTTTGTTCATTCTGTCAACTTATAGTGTAGTTTATCTGATTGTAGCTTGGCACGTTATATGAACCTGGTCATTTAGTGCCAGGTATATGAAACATATTTTATAACTTGGTATATGTGAGTATGGCCAGTTGTGGCTTATTCAAGAAACCACTTTAAAATAAAGTATGGCTACATCTAAAGTCTGAACCAAAGTTGGGAATGGTGGAAAGAATGCAATTTTAAAAAATTAGTTATTTGTCGCTGCACTAATAAAGACTTTCTAAGGAAAAAAACAAATAGGCTGTTAGAGCATGTGCATTATCTCAGCAATGGTCCAATAATATAAATAATTGGGCCTGAGATTTATTTGAAATATTTATTACTGTTCTTGTTGTACATGTGGAAGATTTTAATAGGAACCAGAAATTAGGGTTCTGCATAACCTACAATTTGTGGAAATTTCAGAGTGCTGTTATTGCTTTGTATAATAAAACTTTTCCATTGATTCTATTGGTTGCCAGGCACAGTCTGGCAACAAGAAAAATTGCCATCAAGCCATCCTGAACCAGTTTTAATGAAAACAGCAAGAAAACTGACATTATTTTATAGCCTATACCAGTGTTGGCGAACCTTTTTCTTGTGGCGTGCCGGAAGTGTGTAAGTGCGTGCACAACAGCTCGATGTGTGCCAGCACTCATAATGCAATGCAAATCCTCCCACATGCGCATGCACACATGACCCCCACGCATGCGTCCTACATTGCGCATGCGCGCCCTGCACATGTATTTCGCCCCCCCCCCGCCCTGTTTTAGGCCTCAAAAGTTGTTATTCTGAGGGCAGTCCGGGGCTTCCCTGTCTCCCCGCCCGAGCAGACTTCTGGCATAGCCTCAAGCCTCCGGGAGAGAGAGGGTGGGAAGCCCCGGCCTGCTGCTCCTGCCGTTGCCACCCCTTGCCCCCAGCAAGAGCGGTTCTCGTGCTGCCGCTTCTCTGGCAGCACCAGGAGCAACTGCTGGGGCAGAGAGGGTGGGCTGTTTTTGCCGGGTAACAGACAGGCTGGTCCTGGAGCAGGCAGGAGAAGGAGAAGGTGAACTGCTCCAGAAGCCCTGCCTAATAGCACTGCGGCTTGCTCAAGGTAGCTGCCGTTTGGACTCCCCTCTCCCTTCCTCCGTCTTCTCCTCCTCGAGTTGGAGCCTCGCGGCCTGGCCGAGGCTGAGGAGGGGTGGGATAGTAGCTGCATGGATCCCCCGGTGCCGCGCTTGTCCCCTGCGCTGCAATGATGAAGCGCTTTGCCAAGGAAAGCAGAGTCTCAGGCTGCTCCTGAAACAGCCAGGAGAAGGAAAAGCTGCCAGTGGGGAGGCGAGCCGCCCCAGGAGGACCGGAGGAGAGCGCAGCTTCTCACTCATGGATATCTACCCGTCGGGAAGTGGGCGCGGTAAGAGGTGCGCTGGCCAGGAAGTGGTCATGCTCTCTGGCCAGAGAGGGTTGCACAAACATTTGCTGGAGTGAATGTGCAACCCTCTCCTACCAGGGAGCATGACCGCTTCCTGGCTTGCACATTTCTTACCGCTTTCCACAACCACTTTCCCACTGATGGATTTCCATGAGTGAGGAGCTGTGCTCTCCTCCAGTCCTCCTGGGGCAGCTCGCCTCCTCTCTGGTGGCTTCTCCTTCTCCTGCCTGCTCCAGGAGTAGTCTGTCTGTTATCTGGTCAGAATGGCCTGCCACCACAGCCTGCCCCCGCCCTCTCTGCCCTGGAAGTTGTTCCTGGTGCTGCCAGAGAAGTGGCAGCATGAGAACCGTTCTTGCTGGGGGCAAGGGTGGCGGCGGCAGGAGCAGCAGGCCGGAGCTTCCCTCCCTCCCTCCCTTCCTCCGGAGGCCTGGGGCTATGCCAGAAGTCTGCTCGGTAGGGGAGACAGGAAAGACCCGGACCACCCATCCTTGCCACCACCGCCCCCTCGCCCTTGGTGGCAGCGGTTCTAGCACAACCGGTTCCCTGGCAATGGCAGGAGCACCTGGCAGAGGAGAGGGGATGGTGGCAGGCTGCGGCAGCAGACAGTAAGAGGCAATGTTCCTCCTCCTGCCAGCCTCGAGCTCAGCTCCGGGCAGCGTCCAGCCAGGCATACCTGGCCTCCCCCTGTGGCAGCCCACATGGCTCCCAGGCAGCGCAACTTCGGGGCCTTTTCTCATGGTGGCGGTGACGAGGCAGGCAGGCAGCCGGGTGTATGGGAGCGACTGGCTGCAGTTCTCCTGGCTGGCAAAGGGCGGAGTCCTGGGCTACATGCGGGCAATGACAGCATGGCCGGTTCACATGCACACTAAGACATTAAGGCCAGGTGATCATCGCACGCGCATGCGCACCAGTAACCAGCAGACTAGTTGGCTAGTGTGCATGCATGCCCTGGAAACCCGTAAGAAGAATGGGTGACACCACGCATGCGGGCAACATGGCTCTGGGTGCCACTTCCGGCATGCATGCCATAGGTTCGCCAACACGGGACTATACAGTAGGCCATCTTCTGCACTCTTGTTCTTTCGTTAATTATTTTGCTTTGTCAAGATAAGTTAAAACATATTTTCTTTGTAGCGCTTTAGACTGTACAATGTGCCCAACACTGTTTTGTCCCAAAGCAATGAAAAGACTTTATAGGTCATAGCAGCTATAATTTCCTATTAGATCAAAATTTAAGAGAGAGAAAAGTAGTAAATTTGTTTAGATTGGCATGCAGTTCTGACATCTTTACGTGTAGCATTGGCAAATAATTAGTTTTTAAAATTCTTAAAGGCTGATGGTCACCTAGAGATGGATGACAAATAGTTTGACTCAAGTCTGAGTACTTCCATTGTACTAAGACATGGTTCACTTGATCATACTCTGCTAAATAAATTGCAATCTGTGGGCTGAAATAATGTAGCAAAATAATAATTCTTTATAAACTTCTGATTTATATCTGCTAATATGACTATGAGCTTCTCATACATACATACTAGACCATCTTATTTGTCTCTTGAGAAACCTATATGCGGGTCAAAAAGCAATAGTGAGACCTGGACACAGAACCACTGATTGGTTCAAAATTGAGAAAGGAGTTCGGCAGGGCTGTATACTGTCACCTTATTTAACTTATATGCAGAGCACATCATGAGAAAGGCGGGGCTAGATGAATCACAAGTTGGAATTAAGATTGCCAGAAGACATATCAACAAGCTCAGATATGCAAATGATATCACTCTAATGGCAGAAAGTGAAGAGAAACTAAAGAGCCTCTTGATGCGGGTGAAGGAAGAGAGTGCAAAAGTTGGCTTGAAACTCAACATTAAGAAAACTAAGATCATGATTCCTGGCCCTCTCAATTCCTGGCAAATGGATAGGGAAGGAATGGAGGTAGTGACAGATTTTATTTTCCCAGGCTCCAAGATCACTGCACATGGGGACTACAGCCAAGAAATTAAAAGACGCTCCTGGGGAAGAAAGCTATGGCAAATTTAGACAGCATACTAAAAAGCAGAGACATCACCCTGCCAACAAAAGTGTGTATAATCAAGGCTATGGTGTTCCAAGTTGCAATGTTTGGCTGTGAAAGTTGGGCCATAAGAAAGGCTGAGCGCCAAAGAATTGATGCCATTGAATGATGGTGCTGGAGAAGACTTCTGAGACTTCCTTGGACTTCAAGGTGATCAAACCAGTCAGTCCTAGAGGAGATCAATCCTGACTGCTCTTTAGAAGGCCAGATCCTGAAGATGAAACTGAAATACTTTAGCCACTTAATGAGAAGGAAGGACTCACTGTAGAAGAGCCTAATGCTGGGAAAGATTGAGGGCAAAAGAAGAATGGGACGACAGAAAATGAGGTGGCTGGATGGAGTCACTGAAGCAGTCAGCATGAGTTTAAATGGTCTCTGGGGGATGGTAGAGGACAGAAAGGTCTGGAGGAAAGTTGTCCATGGGGTCACGATGGGTCAGATACAACTTCGCAACTAACAACAAATATGACTGTATATGATTGGTTGCGATCTTCTGTGAAATTTTATTTGAAATAAAATTTACAAATAGTACAGCACATTTTAACATTATGCAATACTGTAGTTTAAGTTACAATCTCTCATCCCTTGACTGAAAGTACATTCTACCGATTTCCACTTTAAACATGTAGAATTGCAGTGTAAAACGAACAGATTACTAATTTGAAGCCGGATGTATACAAATTAGCCAATATAGATATAAACTGTTGGAAGAATGTTTGCACTCATGATTTATTTAAACAACATTCCTTTATTTAAAATGTGATATATATATATTTTTTATCGAAGAAACTTCCCTTTATACTGAATTTGTCTGCTATAGGAGTTGTCTGCTATAGAAACAAACCATCTCTTCATTTTTGTTTTGCCTTTGTGCATGTGATACTCTTCAACTGAGGAAAGAAAAATGATATACAGTAAAGCTGAGGGCAGCATGAAAGTTTTCCGAAGGGTGAAGAAATGGAATGTTGGTGGGGCGAGCTCACTAATATAAGTAATTTACTTAGTATCGGTGGAGAAAATTTGCCTTCGAAAATTTCATCCCACTCTTTCTATAGACCAGCTTTTCCCCCGCATAAAGACAGCTTGTTAAAGCTGTTTTCTAACTGTAAGGGCGTTACAAGAAAGAAAAAGTGAATTATGATGGAAACATGAAGTGGGGGGGGGGGGCGAGTTGCTGAAGAACAAAAGCGCAGCCGAGCAAAAAAGACAGGGGGGGAAAGTGGGAGGAGTAAAACGGAGATGGAGGGAGTGTTTCAAGGAAGGAGGGATGTGAAAAAGTAGATGAGGGGATGGACGAGAAAGAAGGGGGGGGTCGGACTATTTTTCTGGGCCTCGACTGGCGGCGACCATAGGGGGCCCGGGGGCCCGTAATCTGAACCGCCTCTCCCGCATGGGTAACGGGGTGGCAGGGCTACCCGAGAGCAGTTTGGTCAAAGGTGAGTGGGTCGTCTCACCCCCGTGGAAGGTCCCCGAGATCTTCTGGTGCAGAACAGAGCGCAACGGACCCGCGGCATAAAGAAGAGCAGGGTCCTCGCTTCCTCGGAGGGATCCCGTAGACCCTGCGCTGCAAAAGTAAATTTTGCTTTGCCTCTAGGCGACGATGGGGACTGGTATGTTGGGCGAGGGTGGTGCCCGGGACGGGAGACGCCTGGCTACTCAACCACGAGTCTCCATGCCTCGGCAGCGGAGAGAAAGGCTGGCTGAATATTCTGGTACCGAGCCGGGTTAAGCTCCTTTTTTTTCCCCCCAACCCCGCGACGAGGCATCTCGGCTTTCTGATTTCGCTGTACTGTACAGCCGACCGAGGGCGAAAAAGCAGACGAGAGTAAGCAGATGGTTATCCCTCCACTTTTCAGGCTGGTGGCTGGAGCATCCAGGCGGGGACTTGTAGAATGCGGACCACTTCAGCTGCAGTTACTGCGAGCCTGGAATAAAATACTGGGTAAATCTGGCATCCAAGGCCCGCTGTGCAGGCCCACCGTAAAAAAAAAAAAGGGTGGTGGTGGAGGAAAACGTGAGTGGTCTGAACATTTAATAAGAGCTCTTCTAGGCCTACTTACCTGGCATTTCCAAGACACCTTCATTTTCCATCTTCCATGTGTAACGTATCCAACAAACTGCTGTGTTGTAATTCAGTAGCCCTGGCGAATGTATTAAGAATCAGGTCACGTACAGAAAAAAAGTTTTAATTCCTGCTTAAAAAGTGATAGATTTATGGCATAAAGCCGTTATGAAATCAAAAGGTTAAGAAAATTGCACGTGGAAAGTACGGTAACTTAATATAATTTTAAATCACACAGAGACCCTGGAAAAGAAGTTTTAAAGGACAAAAAGCAAATGTATAAATCAATGTATGGAGGTGATGGAAGCAAAGATGACTTGCAAGGATAGAAAGGTAGGAGACGTATAGTGAATGATATTGATAAAAGGTGGTTTCTTTTTCAAGAATAGTCCACTTCCATTACTGTGATTCTGTTAGAGATTTTAGTTAAAGTTTGTAGGGACATTTGGATTTCTGTATATTTTTATAACTGAATTCTTGAAGTGTAATAGACAGAAATATCATGAGAATTAATTATTAACAAATTATGGAGGTTCATTGAACATTTCATAAACATAGGATAAATGACCCTAAGGTGACATAGGTAGCAATGTGACTATGTTGCTAAGCTTTAGGCCAGGGGGGTCCAATATATAAAAAGAACTCTGTTATATAAGAGTTACTTGTTCTGTCTGCCTTTGGAAAATGCCTTGCATATCATTGCACATATCCATGAAGTTCATATGATGTTTTTATAACTTGATAAGCCTTATGCATGCAGTGTTTGTAATATTTTGACTAACACAATGCCGAGTCCGTACATTGAGAATTGTGGAACTAGTAACTTTGTTTATGGAAATATAAGTAGCATTCATTGATGTAATGTGTGTATCAACTGTTTTTGTATTTCTTTAGCAGACGCTCAGCATGTCTTGGTTGCTCTGACAATGAGCATCAACTTGTCCCTCAGTAAGGAGAATGTCTCAGAAAACCTCACACTGCTGGAAGAGGGAGCAGGAAGAATCACCGAGTCAATTGCTATCATCATTATTGCTATTTTCATCTGTTTAGGGAATCTGGTGATCGTCCTCACTCTTTATAAGAAGTCATACCTGCTCACCTTAAGCAACAAGTTTGTTTTCAGCCTCACTCTGTCCAACTTCCTTCTTTCGGTGCTGGTGCTTCCTTTTGTTGTTACCAGCTGCATCCGTCGGGAATGGATCTTTGGAGTTGTTTGGTGCAACTTCTCTGCCCTACTGTATATGCTCATCAGCTCTGCCAGTATGCTCACACTTGGACTCATTGCTATCGACCGGTAGGCCATCCCTTTTTTCATGAGCTGAATATGGCTGCATGGGGGGAAAAAGTTTTTAACATGTACCACCATTGAATATGCAGTGGCAGAGAAATATGTTTTAAATAACAATGCCACCAAGTCAATACACTGAGATTGTGGGACAAATAATTTTGCTTATTAATATGTAAGCAGCATCTGAATATTTAAGCAGCAAAGAGAAAGTGTGTTTCCATGAGACAATCCAGGTTCTCCAATTAATCTGATCCAATTTTCAAAAGACAAACTAATTCCTTTAATTTTTTTCATGTTTAGTATTATTCAATTTCCTATGTATTGCATATACCCTGACATTACTGCATACTTTTATGTTTTTTAGATACTATGCTGTCTTGTACCCCATGGTTTACCCTATGAAGATTACGGGTAACAGAGCTGTTGTTGCCATTGTGTATGTATGGCTTCATTCTCTAATTGGATGCCTTCCACCCCTCTTTGGTTGGTCATCTTTAGAATTTGATCAGTTCAAATGGATGTGTGTAGCTGCATGGCATAAGCAGGCAGGTTACACCGCTTTTTGGCAGATATGGTGTGCTTTGCTACCATTTATAGTCATGATCATTTGCTACGGCTTCATATTTCGCGTGGCCAGGATTAAGGCACGGAAGATTCACTGTGGCAGTGTGGTCATTGCAGCGGAAGACACGCAAAGGAATGGGAGAAAGAACTCGAGTACTTCAACATCCTCATCAGGCAGCCGAAGGAATGCTTTCCAGGGGGTCGTTTATTCTGCCAATCAGTGCAAAGCTTTGATCACAATTTTAGTTGTCATCGGGGCTTTTGTCGTCACATGGGGGCCTTACATGGTGGTTATCACATCTGAGGCACTTTGGGGTAAAAACTGCATTTCCCCTGCCTTTGAGACATTAGCAACATGGTTATCTTTTACAAGTGCTATTTGCCACCCTTTGATTTATGGACTCTGGAATAAAACTGTACGCAAGGAGTTACTGGGAATGTGCTTTGGAGATCGGTACTACAGAGAATCATTTGTTCAAAGGCAAAGGACATCCAGATTATTTAGTATTTCTAATAGGATCACAGGTAATTTTTAAAAAATTCTTAAAGTGCCTCTAGAAGATACTGTAAATTGACCACCATTTAATTAGTCTGGTATAATCACTGGTGTTGTTCACCTTTTATCATGTGGTTTCTTTGTCTGCTTCATGATTGAGAATTTTTGGACATGGACATGGCCACAATTCTTGCGCATACTCAAGGCAGAAGGGCGATCTTGGAGATTGATTTGTCTGATTATCCATTTTATTCAGATAAACTTCACTGGACGGATAAGATGGAATTGGAAAATTAACCTCAATGCTCTCCTTTGCATATGTACCGTATTTTTTGAAGTATAAGACGCACCTTAGTTTTTGGGGAGGAAAATAGGGAGGGAAAATCTGCCTTCTAGGTATTCATCTGGCTAGCAACCTTAGTCTGGTCAGCTTCAGCATATTAGTTTGCTGGATTTTATCCCCTGCTTGGGGTTAAAAAACAGCTTCTAAAGCACAACTGATCTTTGGAGAGAGAAGCAATGAGAAAAGCAGGCAAACCACAGAGATAGCTTCACGGAGATCGCTTCACACGCTAGTGCATCTTTAAGGCTGAAAAAAAGCTTTGAAAAAGCTACATTTGGAGTATAAAACACACCCAAATTTTCAGCCTCTTTTAGGAGGGAAAAAAGTGCTTCTTATAATCCGAAAAATACGGTATATTTTTGTGATATCCTAGAATCTAGAGCCTCTTGCCTCTGTTTTCCATTTATTTATTTTAAAAAAATCTTATCCCCAGTTTAACTTTTCTGGGTAATGGTTTGCTATTAAAGCTGAACAAGGGGCTTCAACCTATAGTATAGATAAATTAATCTATACCATAGGTTGAAGCCCCTTGTTCAGATTAATTTATCACTACCATTACAATTACAATTGCTTTTACATCGTTCTTTGTCTGTGATTGATTCTCCTTACAATTAACTGCCTTCCCCTTTCATCACAATCAGCATAAGCATTATCAAATGTTATAACCTAGATAAATATAAATGGTCAAAGGATTTCTTTAAAAGTTTTTCAGAATAAATAACAGAATTGGAAGGGACCTTGGAGGTCTTCTAGTCCAACCCTGTGCTCAGGCAGGAGTTGTTCCGAACTGCTGGGGAACTTCTTGTGGTCATGCCACCCACTGACCTTGATTGCTGCCTGCCCTGGGGGCTTTGGATGGCTCCAGGACTGACCAGTTCAATGGGCACTGTAGCCCGAACCATGCTTTCGCTCTCCTTAATTTTTATTATTTTTGAGATATTCAGACTCTAATACCAAGCTAAAAAGAAGTATAAAGATTTTTTTCATTGACTTCATTAGATACAGGTTCCCAATGGTATGAATTTTAATTCTGAATTGTTCTAGAGTCATGTTAAATAAATTCAGATGTTAAATTTTTTTTATAATTCCATTCAATCATGTATAGTGCTTGGAGACTGGACAAGTAGCTGCAGTTTTCTTGGCAAGGGTTTTGAGAAGTGATTTGCCATTGCCTCTTTCCCGGGGCTGAGAAAGTAACCGGCCCAAAGGTGCCCAGTTGGCTTTGTGCCCAAAGCAGGACTAGAATTCACTGTCTCCCAGTTTCTAGCCTGATGTTTTAACCATTACACTAATGGTTAATGTAATGGCTCTTGTTACAGACTTAGCGATTATTAAATCAAGCAATGTAATAAAATGCACTGAAGATATTTGAAGATGTTTGGCTATGAATCCAGAAGTTAATTTTGTTTGGATGCTGAAATACTTTTACAGATCTAGGATTGTCTCCACATCTGACAGCTCTCATGGCAGGGGAGCGGACTTTAGGACACAGCAGCAGCACAGGAGATACAGGCTTCAGTTGCTCTCAGGATTCAGGTAACTATTTCTTTGAGTTATGTTGCAATGAACAAGAGCCAGCAGTATGATACAGACGCTAAAAGAAGTAGTAGTTTGCAAAAAAATTGAAAACTTGAGTCCTACGGGAGAAAGGCAGTATAGAAATATAACAAACAAACAAACAAACAAACAAACAAACAAACAAATAAATAAATAAATAATAAATGTAATTTCCTAGTGCTATCCAAGAAAAAACATTATGCAATTATTATTGGATTTCCGCCACCCCCCTCCGCTCCAGTAGGTTTTGTGTGTGTGTCTCTGTATAAATAAGTTTGGTGATTAGTGAAATCAAATGCAATTTAAAATAAAATTCATAATCAAAGATGGCTTGGTTACAAGAAAAAGTGTGCAAAAGAAAGTTGAAGCATTCTTCCCATTCACTTGCTTCCTAGCTCTATAATTAACATCATAAGCAAAAGAGCTTCTTGCGACCTCGCTTTTCTGCGTTGTAAAATATGATTCTAGCTATAGAGGTGCCATCTGCTGTTTTCTAGATGTGAGGGAAGAATACAGCTGCTATATTGCCCATATCACAAAAATACAATTTTTGCATGTATCCATTAAATGAATTCTCTTCTTAGTCAATTGTCTAAGCCATGATCTCTTTTTAGGGACAGATGTTATGCTGCTTGAAGATTATAGTTCTGATGGATTTAATCACCCACATTGCGTTTACCCTCATCGACGGAGTTCTGTAACTTTTGAAGATGAAGTGGAACAAATTAAAGGTATATTGAGGCTAGGCATGCCATTACTGAACTATGTATAAGAGGGGACTGCTTGGATCAAGAATTTGGTCCTAAGCTGCTATTTGATTTTTACTTAATTTTAGTTTGAATTTAATTAACGTTTTAATTTAATTTATTTAATATAAAATTAGAAGTTATGAAAGAGTTGAAAATGAAATAAATGCACTGGAAAGTCTTATAGTTTAGAGATACATATAATCTAGAAGGAAAAATTAAGGAGGGGAGGAAATAAATTCATTTTACATAAAAATTAAGTTGATGTTTAATGAAGAAACGAGTTCTGTTTCATATATACATACATACATACATACATACATACATACATACATACATACATACATACATACATACATATATATATATATATATATATATATATATATATATATATATATATATATATATATAAAAAATAAAATCTTGAATGTCAAAATTCCTGAAAATTTAGATATTGGTAAAATGTTTTCTGTTTGGTTATCTGTTAAATGCCATATTTCTGTTAAATTTGGTAAACCAATTTCTTTTTTTAAAAAAAGTATATGTTAACTCCAATTTGCAAATATTTTGCAGGATGTAGATTTATTGGACATTGTCAGAGAGTGTGGTTTTGCTCTAAGCAATAGGAACTTTTAAGAGTTTTGCCTGTAAATAAATTTAGTAATGACCATGCATTATTTATATTCATAGATACACAGTATATAGACAAATATTAACAATTAGATCCTCACTGTCCAAAGTCTGTTCATCTGCCTGCATATCTAAAAAAAGTAGTGTTCAAATTAACACTAAAGTATGAGACATTCATATGGCATAATTGGCTAATATCTCTTTTCTTTGTTCAGAAGCAGCAAAGAACTCTATCCTTCAAGTAAAGGCTGAAGTTCACAAATCTCTGGATAGTTATGCATCCAGCTTGGCCAAAGCAATTGAAACGGATGTGAGGATCACCTTGTTTGGAGGAGATGCCCTGTCTGGCTCTTTGTTCCCAGCACGAACTGTGGCAGGCAACAATGCAAGTGCACGGCGTGGCGGCAGGGTCCACATTGGACAAAAAATACAACTACAGAGCATTGAAGAAGGGAACACTTAAAATTGCTCCAATAAAAAGAATAGGAAAAAAATACACTGAAAACTGTTGTACAGCCACGATTCTTTGCAAGGAAAGCAAAACAGGTCCCAGTGTTTTAAGCAAAGCTTTAAGAATTCCCAAAGAATTATCTTAACACAGTATTAGAGAACAAAGTAACTCAAAATATTGGGAAATCAAAAGTATGAAAGGGTTCACTGATCCCTAAATAATAAAGCACAAGTTATTTCACTATTTCGGTAGCATACAGCAGCATTTCCCAAGTTGGACACTAACCAGAAGTGTAGACTTCAGCTGCAAGTTCTTCAAACAACATGGCTATGACTGAGAATTCTAAAAATTAAAGCAACAGGAACTCTCAGGTTGGGAACAGCAGCCATTGTGTTTCTGGCTGGAACCTTTTTCTGCTTTTTAAAAACTTTATAAAAACAGTTCACTGCTAAAGTAATCCCATCCCTCCAATACTTTAATTTTGTCCAGGTACTTATGGAAAAAAATATAATAAAACGCAAATGAGGCCTATCAAATCTAGTATTGGAAAATGTTTTAATCTTTATATTAGGTGAAATACAGCTTACAAAACAATGAGTCCAAAATATTTTTCTCTCTCTTAACTTTATAACGTATATGGGGTTGTTTTTTTTAAAAAAAAAGTCAAGATATGTCTTTAAAAAATAAAGTGGCAAAATGCAAAAGTATACAAAAGTATGCTGAGTTTTAAGTGGTCAAATAGGCAATCTATTTCCGCCCACAAAAACTGGCAGATCATATGGAATGAATGTAGGTGTAACTTTGTTGATAGTGTGGAATCAGTTGCATTTACTTGCACCTTGCAGAAAAAATGCAATGTTTGTATAGCATTAGGAATATTGCTTGGAATACTTTGGTATACTGATTAAGGAAGACGGAAAGGGAGTAATTTATATGGATAATTAAGATTAACAATTTCATTAATAATGAACAATTTCATTAGTATAGTGCCCTCCAAACATGTTGGATTATGGCTTCCACAATTTTATTTGTCCTTGCTATATGATAATTATAGAAATTATGCAATTTCTAGGCTCAAGGTTGACTCAGCCTTCCATCCTTTCGAGATAGGTAAAATAAGGACCCGGATTGTGGGAGCAATAAGCTGACTTTGTATAAAAAAGAGGGGGGGGGGGGGGGGGGGGGGCAAAAGCCCTACTAAGCAGTTATATACAAAAGTATGAAGGCTATTGCTTAACGCATTGTAAGCCGCCCTGAGTCTCCGGAGAAGGGCGGCATATAAATTGAACCAATAAATAAATAAATAAATAAATAAATAATAGACAATTATGCTATATGACAATTATAGAGACTATATTATAAGCCCATAGTTCATAGTTCACAGCTGTATGGCCTTATACCATTTCTGTGGGGAATCATTGGAATTCAGTGCTTCATTCTTTCAGCAATGAGAATCTTTTGGGTGAGTTATATTCCACAAGCAAGTAGATAACATTGCTTCAGTGCAGTTATTGTAACTGGGATTAATGATGAACAGTATTCCATGAGTGAGGATAGATGTTAAGCAAATTCCATTTTCATGTACAGGTAGACCTCAACTTATGACCACAATTGAACCCAAAATTTGTGTTGTTAAGTAAGACAGTTGTTCAGTGAGTTTTGCCCCACTTTACAACCTTACTTGCCAGAGTTGTTAAGTGAAACATTGCACTTGTTGAGTTAATCACATGGTTAAGTGAATCTAGCTTGCCCATTGACTGCTTGTCAGAAGGTCGCAAAAGGTGATCACATGACCCCAGATAGACCCCAAATATAAATCAGTTGCCAAGTGCCTGAATTTTGATCATGTGATCACGGGTATACTGCAGTGTATATGTGAAAAGCAGTCATAAGTTAGTTTTTCCAGTACTGTTGTAACTTTGAATGGTTACTAAATGAACAGTTGTAAGTCAAGGACTAACTGTATGGTGACAGAGTTATAACTGAATTTAAATTCTGCACCACACTTTTCTCTTGTTATCTATCATCATCTTGTTTACAACCCTAGAATTGTGCTAAATTCTGTATTTAGAATAAATTCTGTAAAATAGGAGTTTTTTGTTAATTATTGTATATTTAAACATATGCTACTTGCATTTTTACAGAAAAGGTGATACTTTTAATACTTTTCCTTAGTTGTAAACTGAATGCTGACACTCAAAGTAACATAAATGTATTGTAGAAGAACATTTTTTAAAATTCTAAACTCTTGCCAGTGAATTGGCACCTTAGAATATTGTAAACTACTTTGAGCGCATATACAAGCAGAAATGTGGGTTATAAATTTCATAATAAACATACAAACATACTGCCTTTAAGGTGTTGCACCCATTATGTATCCTCAGATTAGTTGCTAAGAGTTCAAGTAATGTTAAGCTGTAGCATGTTTTGATTGTATGAATCCATCCATTGCTTCAAATTAATATATAGCTGCAATTGTGGCTTATTTAAAAAGCAGGCCAAGTTATTATTTACTTAAGACATCACACTAGAAACTGAGACTGAGTTCTACTTCAAATTTGGGCACAAAGTTTGAAGGTGACCTTTGGTCAGTCACTCTCTTTCAGCCCTAGTAAGCAGACATTGGCAAACTGCTTCGCAAAAACCTTGCCAAGTTTTCAAACTTCAGGAATTTCTCCAGGCCGCAAAAATTAACTAGACACACACACACACACAAAACATATATTATAGAATTGTGGAAACCTAGTCACAGGCATCATGTGATTTGATCATGTGATCAAACAATTTCAGATCAAATCATAATGGAAATTTGTTTGAAGGGTCAAAAAATAAAATGCAGTGCATTTTTCAAGATTATTGTCATTAAACGAGATCTTGATACTGGTCAGAGAAAGGAATAGATGAAATGGGGAGATGTAAAGAATACCATCAAAGTGCAAGTCAGGAATTTTCATAGAACAACACGGAGGCATCTGCAAAGTGAGAAATGCAACCTGACACAAAATCACTATTGATTTGCATCAGATATCTCAATGACGGTTTATAAGTTTGTGTCGTGACATTATCACATGTACATTTTGGATGTAACCTCACTTTGCTGTTGATACTTGTGTTCAATTAAAACAAAATTTAATTAATGGCCCCATTCAGTACTGTGTGTCCTCTTGGGAGTTATTTATAAAATTATTAAAGACAGGATATAACTAAATATAACTAAAATAAGTATATTCCAAAAGAGCCTGCTGGGTTTCATTTTTGTATTCTGTCCGTAAGTGTTAAGATTATATACCATTATTCTTTATGAAGGCTACTGTAAATATGTCCCTATGTCATAGAAACCCGCAAGGGGGAAAACTAGGGACAGGAGCCAGCGTTTACTTCAACGTGTTACAACAACTTTTGACCAGAAATCCAAGCACATTCCTATTTATGGAAAAGCCGAAAGTCGGTATCACGACCTGACTTTCCCTTGTCAAGTTCCCTTGAATTGCCAAGGGGGCGCTACCCTTTTTACCCAACTGCTCTTAAAGCTAACTCGACTGAGCTTGCTTTTTCGCGCGAAGGCGTAAAAGTAGCGAAGTATGAAAAGATTGGCTGCCTCTCTGACCAATTGCGTTCCTCTCTTCTCTCCGGAGGCGTTCCTATCTCCTCCGCAATTGGACAAAAACTTCTTTAAACTCGGCTCTTCGTGGGGCGGGGGGGGGGGAAGAGAAGAATTGTGATTGGTTCCACCGGGAGAGGAAAAACAAGGGGATTGGCAGCTTTGGAGCCAAGTGGGCCTGGCGATTCCCGGGAAAGCGAGGGTGTCCTTCCTTTTTCTTCGGTTAGGATTTGATTGATGTGAAGGGAATCCCTAGAGAGAGCTTTAGAGATTGAGAACGTATGGAGAAAGTGTTGTGCTCTGCTCACGGTGAGGTCGTAGGAGGGTGGGCGGGGCGACGAGCAGGAAAGCTTGTCCGAGGGGTCAAGAATGGCTTGTAAAATTCGAAGGTGATGGGGCTGCCCCCCCTCCCCACGCCAGTTTTTTCTAATAGTAACTACTTATACCAGGGGTCTCCAACCTTGGCAACTTTAAGCCTGGAGGACTTCAACTCCCAGAATTCCCCAGCCAGCTTTGCTGGCTGGGGAATTCTGGGAATTGAAGTCAGCCAGGCTTAAAGTTGCCAAGGTTGGAGACCCCTGACTTATGCAGTGCCAGGAAAAAAAGGCAGATAGATTAATATATAACGTAAATATGCAAGTTAAAGAATAATTTAGAGTAAATTTTAAAACATTTGCTTCCTGATTTGAAGCAATAAATAGCTCCTCTCTTTTATTTCCCCTCCACCCCCGCATTTAGAGAAAGTAAAAGCTTTTGCTACTCACAGGTAGCACCATAAGCAGAAAATCTCAGAAATCTTTTTTCCCACCTGCTTTAGGGCACTACTGCTTAATAAGCTTCATTTTTTGAAATCAAATCGTGATATTGATCAAGGGAATTCTTGCTGGTTAAAAGGGGTTTAAAATAATGTATAGTTGAAAGATTTCATATAGGACAGAATACGGCTTAGAAATCGAGGGTGCCTTTTGTTACCAATAAAGCAGAAATCTGTATCCCAAGAATCCTCAGAGTTATATTCATCATATGGCACAGAGAAATATTTTTCTGTAACACTAGGCATGATAGTCCTTCTGGTCTGTTTGTTTTTTCTCTCAGCATAACTCTCCTCACAAGATGATAAATGGGGAGCTGAATAAAATTGGAAATCCTGGAGTGGGGGGTTATTGATTGCAATCGGTTTCTAAAAGGTGTTATATAGGAAAAGACCACCAGCCTTCTCTCAATTATTCCTGAAAGCCAGACCCAGAAAATGCATTTGTGTCCGTGTATGTCTATGTTAAGTCATAGGATATTAAAGTTATTAAAAGCAGTATGATTGTAGAATCAATTTAACTACTGTGATTGATGCTCCCTTTCATTGGATATGTTCAATGTATCTGGATAAACATTTGGAGGGAAAAGTTACAGTTTGCATTCCTGCTCTGAACAGGGTGGGCTTGGTAATCTAAGCAGCATTTTCTATTCTAAGAACCACAGAGAAAATATAAAATTAATATATGAGCCTTCTGAATACTTGAAGTGAGTTTTTTTTTTAATTAGTTGGTTTGGTACTTTTCTATCTCTGATTGAATTTCATACTTTCATTTCCTTCCCATTCAGGGTTTCCCTGTTTTTTGAAGACTGGAAACAGAGATGGCCCAAATAAAGGCAAAAGCTTTTATATGTGTGGAGTCCAAAATCAGAAGCCATGTGGCTTTGTGCTCCCCACTGAGTAAGTTGGATTTTAAAAATACAAGCTTGGAGAATTATCAGTTGCTCACCTACTGTTCAGCAGTTGTTTATCAGAAAGTAATACCTGTGCCACTTTAACATAGAAAACTATTTCTAAATATGTAGCGCACTTTATCTATTCATAAGTGAAATATAGTTTTATATTTAGTTTATAATTTTAGCTGGAGTGATGATAAGGTATCATTGGAAAATATATTTGTGCCATAATTACACAATATCTTCTTTGAAGTTGAAAAATTAGTTGCCTGCTTCTGCAGAAGCTTAAAGGCTCTATTAAAGGCTTAAATATTCTAAATATAGATTTTTGTGCTGTTTATTTTATATCTTGCTATGCTTTTCAGGCCCTTTTTATAAAACATTTTATTGTAGCTGGATTTACAAGTGCTTGTCCCAAAGGCAGGATAGAAGAAGGCCATTAATTCTTGTATCTGCCTTATAATACTGAGAGGGAGGGTAGTCAGGTTTAAATATTTTCACCATCTTTGATACTACTGAGGTAGCATAGACATTTATTTTTGTGACAAATATTTATGTAAATAATTGCCTTTTCTTTCTATAGTCTTTCTCCTTCTCATTGCTTGGTGCATGAAGAATATATAGTGGAGCTGCAAATTTTGATTAAGCAAACAAAAACAGACCTGTACAGGTATATTTTCAGAAAGACACTTGATGCTTTGACAAAATGGGGCAATTAATTAATATTCAGCATTTATACTCAGTGTGATAATCCATGTTTTGTTTTCTAAACTAGATTGTTTTATCGATGCAGTAAAGGTAAAACCGAAGGGAAGAAAATGTGTGGAAATGTCCCCTGGCAGGTACACCATTGCTATTTAAGGTTTACATCTTTATAACAATTAGAAATCTTAAGCTCTTGTTTGTTTGTTTGTTTGTTTATTTATCGGACTTATATGCCACCCTTTCTCCACAAGGACTCAGGGCGGCTCACAGCAATAAGCAACAACAAATCCAAATTAAAATTCAAACAATAAAAGAATCTAAAATTCCCATTAAAACCTCTTCAGTCCAGGCCAGCCTGGCGAAACAACCATGTTTTAAGGTCACGGCGGAAAGAGCGAAGGTCGGGGGCCACCCGGAGCTCCAAGGGGAGCTGATTCCAGATGGTAGGTGCACCTACAGAGAAGGCTCGCTCTCTAGGGGCCGTCAGCCGACATTGCTTGGCCGACGGAACCCCAAGTAGGCCCTCTCTGTGTGAGCGCACTGGTGATGGGGAGCTGTTGCTGGCTGCAGGTGATCCGCCAGATACCCTGGGCCTAAGCCATGTAGGGCTTTATAGGTAATCACCAACACCTTGAACCTCACCCTACTTGCTTTATTTCTATTTCTCTATATTCTTCTATTCATCATGATCTGAACTACTATTCCAGATTAACTATAGGAAGTTCTAAAAAAAAAATAGAAAGCAGAATAAAATTTGCTTTTCAGGAAAAAACTAATATTTTATGTTATTTAGTGGCTATTAGTGATAACCAAAGACAACATTGATAAAAGATCATCTAAATATTCACTAAGGAGGCATTTATAACTGGGTATTTTCAACAGATTGTATTGCTTTGGAATTGGGCCCAAGGACCCAAGGTAATAGTAAAAAGAAAAAGTGAGAATGTTGGGCTGGCTATAATAGTCTGAATTAGGATAATGTAGAACCACATAATGTAGAAAAACCATTATACAATTAGTACCTGCCTAACTTATGAATGATCAATAATTGCTATTTCTTATCATTATTATAGTTAGAGACTTTGCAAGATATATAGAAATTAAATTCTCAATTTGCATGTTAAAAAAAAACCAGAGCAAATACTCTAATTTAAATGTATAGTAATATTTCATGTGGCTGTTTTATAGGATTCAAATACCAGTGAACTGCCAGCTAATCCACAATCTCAACATACTTTGGAATTGCTGCATGATCATACAAATGAAAGAAACCCATTCAAAGTTTCCAGCAGGAATCACAAGCAATTTCCTTACAAACAAATGAATGAAGATGGAGACAGAAATTCAGGAGAAAAAGAAAATCAGAAAAGAAATGTTCAGACCTCTGATGGAGAACAACCGCCCAATTTACAGACTTTGTCTATCAAGAAAGAATTTTTATCAGCCATGCACAGAAAAAACAAAGATTCTGAAGACAAACATGAAAGTTTATCCAGAGAAGAAACAAAACCTCAAATAAAATCAAGTGAGCCTCAGACTGAAAGCAAAAAAAATATTAGATAGACATAAAAGTAATTGGAGCAAAAGATTTGAGATGCCTTCTAGCCACATGCAAGAGGATTCATCTTTGAGATTTACTGAACTTGATTTGCTAAAAATTGAAAATCCAAAACAATCACTGTCAAGCTTTAGCCACACATCAAGCATAAAACCTATTAATGGAGAAAAACTTGGAAAAGATGAATCAGAAATCTGTAGAAGCAAAATAGTTACAATGAAAAAAAGTAGCAACTGCAAAACAGAAGAAAAAACACTGACACCCAAAGAGTTTGTGACTCTTCAGGAACCAAGAAGCTTCTCAGTAGAACATGCTGGAGACAATATAGAAAAAACACCAATACTATTTCAGAGTGGGAAACCTCCAGAAGAGCAAAAATGTACAGAAAAAACATTTGGACAGTGATAAACAAGAAATTCTTGTGCCATTCAGTGGGCAGGCAATTGATTCCCAGCAAGGAAAAGATTGCATTGAGAAAAAATCACCTTCCATATTGTCTGAAGTAGCTCCTTTGCAAACGGCTAACAGCATGGATAATAAAACTCTTCACAGCCAACTTTCAGCTCAGCTGAATCAGAAGCAGGTCTAATCTCTTCTTGCATCTAAGTATTAATTTTTCAGTGAACCAAAATATTTTCTGTATCAAAATATTAGTTTCTAAACTGCTAAGGCAGATTGGGCTATTCATAGCCCTTTAAAGGTTATTTTATTACAAATTCCCAGCAGTCTCTTTAAAGGTCCTAGGTGGTCTACTTAGGAACGAAGGCATAAGTTTTAATAGTTGCATTTTCTTAGGAGTAATTTGCTGAAGGCTAGTTTTCTAAGTAAAGCTGAAACAAGTAATACAAGGGGCCAGAGCCCAATGTGTGTGACTGCTTTATCCTTCTTTCAGAAGCTTTTTCCCCAAGCAGTAGATTGCACAGAAAATATTGGTAGTTTTTAGGGTTAGAGAGGAAGGAAAACATAGACATGAATAAGAATTTGGGCATATTAACCATTATTCTGATAAACACATTTCATTTATGGTACAGTTCTTAAATATTTCACCTATGAAAAAAATAAAAGTGGGTTAAAAGTGGGTTAAGCTATAGGTAAGTAATCAGTAATGTAGCATCTCTTCTTCCCCTCTGTTTTTTTTTTTTTAAATTGTCTATAGAGGACTTTGAAAACAGTGAATGTGCAAGCTCTCCCAGATAAGGGTGAACGATTGTTAAAGCAAGTGCAGGAACTAGAAGCTGCGCTTAGCTCTTTGAACCTGGAAGGAGAAGAATGTACAAAGGAAGGTAAGCCTTTTTAATAACAGAATGGTAGCATTATGAAATTTCTCTTAAGCTTTCACCTACTATATTTCCACAATAGTTGGCTACAGAAATAAATCCTTGGAAAGCCGGAAGGGTAATATTGGATGAGGTGTTTGCTGTTAAATTATCTTGAACTATCTATTTAGATAGTCAGAAACATTTTTGAGTTGCGCCCATCACTAATAACAACACCCGGATCTATGTTACAGAATAAAATCATAGTTGATATGTGACTAGTAGGACACTCTTTTCTTCATGTTTCAGACAATTTTTGCAGAACAGCAGATGTGAGGCATAAAAAGATACAGCCTGATCTGTTCACCAACCTAATGCAGCCATGTGCTCTCACTGGGAAAGAGCCACAGTTTTTCAAGAAGAATCCTGTGCCTAGTTCTTTGGAACTCCATCTTCCTTGGGGATCTGGTCAGTTCTGCCATAATATACTTTTAAAAATATATGGGGAAAGGGATAACCTTACAGATATAAAAAATGAATGTGGAATATATGCTTAATAATGAAAGAAATCAAAACTTATGATTTAATTGACTGTCAAGTTTCCAAATGGAAAAAGTAAAAAAAAAAAAAAAGCAAAAATGCAATATAGGATTTTGTGCATCAGTCTTCATGAAATAACATTTCCATGAAGACCTTGTCTTGACTGATGGCTGGTCCTATATGAATCACTTTGGCACAACAACTTTAAAGTTGCTAATTGTATAACTTCTGAAATTGACTTCTAGATGATTTTAAAAGGAAGATGCTTTATGGAGGCCCAATGACTAATGATCAGCTTGAGGCAGTACAAAATGCTACAAGTGATGCAATTAATCAGCTCCACAAATCTCTTGAAAGTTGCCCCACAGAGACGTCTATCAATGAAGATCCCCCTGGATTGAAAGTAAGTGAAAACAAAAAGAAAACCTTATACTTTCTGTAATGTTCTCAATCAATGTGTCACCAGTTCCACTTAAAGAGCATTCATAAAGTGCCCTAAAATTCAAATTGATTTTTTGCACAAAGGAGGAGAAAATGGAATTTAAATAGTTTGCTTACAATATTTTGGTTTCAATAAAACCTACTTATTAAAGCTTTGTTTTCATTTCCAATAAATTTAAAAATTGTGCAGGCATCTAATGTTAAAGAGTGTGAGGTCTCATAAAATTATTGCAGCTGCTACAGCAGCATTAAATATCTATGAATTTTAGTAAATTGTAGAGATGATATGATCCAAATTAAACATAACAAATGACACATTTATTTCATAAACTTAATTTTCAAGCTACTTCTGTCTGTATGCATTGTTTCTATCATTAATCGAATGCAAACACTTGGCTATATTGAACAATCATCAGTCGTATCATATATATTTGTATTATATGGAAAAACAAAAACAAGAAGTATACATACAGGTAGTCCGCATTTAGCAATTGCTTGTTTGGTGACCCTTCATAGTTATGATAGTGATGAAAAAGTAACATAACTACTGGTCATTACATTTATAAACTTTTTTGGTCTGTAAAGTAAAGGAAAACTGAAGTAAAATAATAAATGCTGTAAATTGCCAGTCTCAATTGTAATTGCTAACCTAGGACTACATGTATTATACAACTTTAACTTAAAATTATTAATACATATAATTATATATTAATGTAATGAAGAATTAAAATTCTTAACAATATAAACTGATAAATGCAGCATCGTAAATATTCATGGAATTTTTTGGGTATTTGTGATGTGTTGGCCACCCAAAATTTCATCTACAGGATGGGTGATAATCTAAATTGGTTTAATAAAAATAATCCTATAAATTGGGTTCATACTAGAATATTTCTTTATTCTGGAATACTTGAGAATAGAGGAGTCTCAAGACCATTGTGTAATTGAGAGAAAATGGGCATATTTAATATTAATTATTTTAGTAATTTTTTAGAAGCTACTTTTTTGATTTAATGTAACAGGATGTCTGCCATTAATAAGGAAAAATAAATTGAGTTGACTAGACCACTGTGGGCTTTAAAAGAGTCCCTCAGTACCACAGATTCCCAATACTTACTATATTTATGTGTAAGTACAAAATAACATTAGATCTTATAATAACAGTTGATTCTCTTTTTTTCCCCCCAGGTCTCTCTATTGCTGCATCAAAAGCAAGCCCTTAGTTGGCTTTTGTGGAGGGAGAATCAGAAGCCATGTGGAGGAATTCTGGGTAACGTACAGTAAAATAGCTGTGCCCATAGGTTAAAAGGCGGGAGCCCTGAAAGCCCAGAGTTCATGGTTTTCATATCCTAGCCCCATGTTCTACACCATGACTTGGTAGTTCATGCTGCCATTACTAATCTCCAATTCTGGTGTGTGTATAAGAGAATGGGATTTAAAACTTGTGCAACCTCCCAATTAAAACAAGGGTGTAAAAACTCGATTTCATTGATGGCTGCATCAGGGGTTGTGTTTAACCTTGGGGGGGGGCAGGATGGGCGTGGCCAGCTCAACGTCACTCGTGTTGGGGGCAACTGTGGTGGCCCAAGCGCTCTGCTAGTGAAAATGGGCTCCCGAGCTCCATTTTCAGCTGGGATAGCCTCTTGCAACCCTCTGCCAATGAAAATGGTGCTTGGGGCCTGTACATGGCCCTTGTGAGCTCCGTTTTGCTGGCAGAGCACCTTGGACCGGTCCTTCGCTGTTCCAGGATGGCCTCGCAGGCCAGATCTAAGCATCCCATGGGCCAGATCCGGGCCTTGAGTTTGACACCCTTGAATTAAAAGACTAAAATGCAAAAAAAAAAAGGGGGGGGGGGCAATAACCTCCTTGCAATGTACATATGTGATTGAAAGATTCAGCTTTCCCTGTTCCTCTTCAGTGAGATACATCAATCTCACAGGAGATAAAAAAATACAATTTATTTTTTCAAACAACTGAAACAATAAGTCCTAATTTCTAACTGTAAAATAGCCAAAATGCAAACATTCAGTGTTGATTGCTTTGTTTAAAAACCAAAATGCAACAGTAAATATAATGTGCCAAGACTCACAGGGTGAAACTGGTTTGTTGTAAATGGTGAGCTCTGTCTATATCTTAGAAGAGATATTGCAAAGATCCTAATGTACAAATCAAATCATAGACTATTCTAAATAAAGCAAGTACCTTCGTGAAGAATGAAGAAGAATGAGACAAAAACTGACAACGCAATTTGATCATCTTTTTCAGAGAATTAGACACAATTAGGCTTAGAACCTCAGTGAAAATAAACAATTGAGCAGAAAAAACTAGTTTTTTTATATTTAAAATTTATGTTCTCTCTATTTCTTCCTTGGAATTTCCTGCTGTTTATCAATCTGTTTATAGCAGTATTAAACTCCACCCTTTTTAGGCCTTGGTTCAACAAGTTCCTCCTTGAATTCTGCTCTTCAGTTTTTAAAAGGACTAAACTTTTCCTATTTCCACATAGTCTCTGTGGAGATATAATTTACAGTAGGATTTTAATTTTAATTTTCAGAAGTGGATTTGATTTCAGCTCCAATCAGCACTTCAGCCACTTTTCCAGACAAAAATTAATCCATCCATTTTTTAAAAAAATCTTTTTACATAAAAGTAGAAAAATGTAGAATTATTTGTGAAAAATAGGATCCATATAGAAGATAAGAAGACTCAACGATGAATCAGAGTTAAAGTGCCTATGTACATAAATGCATATTTTTGTTTTCTTCTGTTTTTTTTTTTCTTTCCAGCGGATGATATGGGTTTAGGGAAGACTTTAACAATGATTGCTCTCATTTTGGCCCAAAAGTGTACAGAAAAAGAAAAAGAGAAGAAATTAGAGCTTTGGATGTCCAAACAAGGTACAAAAATAAAAATCACTGTCAACTCATTTACGCAGCATAATTAGATTGGATTGTTTCTGGTTAATTGTTTAGAAAAGAAATATGGAAGTATTTTAAGTTTTTAAAAGTATTTCCATGAACTATTTATTTATGTAGGTAAGTTAGGTATTGGAAGGATTGATCACTAGATTAGGTGAAATATTAAAACTTTAGGAGAAAAAATCCTAAGGAAAAGAGTTCCTTCTCTTCTCCACAAACAGGATTAGCCATGATCTGTGGCCATGAAATACTGACCATTAGGAAAAATATAAAGCTGATGTTAGGAAGGCAAAATATGAGGGGCCAGAATCCTGAAGAGACATAGCATTCAGTGTGGTACTTTGTTTAAGTCCCATTTCACCTAGTAACTTTTGCATTTTCAGGTTCTATTGATACCTGTTCACACAGCACCTTAATTGTCTGTCCTGCATCTTTGATTCATCATTGGAAAAAGGAAGTGGAAAAATATGTAAAACATGGCAAGTTGAAAGTGTACTTATACCATGGACCTAACCGAATTAAGAATGCTAGTATGTAAGTGCAGAGATAATTTTAAGATGTAATGTACTTCGCCCTATGCTTTGATACGTTTGGATACTGAAAGACAAGCATGGCTGTAAAGCCATTTAAGAATAAAAGCACAAACTGACATTTCAGCTCTGACTTAGGCCAACAATCTCAGCAGTCATCTTTAGCCTTCATTAGTTAGTGATGAGTATCTCAGCTTACTCTATAGATAGTGCTTTTGTCAGGGCTATTCAGGAATATAACTAAGGATATAGATTTATTCAGTGCAGAGTTTCCTTGGAAAACTGATCTGGAATACCCTAAATTTATCATAAAAATATTTGTGATCTACTCAGTTGTGTACTTGTTCTTAGCAGTACATCTTTATGAAGCTGATAAAAATATGGTCCCAGTTACCTTAAATTGATGACTGCCTGTAATCCACCACAAAAATGGCGTCTGCTGATTTGTTTGTCCCTTTCCCCATGTTTGGAAGAAAATACAATTTATTAGAAACTTTGAAAGCAGCCACACTTATTATTCATCAACATTAAAATTAAAAACAGAAAGGTAATTCTGAGGTGTCAGGTTCTTTACTAACTATTTTTCCTTGTCTTTGCAGCCTTTCTCAATATGAGATTGTTATAACTACTTATAGTATTCTAGCCAAGGAAATTCCTATACAAAAGGAAGAAACAGATGTTGCTGAAGATTGTCTAGTACAGGTGACTGAAATGTGCAAAAATGATTTTAAAAGAGAAACAAGGAATTACTCTGTTGAGATGAAGACTATATTTAAAGATAGACAGATCTGTGAACCTTGATATGGAATCATTTGTACTGGAGTGGTTACAGATTCATTTGTTACAATTCAGTGGATTATCTTTATGACTTTTCTGGCTTATCTGTATTTGTACCGAAATAATTCTCAATGTAGCCTTAATTATATGGCGCAAAACCAAGTAGTAGAAGTTATTTTAAAGATTAATTTAATTTAAAAATTAATTTTATTTATGTCTATTTTAATGTGAACTCTATAACAGTATGTTCATACTCCAAGTAAACTTTATGGCATTTAATTGAAGGACTGAAATGGTTTCTTAATGTTTCTGATTAAGATACTTTTGATCTTTAAAAAAAGCTCTTTACATATTGACCTGATCTACAATTTTCAGACAAATTGGTGGATCCAGTTAATTTCATACTTTTAATGTTCTGATATCTTCAGTTCAAAAAAATATTGCAGTACACTTTAGAACATGTATGTTGAGAAAAAATAGTCTTACATGTATACTGCTAGATATGTTAAATTCAAATGTGCTAGCATTTTTGCAAACATCACAAACTAATGCTGAAATCTATTTCTCTAGGATAAATCATTTCCCTTCTGTCCTCTGGTATGCATACGTTGGGCTCGAATTATTCTGGATGAAGCCCACAATATTAAAAACCCCAAGGTGCAGGCCTCAATAGCTGCTTGTAAACTGAGAGCTACTGCCAGATGGGCTGTAACTGGAACACCCATTCAGAACAACCTCTTGGATATGTACTCTTTGCTTAGGTAAATTAATCTCATTAAGGAGCAGACAAAGGTTTTGTAAACTAAGCATCTTCTTTCTTTCTTTCTTAAATGGATGTTGTTTTCCTCTTTCTATCATACATCCTCATATTTTGTAATTGTAAAGGAGAGGTTATGGAGATTCTCAGTCATCCAGGTCATGGTTGTCCCAAAGGTGCTTTTTCAAGAAGCAACTGGACTTTCTGGTTTTTCTTTGAAGAGGTTTTACTTCTCATCTATGAAGCTTCTTCAGCTCTGACACATACACACACGTGCCATTCAGTCAGAGCTGAAGAAGCTTCTTAGATGAGAAGCAAAACGTCTTCAAAGAAAAACCAGAAAGTCCAGTTGCCTCTTGAAAAAAAGCACCTTTGAAAAGGAAAGGCTAACTTAATATAAGCCTAACACAAATATTTTGTTGACATGTTGAGCTTACAGTTTGCCAGTAGCTTTAAATGTAAAGTGATTTGTCCTGAATCTGTTAATCCTCAATAGCAATGTCTCATCTTTCTCTACTGCCTTCTTCTGCCTTTTACCCACAGGTTTCTTCGTTGTTCTCCTTTTGATGAGTTTAAGGTGTGGAAGAGCCAAGTTGATAATAACACAAGAAAAGGAGGAGAAAGATTGATGATTTTAACCAAGAGTCTCTTACTACGAAGAACTAAAGACCAGCTTGATTCATCTGGCAAGCCTTTAGTAATAACGTCTCTCCATTTTTTTTTGTTATTCTTCTTTCCTTAATTAATCACAGAATACATTTTTTCTTGCCCAAATGTGAAAATAAGAGTAAATTGTTTTTTAATTAATATTTTCTTTTTATACAATTCCATGTATAAAAAACAATGTTGGTGACAAAGAGCAGCTTTGTGTATCAGTGTAGCTAAAAGGAAGTAGAACAAAATCACATATACTGTCCATTCCTCACTCCTCAGCATTTTTGCCCAGCATCAACCAGATCATCCCCATAGCAGTAAAATTTAATTTTAAAAAATGCAACATTTGAAAACAAGATGCTTACATTGTTTGCTTCTGCCAAACTGAGATTCTAAACTTTGGTTTCCAAGTTTTATTATACTTGATTATTGATAGGATTTTGAGAAAAAAAAATTGGTAAGGCAACAGACTTCTGAATCATTTATGCACAACACTGTTGTTCCATTGCTTAGATAAATCTATGTTTGAGATGTTAAATATTCTGCAAAATTTCCTTATTAGATGTATTATTACCTGGCTGCGCTTCAGGGATTTTTTATTTTCTGTCAGCACAAAACAGCATATAAGGAGTCAGTATTTTGTTCATATAGCATCTGTATAGTTCTAGGTCTGGGAGTGGAATGAAAAATTTGTTGTCTGAATTTTTCATAGGACAAAAAGTCTTCTACTTTATTAATTAATTAGTACTTGAATTGCACTAATCCTGTTGGTACAGTCTTTAAAATTGTTCTTCTTCCTTCCCTTCAGATATCTCTGCCTCAGCGTTGTGTTCAGGTGCACAGATTGAAACTCTCTGAATATGAACAGTCAGTATATGATGTACTTTTCAAACGATCAAGGTGTGATGCCTATAAGGACATAAATTTATAAATGTATCTGTAAACTTAGTTTCAGTGATTAGCTCTGTTTTGAGACTGCAGTTAACAGTGCTTTTTTTTCTTGTGAGAAGCATTTCTGGACAGTTTCTAACTGCTCTGTTTTCCTTCTGATGTGAGTTCTATATGTACATCTGTTTAAAAGCACAGAAAATCAGTTATCTGCATGGCAGAGTTAACATCTCAGTGACACATTCCCACAAAAGATTGATGTTGTGATGTATGGATATAGTGAAGAAATAATGAATATCTTAATAAATAATGAGTAATTAAATAGATATAATGAAGAACATTAGACCCTGAATCATTTTCTCATGCTATGTATTGGCTTTCCCTTTGAATTTAACCCTTAGTCTTATGATTTCATAAATCAAAAGTATTTTTGTATATCTACTCTCGTATAGTTAATATCCTGTCATTTAATTTAATATTTATAGTGTTTAGTTTCATCCAAAGACAAAAGCCTTGGAAAGAAACATCATTATTATATAAATGAACTGTAAAAGATTTAGGACTGGAAGTGATCAGTTTCGTCTTATAGCTTCGCCCTAAATTCTGTCGGTTTAAAATGATCAGAATTTTGCTATATTTCGAAAGTTTGGGATTGTTTGCCTTTTTAAGGTATCAAGATCTTTCTCTCTCTCTTTATAATCTAGTGGGAGGCTACATTTACAACAGGGCTTCTAAGGAAATATCTTGGAATATCTCCCCCCCAGAGTGAGGTCAGCTCCAACCCTCTTGAGCTTCCACAACAGCTTAAAGTCCAGCTCTGCCAATTGGCTCCAAAGGAGGGACTTCATATTGGGGATGGTTGATAGATTAATATCAGATCCCACCTGCTCATCCTGCTCCCTTCCTCCCCATCTTTTAGCAGTTTTATTTTGTATTTTTATATTTTTGTAGTATTTTATATAGTTTTACCTTTTAATATTGTAAGCCACCCAGAGTTACCCTGTGGTAAGATGGGCAGTCAATAAATTTAATAAATAAAATAAATACATAATGAAAGAGAGGAAAATAGTTGCATTTTATCTTTGGTCTGCACCACCATCCTTATATGGCTCCTGAGAGGTTTTTTTCAAAAGGTTATGGCTTCCAACATTCTTTGCTCTTTCCTTAAAATATGAAATTACTAAATGATACATGTTAAATCTCTCTGCTTACTACAGATAATTCTCAACTTACAATCACAATTGAGCCAAAAAATTTTTTATTTTTAAGTGAGTTCTGCCCCATTTTACCACCTTGCCACTGTTGGTAAGTGAATCACTGCAGTTGTTAAGTTAGTAGATGTAAGTAAATCTGACTTCCCCATTGACTTTGCTTGTCAGGAGGTCACAAAAGATAATCACATGACCCTTGGACACAGCAGACATCATAAATACGAGGCAGTTGCCAAGTGTCTGAATTTTGATCACATGACCATGGGGATGCTGCAGTGGTTGTAAGTGTGGAAAACTGTCATAAGTCATTCTTCAGTGCTGTTGTAACTTTGAACCATCACTAGATGAACTGCTGTAAATTGAGGACTAACTGTACTTCAAATATTTTAACTTGCTCTCCATATTATTCATTATGTTATAGTGATTTGAGATCAATCCCTTTCTTTTTGGCCAAGGGTTTCCTGGTGGCACCAGATTAGCTGGCTGACCCACCTCCTGTTTAGTCATTGCATCTGTGTTTGTTTGTCTTGGATTTATATAAAAACAGGGAAAGACACCTGCATTCAAGCTGCTTTGTTATGCTTTCTTGATGTTTAGGTCAACACTGCAGTCTTTTCTCAAACACCAGGAAACTTTGTATAAAGGCTATTCTGGAGACAACTCATTTAATATAGGTATGGTGTTAAATTTCTCTTGGACGCTGTGTACAAATGTGTCGATAGGAATCTGATCAGGCTGTTGAACATTTTTGTTGCTGGTTTTGTAACCTTGTTAGGAAGGAAACCTATTAATAGGAAACCTAATTCTCCTATCCACTAGTTTGTCTTCCCACCCTCAAATTGTAATGATAGCTTTCAGAAATCAGATTGCACACTTCTGAAATAAATTCTGTTTTTAGCCTGAGAGTTTTGTCTTTGATACATATGCAGTTTCATCTTTGATAGGAACACAGCAGTTTAAAATGTGTCAGCAGGATCCCTCAGGAAAGATGGTGAAAGACAGGCCTCCCGTCTCCACCACTATTCACATCCTGTCCCTCTTGTTGAGGCTTCGTCAGTGCTGCTGCCATCTTTCTTTGCTGAAAGTGGTAATTATGGTGGGCTTACAATTATTCGTCCCTTCTGAGGAAGATTGTTTGAGTTCAGAAATTGTAGATCCTTGGCAATATCCTTTTTTTTTCAGGCTCTTGATCAGGCTAATGTGAATAGCGAAGGCATCTCTCTGTCAATGGAAGAACAACTCAGTGCTTTAACTCTCTCTGAACCTGATAGCAGTGATCCACTCTCAATGGTGAATCTCTTTGGTACAGCTTTTAGTGCTGATCTTTTTGAAATGGCCAAGCAGAGCACCAAGGTAGGAAGATAATGGCAGTCCTTTCAAGGGAATCCCAGATTTGGTGTCATTTTTAACAAAAGTAAGGAGGGAAAAAGGATTATATATATATATAATCCTCTCTCTATATATATATACCCTCACTACATTCCTAGTGGGCTGTTAAAGAACCTCTTTATGGGAGAGATATGAGTCTTACCACAGTAGTTTTGACTCTATACTCTGCATCAGCACCGACCCTTCATTTCAGACTCCTGATTGCCATCTTGAATGGCCAGTGTCAGATTCCCTAACATGATACTGCCATTCAAATGGAGGGAGGGGGGAGCATGGGGATAAGCAGTATTTTATAACCTTTTTCCTGGCGCTTAAGCACCCTGCAGTATTCTCACCTTTTTTGGAATGTAATAAGGAGGGAGGACCATGTGGATTGTTTCAGTTTGTTGAAAGCAGAAGACGACCCTGGGAACGATTCCTTATCTGTTTTTCAGGACGGCCATTATAATAACATCTTCACACCTGTGGATTGGCTGAATCCACATCAGACTGGAGGGAGGAATTCTAAAGTCCTATTTCTAACTGTATAGTTCTGCTGAGAAACTCATTTTCCAGAACAGCTTGCACTCAAACTGATGATTGCAATTACGCAGTTTTAAGAACTAGTTACTTATTTAGCTTGTTTTCCTTTCCTCTCCCATTCTTTTCTCATTTGTTACCTTTTTTAATTAGTAAACCTAATGGAGTAATTGTCTTATTCCATATTGAACTTATTTAAGATCATTAATAGTCTTTTCAGATAACAGCAAAATAAAAATGCTTTAAAACAATAAAGCTCCAGTTTTGAGCTTTAAGTGCGATGGAACTTACTTCTAACTTTAATGTTGGGCAGGCTCATTATTATGTGTTCTTTCCTCTCTCATCTTTTTAGGTTTCCCATCTGTTAGAAGAACTGAAGGGAATTCAAAATCATTCTCAAAAATGGTGAGCATAGCCATAGTAAGGAATGTTGTGTCAAGTCACCTCAGTATCTGAGTATACAGTAAAGCCTCAGTTATCCTCATTTCTGCTGGCCTTGCTGTGCCCAACTGACCTTTACTGTCTTTTTTTTCTCCCTCTGTTGATGAGACTTGTTCAGCCTGGCCCTATGTGAGGCAGCTCCTAGCCATGCTCATCCTTTTCTAAATTGCCTCTGCCTTCTTGCAATGCTTTGGAAGGCTTTGCAAGAAGGCCACACCTTCCCCTCTCCAAATCACATGAGAAATTTCACATATAGATTCCGACAAGCACAGTCAGTGGAGAAACTGGTAATAAAATCTCAAGTTTCAGTCATGTGGTATCTCGCTTAATGACCGCAGTGGAAGTGAAATTATGGTCATGTGATATCTCACTTAATGAGCATATCACTTAGTGATGGAGTTGTCTGTCCCAGTTGTGGTTGTTAAGCAAAGACTAGCTGTAGAATAACACAGAGATATTTGCCTTCTGAGGTTCATGTGTGGTATTCCAAATATTTTTGAATTTTTGAATGTTAGAATGTTAAACATTTTAATAGTAATTTCATTAAAAAATACAATGACAAAAATAAAAATTACTAAAACAAAAATAATAATAATAAACAAATAATGGAAAGTACAGAAAAGAAAAAAAAAGAAAAAATAAGAATACAGCAAGAAAAAAGAAAGCAAGTATATAATGAAATGACTTCCATCTTCCTATATTGGATTTACTAAAGAGGCATGCCAAAGCTTTGGACAAAGAGAAAACTAAAAAGAAATCAGGTTCTAGATCATTATTTGAAGAGATAAAATGATCAGGATTGTTAAAAGTAAAAAAAAGGAATATAAAGTTGGTTTATTTGATCACAGTTAATAGTTAATAATCAATTTCTGAAAGTGATTAGAAAAGGAAGTATGCAAAACCAGTATCCTTTTAAAGGTGCCAGCTGCCCATTCCCTTGACTTCCCGAACTCTAAACCCACCAGAGACCAAGTCATACACTTTGTGGAACACTTGTGGATAATCTCATATCCTCCCCTAATCCAGAGAGGAATTATCTGCTTATTGGCTCTTCATTCCACCACAATTGTCAAATTTGCTTTTAGTTGAGACATCGTCAATTCGCCATTTTCTCTCAGCATCATAACCATTTCCATTGTGTTACAAAATGTGTGTGTGTGTGTATTTATTGTTACATCAATTATGCTAGATTGTCCAGCATTGTGTGAATATTGAAGAAGATGGTTGAACGTTGCTGAAACATAAGGTTTGAACCAGAAAGAAGGTTGTTTTTGCTTTGCTTTTCTACCTTTATAGTGTTGTTGTATCTCAGTGGACAAGTATGCTAAAAATTGTGGCAATACATCTTGACAAGCTTGGCCTGAAACATGCCACAGTGGATGGTTCAGTGAACCCAAAACAGAGGATGGATATCGTTGAAGAATTCAATAATAATCCTAAAGGAACCAAGGTATGAAAAAAGAACTCCAGGATAATTATTTTTCACCGCTGCTGCTTCATATTTCTAACTATTAGGTATACACCTTAATGGGTTAATTTATACATCATTAAGGCAAGGAAAAATTTCCCTGGTAACTTAATGAACTTTATGGGAATTTTGCTTTATATCTTACCCATCTGGCACACCAGATGTGTTGGATTACAACCCCCAATATTTCCAATCATCATAACCAAATTATAATATACCATATTTTTCAGAGTATAAAATGCACTGGGGTATAAGATGCACCTACCTTTTTTGGTGAGGAAAAGAAGAAAAAGAAATCTCCCTCTGCCTCTGAGCAATTTTGCCTCGTGGCAGCAAACAGCCTGCTTTACTTTCATTTTCCTTTACAGCATAGCTTGATTAGCACAAAGGAAAAAAATATATGCTCCAGCAATTTACCTCTTTGCAGCAAGCAGCAGAGCCCTGCGCAGAACAGCTGAGAGCAAATCAACTGAGAGTTGGGAGGCCGATCCAATCAACCTGTGCTAATTAGGCTGTGCTGAAGCTGAAAGGAGCTGTTTTTTCTTGCTGTTTGCTTGCAAGGAGGTAACTGCTGCGTGGCAGAGGCCAAAGGGTGGGGGCCAGTGGGTGGGTGGGGCTACATTCTGTGTATAAGACGCACCTAAATTTTCACCCCCTTTTAGGGGGGAAAAGTCTGCGTCTTATACTCTGAAAAATACGGTATATCTGGATGGCAGTATAAATATATAGTATATCAACAACTTGTGAAATAATAACCCAACTATCCCTCTTATTCTTCTCATAGGTGATGTTGATTTCACTTCTGGCTGGAGGTATTGGCCTTAATCTGGTTGGAGGAAACCACCTCTTCCTTCTAGACATGCATTGGTAAGGTATAGCAATTTTTTATCACCATGTTAGAAAAAAAATATGTTGTTCCCAGTTACAGTAATTAAATCTGATTAAAAGAATTGCATTATTAATTGAGGTTCCCAAATTATGTCCTTAATTCTTTTTGTCATTTGCCATTCAAAATAACATGTTATGTCTATACCTGTTGACTGTTTAATGAAATAAATCTAACATCTCCCTATGTTTGCCAATTACTTTCTGAATTATTATTATTAATATTTTCATCCTGCCTTATTTTATTTGTTCAACTGAAGATGGCAAACATACCTAAAATTACTGGCTTCTGTTTTTCCTACAACACCACCTTGTGAGATGGGTTGGGCTGAGAGTGAGTGATTGGCCAAAGCCATCCAAATGGTTTTCAACCCTAAGAGAACTTGGAGTTTTCTATGCCAGCACCTTAACTACTATACTGTGGTGGCGCAGTGGTTAGAATGCAGTACTGCAGGCTAATTCTGCTGACTGCCAGCAGTTTGACAGTTCGATTCTCACCAGCTCAAGGTTGACTCAGCCTTCCATCCTTCCGAGGTGGGTAAACTGAGGAGCCAGATTGTTGGGGGGCAATATGCTTACTCTGTAAATGGCTTAGAGAGGGCTGTAAAACACTGTGAAGCGGTATATAAGTCTTAAGTGCTATTGCTATATCATCTGGCTTTTCAATTTATCTTTTAATTGCTGCCCCAGGTGGTGAGCTGCCAGTGGCTAATCTCATCCATTACTCTTCCCATATTGCATATTCACTGCATTGAACAGGATTTTAGGTGCACAATAGAACAAATAGAGAGGAAGAGGCAGATGAATAGATATTGGGGGAAAATGTGGGATGCTATTACTGATTCTTCCAAGGAAAAGATGGATCTAACAAGGTAGAAAGGGAAATCTATTGCTTGCTATTTGGCATGTGAAGTTAATTTGTGTGAGAAATGTTTTCACTTTTTTCCTGTTGGTCATAAGTGCTTTGTTACTTTTCCCTTAAATATCAGGAATCCAGCACTAGAAGACCAAGCCTGTGACCGCATTTACCGGATGGGGCAACAGAAGGATGTTAAGATCCATAGGTAGTGCTTTACAAAATGTCTTGCACCATTGCTATAAGTCTTGACAGAGGAATTGTGTCAAATACTGAATAACATAGCTGAAAAATTGTATGATTAAAATTATTTCAGTTTGACTACTGTCTTTAAAGATTTATAGGGATTTCAATTTAAGATTGTTCAACTAGTTCAGTCACTTGATCCAATGAAGAATTATCACTTCGCTGAAAAACCAGCTGGCAATGTGTCAGAATTTATAGGAAGGATGGTCTAAAAACTGACCTAATTGTACACTGTGCTTGGGTCTAGGTTTGTCTGTGAAGGAACTGTGGAAGAAAAGATCTCAGAGCTGCAAACCAAGAAAAAAGAATTAGCCCAGAAGGTGTTGTCAGGAAAAGGAGAGTCCATCAGCAAGCTCACTCTGGCTGATCTCAGACTTCTGTTTGGCATTTAGCTGTTCATTTTTTAAAAAAAATGTCTTCAGGCACACAGAATAAGTGTGCATTTAATAAATTTTATTAATAAAATGGCTGAATATTATTATGCTACAGCTCTTTTTATGTGTAAATAACATTTCCATGAAAAGAAGGACTTGCTTATTTATTAAATTTAGGTACCACCTATCTCATTGTCAGAGTAATTGTGAGCAATATTCAGTTAAAAGCATAAAAATCATATAAAAGTGCAGTACATCAGTAAAAGTAGATGGGTAGAAACAAAATTAAAATAAGTTATAAGGCAGGAGAAGGGCCTTTTTTTTTTTTTTTTTTAATGCCGCCCTTGTCCGGAGACTCAGGGCGGCTTACAATGCGTTAAGCAATAGCCTTCATACTTTTGTATATTTATACAAAGTCAGCTTATTGCCCGCACAAACTGGGTCCTCAATTTACCTACCTTAGAAAGGATGGAAGGCTGAGTCAACCTTGAGCCTGGCGGGATTCGATCTTACTTTAATTGCAGACAGCTGGTCTTAAATTACAGAGCTCTGTCTGTTGAGCTATCCAGGCTCCTTCAGGTACCAACTATCCCCAGGGTTGCATGCTGCTTTGTGAACCTCATGAGAGTTGGCAAAGCCAAGTCTTCAAACTCTTTTGAAAGGCCAGGAGAGAGGCTTCCCACTTCACCTCCACGGGTGGAGGCAACAGATATTCCACGGGGTGGGGGCAATGGCAGACACAGCTCTTCATATCCTGCCAAATCCTTTAGCGATGAGGTCTGTAACACCTTCCCTGCCTGACCAAGTAAAAAGGACTGATGTGACAGGGATAACATGGCCCAATGTCATGTTGGCTTTAAAGATAATAACTCACACCTTGAACTGGAACCAGAAACAAACCAGCACCCAATGCAGCTCATGCAGCAAAGGTGTTACATGTGTCGTTCTTGGGGTACCCAAGATTGCTTTGCCACCACATTCTGCACCAATTGATACTTTGGATATTCTTAAGGGTAGCCCCTGTAAAGCACATTGCAATGGTCAAATGGAGATGACCAGGACATGACAGGTTTCTGATCCAGGAAGAGGCCCATCTGGCATGCCACACAGTTTGGCAAAAGTCCTTTTTGCCTCGACTACTGCCTCCTTGAGCAGGAGTCATGATTCCAGGAGGACTCCCAGATTATGCACTGGTCTACCTGAGCCAGTGCAAGCCCATCCATGACAAAGATAATAAACCCCTGGAAACAGAGGAGCCCACTACTCACAGCCAATCTGTCTCACCTGGGTTCAGCAGAAGACTTGTTCCCCACCCAGGCCCCCACAATATGCCTTGTCTACAAAGCCAAGTTTCTGGTAACATATTCATATGCTACAACATACTTGGAGCTACTCAGAGGTGGGTTCTACTTACTTGCACTACTGGTGCGCAATGGGAGCGTGTCCTTCGCATGCGCAGATCGTTCATGATGACATCCAGGCGGGTGGGTGGAGCCTCCCACCACCATTGCTATCAGTTCACAAGAACCGGACTGAACCGGGAGCAACGTACCACTGGAGCTACTGCACCAGAAATTGAACTATCATATTGTGATTTTAATGCAATAGGCTTTATTATATAATTGTACTTTCATTTTACTATTTTGTATTGGCTTTTGCTGTAGTGCTTGTATGGTTCTTAGTCTTCAGATTGTTTATAATGTTGTGCATGGTAATCCATGCAGCAATGGAAATATCCGAGGAATCCTTTGAATAAAATCTAAAATACTTTGAATTGAACACGACTGTTTAAAATCATTAGCTTAAAGCAGCCTTTTAGAACTTTAAATGTGAATGTCTCATCTGTTGTAATTCATTACTAATAATAGTTCAGGACAATCTTGCATGAGTGTCAGGATGGCCGAGCGGTCTAAGGCGCTGCGTTCAGGTCGCAGTCTCCCCTGGAGGCGTGGGTTCGAATCCCACTTCTGACAAAATCTTTTACTTCCTGCCATCTTTAATATAGATTTCTTGCAAGACAGCTTGCTGTTTTGCAAATTGGAACGCGATCGCTCACTTAAAAGCATATCCTAGGTTTCTCTTTTAGTATACACAAACATGTAACAAGCGTTCCCCCTCCCAAGAAGGTGGCCGCTGCACGCAGGAGACACAACGAATCTTTCGGAGGGCAACCTGCACGAGCCATAAGATAGATAGATAGATAGATAGATAGATAGATAGATAGATAGATAGATAGATAGATAGATAGATAGATAGATAGATAGATAGATAGATAGATATTCAAATAGGTTCTTGTGAATACGTTTGCTGGAAAACTTGCCGGCCGTTCTGGCTCTATTCCAGGGGTCTCCAATCTTGGCAACTTTAAGACGTGTGGACTTCAACTCCCAGAATTCCTCAGCCAGCTTTGCTCTTCTAGACCCCTGCTCCATTTATTCTATTTAATTCTTTAAAACGCTGAAAATTGGCTTTCGTTTTTCGGATGATATTAATAAACAGAGTGGCAGTTTAAACCATCTGCTGAAAATCCAACACATGGGAGAAATTAAATACATGGTAGTGGGTCAAATATAAATATTCCGCTTTGCCTCATATTGTGTTTTGGAGTTTTCACCTGTTTCTTTTATTGGGCTTCATCATGTCATTCTTTCTGAACAAAAATATTTTGCTCTAACAGTGCAAAAGCATGTTCTAGCATGACTCGGAACGTGTATGGCAATAAATACAGTTCAGGAGTTCAAAACTAAAACCTTATTTCACCCTGAGAAAGACATCTTAGGCACCGCTGGGATTCGAACCCAGGATCTCCTGTTTACTAGACAGGCGCTTTAACCAACTAAGCCACGGCGCCCAAACTTGACCACAAATTCTTCCAGGAGACTCTCTAAAGAATAAAATAATTTTAATTTTTTTAAAAAAATAATAGGTAAATAAATTAACCTATCCTGCAGCCTAGATTTGCAAGTCTATCTTTATTTCCATATTTTGGTCAGATGAACCCAACCACAATGCTATCATGAACTGATTTCAAACAGATTTTATCTTTACGGTTGTCAGTTTAAAAAACCCCAGAGCACTGCTTTTTCTTATCATTTTGTCGTATATTAAACGAAAAAGATTATGAACTGATTTTTCTACATTCTTGTGTTCTCTTTAAATACATGCAATCTTGCTAACGCACTCTAGACTTCTCTGCAGATACCATGTTGGCGGCATCACCCTTGTTAAACAACATACAATGTAAAACTCCTTTTACAGTTGTTTTTGGCTTTAAGGAGTGCCAAAGGAAAGCAAAATACAATATTGTTCAAAGCACAGATAGTAAGTTCAGATACTGCCACACTTTGCTCCTAATTTTGAGGTAAGACTGCTAGAAAGAAGTGCCAAGTTGCTCATAAGGAAAACAAACAACCAGCTGCAAAACTAGACTCAAGAACACATATAAAGTAAAAACTAACTTTTTGCAATTTTTTAACTAATTTTACTTCAGAGATAGCCATTGTCCTGATATCCTGCCCTCAGTTCTATAGGGTTGCCCTTTCCAGCCCCTACAGCAGTTTCTCAATCCCAGGGAATTCTGGGATTTCATGAGTTAAGGAAGGGATTTTTTAACTACAGTACTCGACTCAGTTGTGACTTGGAACAGTTAACTGGATATCCTATTTTCTCAAACAGGTTTATCAAATACATTAGAATGGCATGCACACATATATAATAGAATATCATTGTCATATTTTATATTGTCTTAATCACCACCAATCAGACTTTGTATGGCACACCTAGTGCATTTTGTTTGGCCTACACTGCAGTTTGTATATTGTACTGTGGTTTAGGACTTACTGGAGACTCAGCCAGCAATTCACCCTCTCTTAGGAAAATGAGATATTTTAGGAAATATTAAAAGGGCAGAATATTTCCCCTAAAAGGGAGGCCCCCCTCCCCCCACCTTTGTCAATGGGCCATTAAGGCCTGGGCCAGTCTATTCTACATATCAAAGATCTACCTCCTTCAGGCAGAGCCATAGTAGGAATTGCCCAAAGCCATTTCATTACATCATCACCCAGCAAGATTCAACCAAGGTTGGGACTCTTTTGACAACCTACAAAGTTACCCCTGCATGGCTCCATGGGAGTCTGACAACCAATCAGAATATAAGCTCAAATTCAACGCCCAATAGAGGGTATAATTTTTTTTCTCTGTCTCTCTCTCACTCACCCATGTGCCTTTTTTGCTCAGGATCTCAAGCCATGCGATCCTGTTCATCAATAAACCCTCTTTCCAAGCAACTTCTCTGAATCCAGTTTCTTTTCCCCCCACTTGGAACTGAACCCAGATGGACATTTCTTCCAACAGTTAATAAAATTATGGTCAGAAATGGCAAGATATTTCAGTATAAACAGAAAATCTGTGTTTCAGCTTCTGCAAGTTAGGGCAGAGCTGGGAACACCTCCAAAATCCAAACAAAATATTCTGACAATTAAAATATTTAACTATTGGCTGAAGAGGCTATGAATGATCACCTAAACTATGCTTTGAAGAATACACTTTCAACTAATCCTCTCGCATTTGAGCTCTCTGTATTATAAACACCATTCTACAATATGGGTTTTCTTTTCAGCTTCCAGTTCAAACATAAAATTGTGAAAGAGCATGAAAATGGTTTTTCTCTGTGGTGGCTCCCTCCTTTTGGAATATCATCTCTGAGAGTTTACAATGGCCCCCACTTCGACACTCTTCTGTAATGCCCTCAAGCCAATGGGGCTAGGCCAGGGGTCTCCAACCTTGGCAACTTTAAGACTTGTGGATTTCAACTCCCAGAATTTCTCAGCCAGCTTTGCTGTTGAAGTCCACAAGTCTTAAAGTTGCCAAGGTTGGAGACCCCTGGCCTAGGGAACCCGGAGTGGGATGGGGCCCATATGTCCATTTAAATGAAGTCTGAGGAAAGCAGAAGCCTAAAATTTAAGATGTTAATGAGGGAGAAAAATTATAAGGTTGTTTGGAGTTCAAGAGAGACAGACATACCAATTAGTGCTAACAATCTTTGTCTTATCGGAAGACAAACTCCATAATCTTCTCCTGACCTGGAGAAAAAACTTTTTAATTTTTTTTTTCCAGTTTAGCAATGTTAGAAGCTATGAATCAATCCATACTGCAATAGGGTACATTCCAGTCTGCAATGGTTTGATCACTTAAAAGAGAGAAAAAATAATCACACTATAAAATAACTCAGGAAGTAGAATATTACAAAGTCTATCTTGTGTGGCTCTCACTTTGCAGAAATATTATATATGTGTAGTGTTTCAGCTGTTGATAACTTGTTTGACTATAAACTGAACTCAGTGGCCAGGAACAATTGCTTAAAATCTAAGAAATTGTGGGACCCACGAAATAAATTATACTGCTTGCAGAGAATGAGGACCCAGTTTGTGGGGGCAATAAGCTGACTTTGTAAAAATATACAAAAGTATGAAGGCTATTGGTTAATGCATTGTAAGCCGCCCTGAGTCTCCGGAGAAGGGCGGCATATAAATTAAAATAAATAAATAAATAAATAAATAAATAAATAAATAAATAAATAAATGAATGAATGAATGAATGAATGAATGAATGAATGAATGAATGAATGAATGAACTTGGATTACTAGAAGGAAAAGGATTACCTTTCACACCAAAGACTATCCAAAAAAGAATGGACCATTTAAACTGAGCTTGGTTTCAGCGATGCAGATATATTGTGACAATTGTGTGTGCCTATTGTTTTACAGCTTATTGCTATGATCAAATAATTAATAAAAAAACTGCTTGACTTAAAAACTCTTAGTTTTCCGTCACAGTGAAAATATTTATATGAATTCTAGTTTGGAGAAGGTCTTGAACATATTTAATTAAAACGTTTGCTTTCCGAATGAAAAATGTGTGTGTTAAATAAATAGTAATCTGAAGACCTTTAAAACAATCTCATTTTAGAATTGATTTTCTCAACGAGAGAAAACTTACAGCCTTGTTTCACATCGGCCGGTTAGCTCAGTTGGTTAGAGCGTGGTGCTAATAACGCCAAGGTCGCGGGTTCGATCCCCGTACGGGCCAACTGTTTTCTGTTTCTTTGAAACCGAAGAAACACATTTTTTTTCGCATTTTCTCACGTTATTCAGTTTGCTTTCCGGTGTATAACTTAGGCTTTTCAGAGGTTTCAAATAGCCCTCTGTATCAGATTCATAATGTACAGCATCTGAATTGTGCATTTTGAATCCCCCATACTGCCTATTTAATAGTGAAAAAACGTACATTTTGTTCCACCGAAGAAGGAATCATTATAGAAAAGAGTGAAGTTAGTTTTAATATGTTCTACTATCCTATTTATTAAATTTTTAGAGAGGCGAAGAAAAATTGAAAGAGGAACTGCCGTGACTCGGATTCGAACCGAGGTTGCTGCGGCCACAACGCAGAGTACTAACCACTATACGATCACGGCGCGCCACCGGAGGACCGATGTACGGACTTGGTAAAGTGATACATAACAGACTTGCTAGAAGGACCGCTAACAACGGAGCATAAGCCTATTTGGTATTTCTCCCTTCTGAAATACTTTCTCTGCAACTTTAAAACTCTCTTGCTTTGCTTTTGGTTTTGAATCAGCAGAATAAAAGAAAGAAAAAAAGAAGAAGAAGAAGAAAAAAAGGGTTAACCAGCAAAGGGAAGCCATGGAGAGCGAGCCAGCCTGCAAGAGTCTGTTTCTTCCCACGTGCTGAGCCTTGAGCAACCCGACGCCCGGTGAGCGAGCGCGGCTTTTCAAACCGAGGCAACCGACCAGCTTTCTTCTGCCACGTTTCAAAGAACGAGGAGGAGGAGGAAGAGGGGGAAAAAAAATAGACCATAAAAACTTCAGAAAGGTATTTCCATAAATGTGGGCTTTTAAATTCGGGTATTAAACAGCGGACTGAATTCAAAGTCCTCCCTTGTAGAGGAAGGGGCTAGATCAGCTGCAGCTCGGTGGAGCTTATGGGAAGTGAAATTTGCTGGTACGAAGTTGTAAGCAAAAAAAAAAAAAATATGCATTAGGAATACCATGTATTGAATGGATTTAATACTGAGCGTGTCTCCCTCTTCTGCTCCTTGGTGTACAGCGGGCTACGTGTAAACTGCCCCTCCTTTGCAGACTTCGCCCTAGCAAAGGCATCCTCAAGCCAACGTTTTAATAGGTTGGAGGGTTTTGGAAAAGCGCCGCGACTGAATTCCTGAGGCTTATCACGCCCCAAATTTTATATGTTATACATGGTGACGTCTAAGAATGGGCTTCTTAGACTTGAGATACTGTATTGCCCTTAAAATGATACCTGATTATGGGTGGCTGTCCGTGGATAAAACGAAGCATTTATTTGGGGTTGGCAGCACTCGTGGGTCTAAACCTGACTCAAGGCAACGCGTACTAAATTGGGAAGATCTCACCTTAAATTCACAGCAGCCCAAAGTCTGAAAAGACCTGAGTAGTCGCGTTACTTTGACTCTGCTGGGGACTTTCGACTTTAATTTTATCCTTCCCCGTGAAGCTTATTGGACGATCTTGAAACAATCAGTTTCTGATCCCTGCCTACTCCCCTAAATTGAATTTAATTTTGTAGGATAAAACAAGGGAAACAAGGGATAGAGGCAGGGGTGAAATCCAACAGGTTCTGGAGAAACCGGAAACAGAAATTTTGAGTAGTTTGGAGAACCGGCAAATATCACCTCTGGCTGGCCCCAGAGTGGGGTGGGAATGGAGACTTTGCAACATCCTTCACCCAGGAGTGAGGAGGGAATGGGGATTTTGCAGTATCCTTCCCCCAGGAGTGGGGTGGGAATGGAGACTTTGCAATATCTTTCCCCCAGGAGTGGGAGGAATGGAGATTTTGCAGTATCCTTTCCCTGCCACGCCCACCAAGACGCACCTACAGAACCGGTAGTAAAAAAAAATTGGATTTCACCACTAGAGAGAGGGTCATGTCTCTTGATGGCCAGGAAGTGTTAGTGCAGCCTGGTTGATAGTTTTCTACCTGTTTGGCCAACATAGTTCACACAATTGGGAGAAGAAGAAGGATCAAGAGACATGACATGACCATCTATCCCTCATGTCCATCCACAAAGACTCAAAAGGGCAAAAATTCGATCTAACTGGGACCACAGTTGTAATCCAGGCGAGGTCAAGGAGAGAAAGGGAATTCCTGGAAGCCTGGTTTTCCATCAATAAATCAATAAACAGACACATTGACATCAACCCAATCTACCAACCACCTAGAATGAAAAAACAACATCAACCACAATCCCGAAGGCAGCATTTAAAGACCAATGAACAGCCACGCTGCAAACAAAGTTATAACTCAACAGATCACAAGAAATTGGACCACATCACATGTTGTGCAGCTGGCGCTCGAGTTGGACAGTGAGGAAGCTGGAGGAGATGTGGTGCCAGAGGCAGGGATTCAGCCAGGGCCTTCAGAACTTCCAGAAGCTCCTTTAAGTGAAGAGGACGAAGAAGAGGAGCCTCTTCTCAATGCACGAGCGCGCAGAGCTGCCAAAAGGCAGGAGTGGCTCCTCAGGAGGAGGTCTCCTTGAGAGTAAGGCTTGGGGCTAATTGGCCACTCCCTTAGCCTATTTAAGGAGGAATGCCGATTGCAGCAAGCTGTAGGGAACAACTTTAGTTCACTCTCCTTCGCGTCTGGATTCGCTGCAAAATTGCTTCTGGGCTTTCTGCCAACTCTAGTAAGACTGTGATTACTTTATCTTAGAATGCTTGTAGGCTGTTAAGGAAGTTTATTAACAGCCTTTGGTTGAAAAAGACTGAGTTATCTGAGTAAAATAAGCTTTGTATAGTTTTTGTGTGTGCTGCGTTCTTTGGGGTCCGTAGCTGAGGCAGAACACACGTAGCCGATCAAATCAACTAGAAACCAGACCATGACATCATTAGAAGATATCCAAACATCTAAGGGAGTGAGACAAGGATGTCCTCTCTCCCCTATATTATATATATTAGCATTGGAACCACTGTTGAATGAAATTAGGAACGACAATGAAATAAAAGGATTAAGAACAAAAAACCAGGAGTACAAATTACAAGCATTCGCGGACGATGTAGTATTCATCTTAGAACGACCAAAACAATCAGGACTGAATTTACTAAGGAAGATAGATCAATATGGCGAAGTGGCAGGATTGAGAATTAATAGGCAAAAAAACAAAACTACTAACCAAAAATTTGACAAAAACCCAGGAGAAAGAATTGGAAGAGACATTAGGAATACAAACAACAACAAAAATAAAATATCTAGGAATCTGGCTCACTAATAAGGTATCATCCCTCAAAGAAGACAATTACATCAAATTGGCCAAACAAATCCAGAAGGACTTAGAGGTATGGAGTAAATTGAAATTATCACTACTAGGCAAAATTGCTTCAATTAAAATGACAATCCTACCAAAAATACTATATCTATTTAGAACAATACCAATAAACCCAGGAAAATCATACTTCAAAGACCTTGATAAAATGACATTAAAGTACTTATGGCAAGGAAAAAGAGCCAGGATTAAACTGAAACACCTGCAGGACACTAAAGAAAGGGGTGGCCTGGGACTACCTGATTGGCAAACCTATTACACTGCAACAGCTCTAACTTGGATTAAGGATTGGATGACACTCAAAGATAAACGAACACTAGCACTAGAAGGATTTGACTTGTCAAAAGGCTGGCATGCATTTCTATGGGAGGAAAGGCCCAGACAACATGAACACTTCAGGAGACATTATATCAGAGGAGCACTGGCAAAAATTTGGACTGAAATAAGGAGAAAACACTACGACAAAATCCCAAGATGGCTATCAACCATGGAGGCCCAAATCTACCCGAACACAATGGACACAGATAGGATGAAAACCTATGATGAATTGTTGAATACAGAGGGAGATATGAAAACATGAGAGGAACTGAGACAACAGGGCACGGATATTGATTGGTGGCCGTATTTACAGATAAAATCAAGATATAAAAGCGATATGGAAAAATTTGGAATCCAAAAAGAAAGAAATGAATTAGATAAAATTATAATGCAATCAGACGACAAATTAATAACTAAAATATATAATTATCTATTAAAATACAAATTGGAAGAAGAAGTGGTGAAGGAAAATATGATCATTTGGGCTAAAAATTTTGGATATAATATTAACCTAGAGAATTGGGAAAAAATATGGAAAGTAAATACTAAGCTGACAATGTCCGTGCCCTACAAAGAAAACACGTACAAGATGTTTTATAGGTGGCATCTCCCCCCTGCACGGTTGGCAAGGATGTTTCCCAATACTAATCAGAACTGTTGGAAGTGTAAAATACAGAAGGGGACTTACTACCACATGTGGTGGTCATGCCCCAAGGTCAAAAAATTTTGGAAAACAATTCAAAGTCAGCTGGAAGAAATTACCGCCCAAAAAGTACCCCTCAGACCGGAAACTTACCTATTAGGTATACTGACAAAGGACTATAAAAAAGAGACACAATACTTGATAATACACATCCTAACTGCAGCTAGAATCGTTTTCGCACAAATGTGGAAATTGGAAAACACGCCACCAGAAGAAAAAATAATACAAAAAATTATGGAATGTGCAGAAATGGACAAATTGACCAAAGAAATACAAGGGAAAGAAGATACAGACTTTTACTTAATTTGGCAAGAATGGTACAAATGGCTAGATAAAAAAGACACGAAATAAGAGATTACCACCCAATGATACAAAAATAAGGAAATAAAAGGAAATATCGTTATATAAACATTGATACAAGATGAAAGATAATATATATAGATATATTGATATACAATTACCGAAGTAACTCTACTTTCAAAGTTCAAGTTATGTGACTTGATTTCACTGTATAGTTAGTTTATGTTTAGTTTGTTTTAACGTTTATGTCTATATGTGTATGTTTGTTTACAATAAAAAATTAAAAAAAAAAAAGATATCCAAACAACAGCAGCACTAATTTACATCACACAGATGGTAGTTAAAACCAGTGGTGGGATTCAATTTTTTTAACAACTGGTTCTGTGGACGTGGCTTAGTTGGGGGTGTGGCTTAGTGGACATGTGACTGGGTGGGCATGGCTAGCTGGTCATGTGACCGGTGGGCGTGGCTATCTGCATAGGGACTACAGAGGGCTGAAAAAAGTCATTTCTGACTGGTCCTTGCACTTTTGACCGATCCTCGCACTTATGACCATCCTCACATTTATGCCCGTTGCGGCATTCTTAACAACCGTGTCACTCATTTCACAACTGCTTCTCTTCACCATGGTGACAAGATAGGGCAAAAACGTAAAATGTGAGGACAGTCGTAAGTTCGAGGACTGGTCAAAAGTGTGAGGACCAGTCAAAAATAACTTTTTCAGCCCTCTGAGTAGTCCATATGCACAAAAGGACTACCCAGAGGGCTGAAAAAAGTGATTTCTGACTGGTCCTCGCACTTTTGACCGGTCTTCGCACTTATGACTGGTCATCATTTATGCCCATTGTAGCATTCTTAACAACCGTGTCACTCATTTCACAACTGCTTCTCTTCACCATGGTGACAAGATAGGGCAAAACGTAAAATGTGAGGACAGTCGTAAGTTCGAGGACTGGTCAAAAGTGCGAGGACCAGTCAGAAATAATTTTTTTCAGCCCTCTGAGTAGTCCATATGCATAAAAGGATACCGCAGTAGAGAGGGATGAAGGAAGGGAAGGGAAATTAGAGTAGGAGTGAGGGTAAGAGAGGGAGGAAGAGAGGAGGAGAAGGAGAAAGGAAGAAGAAGTAGGGAGGAGAAGAAGAAGGGGAGGAAGAGAAAGTAAGAAGGAAAGAAAAGAGAGAGGTGGTAGGTTTGAGGAGAAAGATTGCTGTACAATAAAAAAGATGAAAGGGAAGAAAGCCAACCCCAAACAAATATGAAGATATTAAGATAAAGAATGAATTGTTAAACTTTAAAGAATAAAAGAGAACAAATATGAATAAATAACAATAATTAGAAACACACATACAAACATACAATGTATTTTCTTTGAACAGAGTATTTGGCCGGTTCACAAATTTAAACAGTGTTTAGTCATTTCAATTAAATTTACAATTTCTATATTTCCTTTTTGCCATATTTATTCCTCATCTATTTTTGTAAAAAACCAATATTACCCTTCATCTTCATCTCTAATCTTAATCAAATTCAATTTTTCCCTTCTATTCTATATTATACCCCTTCCCATTGTCATCTATTTTTATATCCATCCTCATATTGGTTAATTATGTAATATTACAGTTGTTTAATATAAATTCAACATTTTAATATAAATCAATTAGTTATATAACTACCTTTTTTGTATATTAATCAATATGAACATGAATATTCCAATTATTTCAACACAATATACAATTAATAGTATCTCAATTATTACAATTCCCTAGTTAAATAGAGCTTTTTTTCTTTTGTGTTTTAAAATCTTGAACTCTCCTCTTTTCCCCTAAATTTCCCATTGTTTGCACCTACCTTTTTTGGTGAGGAAAAAGAAAAAGAAATCTCTCTCTGCCTCATTTTGCCACGTTGCAACAACAGCAAAGCCAACAGCCTGCTTTACTTTCTGTTTTGTTTTTCAGCATAGCTAGGGGGGAAAAAATCAGCACTATTTGCAAGCAAGCAGCAGAGCCGTGAGCAAAACAGCTGAGAGCAAATCAGTTGAGAGTCGGGAGCCGATCTAATTAGCCTATGCTGAAGCTCCGCGGGCCAATAAAATTACAAAAAAACACCGAACCCTTTGTTAAATTGCTGGTTCGCCCGCCCCTCGCCCACCACTATTTATTGGCAATAAATAATGGTGCGGAGGGGCGGGGCGAGCCAGCAATTTAACAAAGGGTTCGGCCGAATCCCCTAGAACCGGCAGAATCCCACCACTGGTTAAAACCAAGGACTACGACAGCCAATCACACAACCGAAATCAGACCAGGACTCAGAAAGGTATTTAAAGGCCAGTGCTCCCCCAGACAAGCCCAATCCAAAGTGCACTGAAGATGTCTCCACAAATGGGAATGAAATGTTTGCAACCAAATCACCAGGCTCGAAGCTCAAACCAACAGCATAACTACCAACCCAAACTACTAATATTCAAAGACATTTCATCAGTAACTGGATGAAAAACAAAATAAAACAGTCCGGTTGTCTTTTGAAAAAGCACCTTTGAGCCACCTTCCCTGCCTTTAATAAGGAAACCAAGGCTATGGTTTCTTTGTATGACTTGTGATTTTGACTTCTGGGAAAAGTTCCAAATTAATATCTGGATTCACTGGTATCAGAAAAAATTATACCCAGATTTTTTATAGAAGCCTGTCTCCAGCCTCAGTGTTTGGCTGGCTGGGATGGAAAGAAAGAAATAGGAACAAGGCAAGGTAAATAGGCTTTCAATTGTCAGAGCACTATCTATTTTACCCTTAAATGCCAGGTAAAGCCCAATACTATGTACAGTGTAGTTCAGGGGTGGGTTCTACTTACTACCGGTTCACATCACACCTCCGCGCTTGCTTTGCTCGTGCATGTGCCTGAGCGCTCTTCTGCGCATGCACAGAAGCTTCTGTGCATGCACAAATCGCCTATGATGACGTTTGGGTCAGTGGGCGGAGCCTCCTACTGGTTCTTGCGAACCGGTCCAAACCGGGGGCAACCCACCACTGGTGCAGTTTCTAAAAACATCTTCAGGTCAATGGTACAAACCTAATGGCTATCACGACACCTGATTTTTGGACATCCGTCTATTCCCCATTCTTTGTGTTTTGTCAATTCTTTTTGAGTGAGAGGTCTGAAAACCATGGATGCTTGCAGATATTTGGGTCCCAAGCAGTGATGAAATCCGCCCAGTTCTATCCGGCTCACTGAACCAGTAGCGCTGGCGGTGGGAGGCCCCACCCACCTACTGGGACGTCATGTCCCGGTTTTTTACCCTCTGCACATGCGCAGAAGAGGCGCATGTGCGGATAGCGTGCTCACGCTCCTACACACTCCCATTCCCAAACTGGTAGCGAAGGTAAGTGGATTTCACCCGTGGTCCCAAGTAATTGAATTTATTAATGGTGTGACATTTAACTGAAGCCAAGATTTTGTTTACACAACAGCTAACATATTTAAACTTTGCCTCTTATTTGTTTTGATTATAATTCTGAATTAGTTACAGAATCACTTAAGTTAGAAAGCCATTTAGGCCACTGAGTCTAGCTCCATGTTTGGTGTAGAAATATACACAAAAATATCTCCAACAAGAGGGATTATTCAACCCAGCCACTATTTGAATGCACCCAACAAAGGGCAGCACACTATCCTCTGTAATTCATTCTCTTCTCAAACTGATATTATAGTTAGAACTTTTCTCAACTTTTATCGGCATCAGTCATTCTTTAAGATTATTTTATGGTCTGAAGTCTAGAGTGATAGTTAAATTTCTCAACATGAACTGAAATGCTTTATCAGAAATGTTTGCACTACAATGCTTGAAATAAAAATGCTACACAAATGTGTTTGTAGATCCAAATCTTTTATTCAGTTTTGGTTTTACAATACAGAAAAAATAAAGATCCCACTATCAAAAATAACGTATCAATAACATATTGTGACAGTACAGAAAATATTTTCGATTTTGTAAAACTCTTGACACAAAATTAAAAACAAAAATTGAGACCATCTTTTTCTTTTTCAAAATGGAAACACTTTTTAAAATGCTGCTGCAAATCAGAGGTCTAAAATTTTAAAAGTAATCATGTTAATGCCTCCTGCATATTTATTTAACAGCACTCTTAGGAAGATGATGATAGAAAAAGCATGTCAAACTAAGGAACATCTGATCAAAGAGAATATTTGTAGCTCAGATTTGAACTGAGGGGCCCTGGTGCTCTCTGAGCTAGATGGTTTTCTTTTGGACATTTCGTTACCAAACTAGATAACATCATCAGTGCACTGATGCCCAGCAGTGATGTTACTGTATCTAATTTGGTAATGAAATGTCTGCGAGAAAACCACCAAGGAGTCCACAGTAAGGAACATCTTTAGCACACTAATTGGGAATTTACTAATCATATTAAAGCATTGTTTGCAACAGCTTGAAATGCCTGTTTGTCTGTACCGTAGTCCTAGATTTCTATTTTCTGCACCAATAAACACTGAGGAAAGTTTAAAGATGCACACAAATAATGAAGAAATAGTATGAAAAAGTTGTTCTTCACTTTTATTATTCTTTGCCAATATTCAAAAGTTGAATTTAAGCTTAAGCACATTGGTTTAGATTCAAAGATATCTTTCAGAAGCAGGAACATCTTCATTTCCTCATTTTAATGCAGCCCATTATCTCCTTAGAAGCAGACCAGGCTGAACCCAGGCGGCTTGCTGAGAAGTAATCTGGTTACTCCAGCTGTGATGTGAGTTTCTCTAAACATTTCTCTAAACCATTGTTAATATATAGCAGTTTGCAATTCCATCCAGTACTCCTGCAAATCCTTTTTATTGACGTGGTTTAAAAAAAAAAAACATTTATGGGATTAGCTGGGAATTTAACTCTCTGTTGACAAAAATGTAAAAAGTTAGCCAAAATTAAGCATCAGATATCTCTGTTCCTCAGAAGCTTGTTTCTTTCTGTCCTTCCCATTACTTAATTCTTAAAACTTTAATTTGGACTATTCCAGTACATAGTTTACTGAAGGAAAGACAGCCCTATGACTGTCTCAGCAAAGATTGTATGTTTGTGCACGTACATGCAGATACTTCATATAGAATTGATTATTAGCTTGGTATAGGACTGTTACCTTCTCCCAAACATGCTTGCTGAGAAACGTATTTCAAGAGAGTATGAGAAAAATATTGGTAACCTGAGGTACAATACCACCTTATGCTCTTCCTGAATTTAAATGCCAGTGTGTTCAACTATTCAAACATTATGGACTTACACTTTTATGAATCTACATTTATCAAAATTATCTACAGAAATGTAATTTGTTACATTAAAAACTCTGTGCCAGGTGCTGTACAAATGCAAAACCAGGACCTTGCGACTCTGATAAAAAGGCTGGGCTGCATTTCATCTGCAGTCAAGAACTGTGCTACTAAGATAATTTATCCACTTGTTCCACCATAACTGATAGTAGCCAATACAGACAATTTTTTTTTGCAATTTAATAGATGTTCACAAGTCAAATGGACTAACATTTCAGTTTAAATTACAAAAATCATTCTACTGGAAACTGGTTGGCAAGAAGTCAGAAAGACCGCAGGCAACGGAAGGCTGAACTGAGTCTGTCGACAATTGTTTCTTTAGTGAAAAGTAAGAAAATGTGTTTAAGTTCCTGAAAGAGGGACATGTAGTCTACATCTCAGTAACTTGCAGCACTTCACTACAGTCTGTTATTCAGTGCGTGTCCTCTCGCCTTACCAGATCTTTACAGTTATACAAATGTTCAAGACTCTACAAAGAAGCAATAGGTGGATTCTAAGAGAACATTCACACAGGATACAATCTAATACTATTCCTAAGGCATGAGGTGAGAGAATAGATAAACATTCATTAGCTGCCATGCAGTGACAGGTGGATTTAGGAGTGGGCAGCAGAACAAGTCCTTTCCTCATCGCTGAACATGCTCAGCATTCTGTTCACTGTGCCCAGTCTTTGGGATGGCGCAAAACTTCTAGGATTTCTGCTTCCTTGGAATTCTCTGGCGGTGAATGCATATATTCCCATCTGAAAAGTGGATGTGTGCAAAACAGCTGTTAGTACTTTTCTCTACATGCACTATTTACAATGTCAGCAAAAAATATATAATCTGTCCATTTCCTACGTACCTTATTGTGAATTTACCCCTGTTAACGCTGTAAAGCTTACCCAATAAAATCTGTATTGCAGAGGAAAGGATTTACTTTCTGTTATTTTCCCTAAAACATCAACACACAATTTCTAAAGCAAAATGCAGCTGAGCTCGAAAGATAAGGCAAAGCAGGCTATGCAGGTAAGACAGAAATAGGAAATTTCCAGAATGTCCTATTTTCTATTTATGTCTCTTGAATATTCTCCAACTTGGCCACAACATATTTCATTGCCTTCTGTTATTCAGCAATAATTGCAGCTTCTCTCAGAACCAGTAATTATATTAGTCACTGGAAAAAAATGAATTTGGATAAGGCATGCTAAATACAAAAACTCCTACCTGGTGGTCTCTCTCTCTCTCCCTCCCTTTCTTTTTCAATTTAATGCCCATTTTAGTTGTTTTCCATTGTTGCTTTCACCTCCTTTTCTCTCTGGTCTTGCCACACAGTGACTTATTTATTTATAAGACTTATATGGCTGCCTGTCTCATATAATGACTTTAGGCAGCTCACAACATTTCATGAAAACTTGCCTAAAAAGAAAAATAACTCCCTCTCCCCAGTCAAACAGACACTCAGTTCAATCCCCATCCTAGTCCAATGCTTGGGAGAACAGCATGGCCCTCCAGAAGGCCAGATCAAGAGAATGGCTTTAAGCCTACTGCAATTATAACCCATCCTTTTATTATTATTATTAAACTATCCCATATTTGCTATTTCAGTTATGATCTTACCTGGCAGTGAGTGGCAGAGACATAAGAATACTTTCAATTCTTGACCCTGGTGTTGCAAGGCCAAACTTTGTGCCTCTATCATACACAAGATTGAATTCCACATACCTGTTGGAAACAAACAACATCAAAGGCATTCCTCTAGTACAGTGATGGTTAACCTTTTCAGCACCGAGTGCCGAAACTGGAGTGCGCGCGGGTATACCGGAACCCGGAAGAGAGCAGTTGGCCAGTGCGCATGCACGCGGCGGCCAGCAGTTCTTCTGGGTTCCGTTGTGTGCATGCGCATCGGACAACTGCTCTCTTCCGGGTTCCAGCATGAACATGCGCGCTGGCCAGCTGGCTGACGCACATGCATGAGCCGGAACCCAGAAGAGTGCAGCTGGCCGGTGCGCATGCATGTGACAGAACCCGAAAGAGCAGCTGGCAATGGTGCACGTGCCCACAGAGAGGGCTCTGTGTGCCACCTCTGGCACACGTGCCATAGGTTCGCCATCACGGCTCTAGTATCTTAAATGGCATTCTTTCTTCTGATTTTGCTAACCGCTGAGAAAGGCAAAGGCAATATGGTGCATTACAATTTAATTACTGATCCTGCCTAGCTTTTACTCTGGCTTTCAACATTTCACAAAGAATTATTTATTTATTTATTTATTTTTATTTTATTGGTTTGATTTATATGCCGCCCTTTTCTGGAGACTCAGGGCGGCTTACAATGCGTTAAGCAATAGCCTTCATACTTTTGTATATACCTGCTTAGTAGGGCTTTTGCCCCCCCCCCCCCCAAATCGGTGTTCTTTACCTAAATTACCTAATTTCAGGGTAGTCTTCAGAGACAACTATTAAAACACACATAGAAAGTCTTGAGCTAATGAGTTGAATGCTCAATAATTCAGGTTTCTGGGGCTACACAGACTCATGAAACACATATTAATGAACTGTCACCATAAAGAATAGTTTTAGAAATTATCTTTTTTTCCCCATTCAGATCCTTGGATAACAAACAGAAGCATTGTTGAAACTTATAGTAGCATCTGTACAGCAATAATGGCTCAAACAGTACCTTTCTAAAAGTATGGGGAATGGATTATATTCTTACAAAGTAAATTACCCATTTTTTGCCATTTACACAATTCTGGAAAGAGGATAAGGAGATGAGGGAATATGGTCTCTTCTGTAGAAAGTCCTTATTAACTTATTGCTCATATTTCCCTTTTTTTTTTTAAAAAAAATCTTCATTTGTCTTTTTCACTGGAACAAATATTAACTCTATTATTTAATAAGGTGTTTGAACTGTAACACAATTTTCTATAATACTTACTGGTCCTTTCACCGCACTGCATATATTTCTATAGCTTACAACAAAATTATAAAATAATTTTTTATCATCATAAAAAATTATGATGAGCACTTAATCATATGGAGAAAATATATTTGGTGGAAAGACTGGATAAAATGTTAATAAGCAAAAAAATAAATCAGAATTATTATTTTTAAAAAACTAGAAATCAAAGGAACAGTGAAGAGGATATTGAAATCACAAGTGACGTCTTCATATATGGCAAAAATTGGTGTCTGTCATAAAGATCAGAATCAGCAACTTAAAATTTGGGAAGAAGATAAAGAACTGATGGTAGAAATAGAGATAGTAAAATACTGCATTTTATTTGTACAATTTTGACCTATGAAAATTTTCCTATGATATTAGTTTCTGTTTTATTGTTATTTCTATGGTTAGCCATAGAAAGACTTAAGCATGACAGCATTTGTTTCATAAAATGAAATGTGGGTGACAGTTACTCCATTTCAAAAACCTCATTCTTATCTTTCAGACCAGCCATAAGAAATACCAGTGGGTGGAGGTGGGGCTACAGCAGTTAGATGCCACATGGTTTATCATAAGACACAAAAGATCCCTTTAAAAAAAAAAAAAAAAAAGTCCAATCCAGAAAAATAGAATTCTATTCCATCTAAATAAAATTGGTAACATCAACAATTCTCATATCATAAGACCTTAAATTTGGAATTAGTGAATAGTTCCAACACTCAAATGAAATAAAGCTATTTGGGAACAGCAGAAATCTTAAAATATGCTGTTATGTGGCATGAGCCAACAACACATATTTTGACAGCATTCGAAGTTTTCAAACTTTTTCCAAAATCATATTAATATGTTAGTGCTTAATTTCAAAGTGTTCTAAAATATTTAGCATTGGAAATGAAAGATGGGAGATGTGTGTGTCGCAGTTATTAGAACTGAGTCTTCCAAAAGCCATAGCAATAGAAAATCTGGATGTTAAAGTTCAACAAATTTCAAGACACTAAGCCAGGAAAACATGGGCTAAAGAAAGAGCCAAAACGTTTGGATTAGTGGTCCCAAAGGATGTACCAATCTTCGATCCTGATACTCAAAAAGCCTCTCTTACTCACCTCCCCCTACGGATCTGCTGCCATAATTTTTCTTTTGGTGAGAACTTGTCCTGTGAGTGTTTTTTCACAATGGGAACGTAACAAGGCACAATAGCTTTGGTGCAACTCTGCACAAACTGAAAAACTTCTTCTTTTGAAGGAGAGTCCAAGTCATCAAAGAAGATGCCTCCTATTCCCCGCCGTTCTCCACGATGCTTGATGAAAAAATATTCATCACACCTGTCAACCCCAAGAGTGCTGGTTAAAAGGGTAACATAGACACAGAAGTCTGAAAGACTGGGTCAGAATACGAGAAAACAACCTAGTGGGACTGCTTTATTTCAAAAGTAAACATACTATACTACTAAACAGAAAAGACTGCAATGTTTTCTAAAACTGTTTTAAAAACAGAAAGACCTTTTATGGATAGAAAAGAGAGAGGACTATTAATTTCAAGACCAAAATATACATTTAGTTTCATCAGTTCCAAGAATGACAGCAACCATTCAGGAAAAAAATCTGATATGAAATTTCTATGTACCATTTCTTGAACTTGGGATATAGCTCAGGATTGTGCTGATCACAGGCGTCCTTCAGAGTTTTATGAAAATGAATAGCATCTTCTTCATTCAAATAAGTTGGCGTAAGGTCTGTTCCACCACCAAACCACCATTGTTTAGTACCTAAGAGAACAGAAAAAGACCATCATTTCTTTTTCTAATTTTTTTTTGTAGATACTCTTGTAATATAAGAATCATCATGTCCATTTAGTTACAACTCATCTATAATGCAGAAAAATGGTACTGTGATCTTAAGGACATAATTTAAGAGACTCATTACATGCATAGTTACTTAATATATTATATTTCCTGATGTTTAATGTCATACAAAGGCAAACAAGTACAGCATGCATATAAAAAGCAAGTTGCTAGTTCTGTTTCTTGGACACAGAATTTATCACTCTACAAAAAAAGTCTCGTCATAAAATAAGACCTAAGTTGTAAAATCTTGTGCTCAACAACTACCCTGTTTCCCCCCAAATAAGACATCCCCTGATAATAAGTCCAATTGGACTTTTGAGCGCATGGCAATAAAGCCAAGCGCTTATTTCAGAAAAATATAAGACAGGGTCTTGTTTTTGGGGAAACACAGTACTTATTTATTTTTTTTCAATAGGACTAGCCTTTGTGAATTTGTGAGCATGTAAATATGGCACTAATGGCTGTGGTAATGTCTTTGGACAGCGTTGGCCCAATGGCCCAGAGATGAGCACTACCCCCTATAGTCGCCAATGACTATAAGTGGAGTAAAATTCGCAGGGACTCCTCTTTTTTACAGTTGAATCATAAAGCCTCTCTTGTCTGTCTCTACTATTACCAACATGTCAGGAGTCTCTCAGACTCTGTCATCTAAAATGATAACAGCAGCATCAAGCTGCAAGCTCAGCTCTCTTTGAGCATGCATGCAATGTCACAGAACAGAGAAAAGAATAGTTTTATATAATTCTGGATCAAGGTATAGCAGTTACCATCTCCATCTTCAATTTCAAAGTATCTGTAATTGAAGTGTATAGTGGGAATGTAAGGATTCTTTGGATGAATGACAGAACTCACTCCCATAGCACAAAAGGGCAATTTTCCTAAAAAGCAATGAAGAAAGAATGTCTTAGTCAACAGTGAAAACGTAAGTCCAGAACTACTGTGAATCAGGCAGCATGTAAATGTAATAATAACAACTATTATGCATAATAAAACAACAACTGAAAAACAAAACAACATTGTAAGCTTTCTAAATGTCCTTTTGACTCTACATTTTGCATTCCAGAAGCACTTCTGGATCTGCAAACTTTAAAAGAAAAGACATAATTGCTATTTAAGATTTTGCACGAAAGAAGTTAATATATCTCACTGTTCAGAATACATCGAGTCTGGAAAAGATCTGAGGAAACTTCGCATTTTTGTATCAAGATTTTGCTATGGTCCTCATTAACTGGAAGAAATCACACTGAGCTCAGTGAGGTTGACTTTGATATTAGTATGCAAAGAACTATTTATATCCGAAGAACACTTGTATAGTGGACTTGTGCCTAGCTCCTATGGGAAGCTGGATGATGGATTAGATTTACTTTTTGTTTAACCCAACAAAAGATGTTAGATTGTTTAGCAGATTTCATGTATGAAACCTTACCACTTTTGGTCTTCAGAGTTTTCCCCCTGCTTCTCATCTGCTGAGCTGCTTCTTCAGAAAGATGTCCAAAAACAACTGAAACATTGACACCAGCCTTCTCAAAGATTTCACCATCTTGAAGTACACAGCTGATACCTCCGCCACCTAAATAAAGAAACCAATAATTATTTCAACAGCTAACTGATTTCCAAAGTTTAGAATAATATTTTCCAATTATGGACCTGTTCAGATAGTTATCTAGGATCCTTTAATTTTGAATGCAGGTAGTTCAACAACATAGTATTTTCCAGAAGTAGCAACTGGCTTACAGGAGACGTAACGAATCAAATTATGTTACTCTTCGCTATGGCCTCCCAGTAATTAATTTTAGAAGGATACTAGAAATTGTGTGTAATTCAAGCAAGAACTGATGAAGGTAAAACTGAAGGATTACATTTGCAGTCTCAGTGGCAAGATCTGGTTTATTTGTTGAGAACCAACAAAACTTTTTTTCTTTGCTTCTTTTTGGAGAAAAGGAAGCATAGTTGAAAATTTCACTGTCACAATGCCCAAATAATTAAAGTAGAGGTCAGGCATATTCTATTCCACTCTTTTCCTAGCATAGCATCTGAGGCATAAGACAAGTTGTAAATGATAGTCTGTCTCTTAATTACTCAAAGGGCCAGTTGTTTATAAGCAAATGTATTTTATTTAGCAATAACACTGTATGAGCTGATACCCTGAGACAGACATTTCTTTTTTGTAATACAGCAGTCCTTGCTTACATACAGAATAATTTACTTTTCATTCAAAAACCACCACTGTCACTCTCTTCTAGTTATTGTCTCTTGGCAAGATTTCATAAGTGGTTTGCAATGGTCTCCTTCCTAGGACCAAGAGAGAATGTGTAGCCCAAGATCATTAAGTGGCTTTATTTCTAATTGTCTTCTGTTTTATAGCCTGATACTTTAACCATTATGCTAACTGACTTACTAAAGCTGTATATTAAAAGAGATAAAATTATGCTTAGTAAAAAATACTGGACATAAATTTTGTTGATCAAATTCATACTATTTAAATGTCCTTCAATAATGTCTAAGAATTGACGGAAGGACTTTCAAGAATCTCTTTGAATTCCAGAAGGCAGAGCATGAATCTGATAAATTATTTACATCAATCTAGATTTAATAACTTGATATAGATTAAAGAAAGAAATGTTAGGCTCTGTGGGGCATACCATGTAGTTTTCTTAGTAACAATACCAATTTCTGGTAGCACCTTTTCCAACTAAAAAAATATTGAAAGGTATACATTATCATGAGTTGCACCTCATTTATGCCTTTTAAATTAAATCTGTTAGTTGTAAAGGTGTTACCAGAATCTTCCTGGTTGTTTTTTTTTTTTTGTTGTTGTTTTTTGCATCATAAACCAACATGGTTCTCCACCTACAAAATACATAAATGTTTTGCTGCTATCTTCTTGTAAGGCTTTAAAATATATTTAGACTTGAGGTTACCTAAGTTACCTCTTATCCAAGTATTAACTAAGTGCCACTCTGTATGGCTAAGGTAGGATTCCCACTACCCAGCTGGTAATACATATTTTGTATTCCTGAAGATTCTTGAAGCAGCTTTTACTATCCTCCAAGTCCTTTAGCCCTTTTGACACCCATCTCTTGGTCATGCAGAATCTTGGCTGCTTCCATGCGGCTTTGCCTGCTTGTTTTTTAAAACGAAATAATAGAATTTTATTTATTTATTGGCCAAGTGTGATTGGACACACAAGGGATTTGACTTGGTGCATACGCTCTCAGTGTACATAAAAAGAAGTTTCTAAATACCGGAGACCTTTTTACAATCTCGAACATGCTAAAGGGAAAATAAGAACTCTTCTCTAGTCAGTGAAACTTGTGAGGGAGTAAAGAGGCCAGTTTTCAGATCTAGCCAAATTCAGTCCCACACCGGCAGGCAGGGGCAATTTACTCCGAATCAGTTCCAACCTACAAGAGGTGCCAGGCAGTGCGCGGCCCCCGAGAAAGGAACGCGTCCCCGCTCTACCCCGGAATTCGGGTCACCTTCCTTCCTTTCCCAGCGGTCCACGGTGAAAGCGGCGCCGCGGTCGACCTGGGCCAGCGCCTTGCACACCTGGCTCTGCGTCTCCATGATGAGAAGCTCCATGCGACTTCGCATGTCTCCGCGCCGGTCGCGCAGCTCTCGCAATCCGCTCACCGGAGGAGCCATGAAGCTCTCGCACAGCCTTGCCAGATCTTCCTCGTCCTCCTTTCCCCACGGCTTTTCCGGTGTTAATTGCTGCTGCTGCTGCTGCCGCCGAGGCTGCTCCTTCATCTCCGCCCGCCGCACCAGTCCCAGCCCGGCCAGCACCGCCGTGGCTCCCGCAGTCCAAGCGAACGCCGATCGCTGCCACCCACCATCGCCCCAGCGGGAAGAACCGCCCGGCGGCGATTCCAAGGAGCCCGAAGCGAACATCCTGGAGCAGCGCGGGCCGGCCCGGAGGCTTAAACCCCGGGAGCCCAGGTGCCGAACCCCGCACAGCAGAAAAGCCATGACAGCCGGTGCCCAGTTCCTTCTGCAGGCGTCCGGATCGGCCCCAAGCCAGGAAAGTGCGCTGCGCACTCCCACCCTTCGCCTGCGAGCCCGGAAGAGGTGGGGAAATGCAGAGCAATACCTCGTGGGGAAGGAGTACACTTTCATTGGCAATCCTGCCCATCCCTAACGTTGCATTTAGACTACAACTCCCAGCAGCGCCCGTGGGAGAAAAGGGACGTAGAAGCAAGAAAGTGCTCCGTTGTTGGTTTTTTTTTTGCATACAAGTCCTGGCCAAAAGTTGTGAGAATGACACAAAGATTAGTTCTTACAAAGTCTTGTAGCTGAACCCAGAAGGATATTTCTTCTAAGTCTGCTGTGCCAGTGTTGGAAGATCTTCGTGAAGATGTTAGGCTGGTATACTGACCATAAGTATTTGTCATAAGTGTCGAAGGCTTTTTATTGACAATTACATTCATATTATAATTATAATTATATAATATTATAATTATTCAAATAGTCAATATTTGCAGTGTTGACCCTTCTTTTTCAAAATCTCTCCAATTCGCCCTGGCATGTGGTCAATCAACAATCAATCCTGACTGATGGCAGCCCATTCTTGCATAATCAATACTTGGAGTTTGTCAGAATTTGTGGGCTTTTGTTAGTTCGCCTGCCTCATGAGCAGGGGTCTCTAACCTTGGCAACTTTAAGCCTCCCCAGCCAGCAAAGAATTCTGGGAGTTGAAATCCACCAGGCTTACAGTTGCCAATGTTGGAGACCCCTGCTCTTGAGGATTGACCACAAGTTCTCAATGGGATGAAGGTCTGGGAAATTTCCTGGCCACGGGCCCAAAATCTCAATGTTTTGGTCCCCAAACTACTTAGTTTTATCACTTTTGCCTTATGGCAAAGTGCTCCATCATGCTGGGAAAGGCATTGCCTGTCACTAAACTCTTCTTGGATGGTTGGGAAAAGGTGCTCTTGGAGGAGGTTTTTGTGCCATTCTTTATTCATGGCTGTGTTCCTAGGCAAAATTGTGGGTGATCCACTCCCTTGGCTGAGAAGCAACCCCACATATGAATGGTCTCAGGATGCTTTACTATTGGCATGACACAGGACTGATGGTAGCGCTCACCTTTTCTTCTACAGGCAAGTTTTATTCTAGATGCCCCAAACAATCGGAAAAGGGATTCATCAGAGAAAATGACTTTACCCGAGTCCTGTTGTGGCAGGGCTGAAATACAATGGAAATGTTTTTTGGGGATTAAGTTCATTTTCATGGCACAGAGGGACTTCGCAATTAATTGCAAATTGATCTGATCACTCTTCATAACATCCTGGAGCAGTGGTGAAATTCAATTTTTTTTACTACCGGTTCTGTGGGCGTGGCTTGTGGGCATGGCTTGGTGGGTGTGGCTTGGTGGGCATGGCAGAGGAAGGATACTGCAAAATCTCCATTTCCACCCCACTCTGGGATCAGCCAGAGGTGGTATTTGCCGATTTTCCGAACTACTCAAAGTTTCCACTACTGGTTCTCTGAACTATTCAAAATTTCCGCTACTGGTTCTCCAGAACCTGTCAGAACCTGTTGGATTTCACCCCTGTCCTGGAGTATATGCACATTGCCATCTTCCAAACTGGAGCAGCAGACTTTGTGTGAATTAATCTTTGTGTCATTCTCAAAACTTTTGGCCAGGAGTATAGCTGAGGCATGCGGCAGAGGAACGTAGGAAGAGAAGATTGCAGCATCGTTGCGTAAAAATTAACAGGCTCTTTTCTTTAACTACTCCAGGTGGTGGTGGTGGTGATGGAGAGGTTTGTCAAATTCAGCAGCATGAGAATGTGGGATCTAGTTGCAACAAGCAGAAGAGTACCATGTGTTTATTAATTGCCTTCCCTCCCACGTCCTGCAATTTATTGGTACAATTATGCAATTGTGCTTTAAGTTAAGAGTTGAATGAGACCGAACACCTATTTGGAAAGGATAATGTAATCTTGCTCGAGAGAAAAACAACAGAGAGGAAGTGTGAATAACCAGCAGAGATTGGAGAAGGGAATTAACTTTCCAACTGCTTACCCTTTCCTGCTCCAGATAAGGGCACAACTGCTTTTGAATTCTGTTATTACTCAGAAAGGTAGGGGATTCCTTACAGTAGAGGATGTTACAGCTTCTACCCCTTCCTACTTTTTCTTCCTCGTTTGGACATACATTATGGAACGTCGGCTTGATACAGAAAGACACAAGCAAGCCTCCCCCCCCCACTTGGTACCTTTGAAAGCGGGACGGCAAGGGACAAACCGGAAGCTCTCTCCCCCCACACACTTCACGCAAAAAACTGGGGTGCAAAAGTTAGGCCCAAGGAGTTGACTAGCACTGTATTTGTTAAGAAGCCACAACAGTGTTAAAAGAACTACCAAAAGTTGTGCCATTCACTCAATGGTCCAATAATGCAATGATGTCAGCCTTGTGAGGTAAATCAGACAGGAAGCTGGCCCAGATGAGTTAATTCTATTATTTTTTTTCTTTGGTTACAACATTCCTGATCTTTTAAGTCTCCCTGCATGACACCTATAGTTGTATAACATTACTTTTATGACCCTGGGAGGGTAGAAGCAAAAAGATGGGCACTTTTTGGAAGGGATCTGGATTTATACATCGCGATACACCATAAACCTGACAACTACCATGTTTTATTGTAGTATGATCCTAGACAACACATGACTCATTGGGTCGTTGTTTCAGAGACATTTCCTTGCCAGATTCCTCAATGCCTTCAACAATGGCAGAGCTAATGTACTGCCTTCCACTGGAAAAGTTAGGATACATTCAGAGATGCATCCTCCTTGAAAACAGCCAACGTTGAACTATATAGCACAATCAAACATCACTATTTGGCCAATTTGGCAAATTATAAAATTTGCCAAATTTGAGTCATGATTCTGGATTTTGAACCCATTCTGTAAATTAGTCCATTTGAGGTACATTGGTTCAAAACTTATTGCCCTAGAGCACGGGTGTCAAAGCAGCCACATCACGTTGTTGTCACATGATGTTTCGTGATGTTTTTCCCATTCGCGGAGCTGGGGTGGGCATGACCTGCGTATGACACATCTGGCCCACGGGCCACCAGTTTAGCACCCCTGCCCTAGAGTGCACATTAAGTCTCATCTTCCTTCCTTCCTTCTTTCCTCCCTCCCCCCCTCCCTTCCCCACTCCCTGTCTTTCTGTGATTATCTCCCTTCCTCCAATTCCTGCCAGTTTGTTTATGGGAAATTTACAAATGGGAAAGCCAGCGGAAAGTTACAAGTCCATAACCAGTAGGCAGGTATGTGGTTACTGTTGTGTGGGGAAGAAACACAAATCTATCAGAAAAGCACCCACATTCCAAAACATCTTAAGTAAACTCAAAGATCTAGTAGCCTCAGAAGAAGAAAAAATCTACAACATGTAGTGCAAGGACTGCAACAGCCACTAGGTAGGACAGACAGGCAGAGTATATGCATGAATACCAACTAGCAATCAAAAGACATGATAAAAACTCCTTAATTGCACAACACATCAACAAACATAACCTTAGCTTTAATTGTTTAATAATTTAATTTAATTTAATAGGAGCCTGAGTGGTGCAGCAGACTAATGCTACTGTTAAAAGTAGTATTTAGTTCCAGCTGCCTGCAATTATTGCGAGTTCAATTCTCACCAGGCTCAAGGTTGACTCAGCCTTCCATCCTTTCTAAGGTAGGTAAAATGAGGACCCAGTTGTGGGGGCAATAAGCTGACTTTGTATAAAATATACAAAAGCATGAAGGCTATTGCTTAACGCATTGTAAGCTGCCCTGAGTCTCCGGAGAAGGGCGGCTTATAAATCAAAAAAATTTAGAAACTGAGCAGCCTAGGCCAAGCTAAATCCAAAATGCTAGAGAATTCCTAGAACAGGAGTGTCAAACTCAAGGCCCGAGGCCAGATCTGGCCTGTAGGGTGCTTAAATCTGGTCTGTGGGGCCAGCCTGAAATAGGATCAGCCCGTGATGCCTCTGGCAGCCAAAATGGGGCTCGGGGGGGGGGGGGGCGCATCCCTCCACTCAGATCAGCCATCAACAGAACATAGAGATATACAACATGTACACACCAAGCAAAAGAGACAACCAAAAAGGTAAAAATGAACCAAAAAGACCAGTGGTGAAATCTAAAATTTGTTACTACCGGTTCTGTGGGCGTGGCTTGGTGGGGGGGGGTAATGTGACTGGGTGGGTGTGGCCAATTTTTTTTTCTTTTGAAACCATTTTTTCTACAACCTCTTCGGCGAATGCCTTCAAAAGCTCTGACGATCCAAGCTGAGTTGCCTGATCGGCAGAGGCTTTTTAAAAAGGGTTTTTTTCTTTTAAAAGCCTTTGACGATCCCAGCTGAGCCACACGATCATCAGAGTCTTTTTGTTTTTTTACTTTCAAAAGCATTTTTTGGCCGAAGAGGTTGTAGAAAAAATGCTTTTAAAAGTAAAAAAAAAGCCTCTGATGATTGTGCGGCTCAGCTGGGCATGGGGGGGTGGCAGGAATTTTTGCTACAGGTTCTCCGAACCACCCACCTCCATCACTTCCCGATCAGGTGATCTGGTCCGAACCGGAAGCATTTCACCCCTGAAAAAGATCCTCAAAATGCAATGCGCATGGGGCCCCTCACGCATGTGCCCTGCCTCTTGTGCATGTGTGTATTCCCCATGCATACGTGTGTGCCCCCACACGCACCTCATCCCCCCCACGCATGCACATACCGCTGCATGCCCCACAACCCCACGCATGTGCGCGCACCCTACACATGCACCCCACCCCCTGCACATGTGCAGCAGAGCCCTCATGACCAGCTGTCCGGTAGAAGATGCGTGCACATGCGCGGCAGAGCTGAACTGGGGTAACAGCTCACGTGCCCACAGAGAGGGCGCTGAATGCCACCTGTGGCACGTGCCATAGATTTGCCATTTTGGCTCTAGGTACACCT